AAATTTGAGATTTTTTAATTTTAAGTAGTTGAAATTCATAAATATATTTTGAACACCCTGTAACATTTAACTGAAATATCTTACCATATATCTTCTTTTTAATCTCTATAGAACTCTCATACCAAATTTTGGTATTCCAACTTGAGAAACAACGGTACCACTGACAATTTTTTGCCACACTGCAATTTAACATTTGTATAAACAAATTTAAATATTACAATAACTATTAATTTTAGGTATATAACCAAAGACATTATAAAGATAGACCGAACATCTCATTCATAAATACTCGTTGGTAGTGTATCAAACATTCCAATGTATCAAACAAGGACAGAAGAGACAGAGAAGTCTAAAATTTCCGACCCCGGCAACTAGGAGCATTTCGATTGTTCTAATGGCCAGTGGCGTATCGTTTTTTGGAAAGCATTTAATTAGTAAAGTAAAAAGTAAATTAATTAGTAAAATTTATACTCCATATTGATATACTATATTAACACTTTTCGTCAGATGAGTTTTGTTATAAGGTCTAATATAATACTATAATTAATATCCCACATATACCTATGTTGAAACGTTAGTAGGTGGTTTTCGAAAATCGCTCAACGTCGATTTTCAATTTAAACTTTCTGTTAGTTCTATATAAACTTTCAGTTACGTTTGAATATTCACAGGGTGACTCAGGCTTCCGAAACAGTTCTATATTAGGTTTGTGGTTGGTGATATTTCTTTCAATTTTTTTCAGAATATGGAGGCAATGGTAAAGCACATTTTAGACATTTTTGTAAACATAGGTGGCCGGAACATATTTTCAAACTAAAGTTGTAGATTTGCCATTAAATTTCCATTCCAGAAATACCTAGGGTTGCCACCTGTCCTTTTTGAAAAGGACAGTCCTTTTTGGAATAACTTGTCCTTTTTGACTTTTTTGACTTAAAAAGTCATTTTTATTTTCGTATTTTCCCTGAGAAAATTACCTACAGCAAACAGAAATATTCTTTGCGTCCAAATTTAATTAGAGATGTTATAAAACTTATAAATAAATTTTTCTTGTTTAGAATAGGCAACATTATTTCGAATGATAGTTTAGGTTTTAGTTTTACCATTTTTGATCTTAAAAAAGAACTTCAAAATTAGTAATTAGTAACGATTTAGTTCGCAATCGATAGCTTCCTGCCAAGTACTGTGTAATAGTTGTTTAATCTTGTATTATTAATAACTTCCTATACCTAAAATCAATATTTAATGAGAAAATTGAAAATTGATTCATTAAAAGTATCAAACATGTGTGCTACAGTATGGGATTTCTGTCGCATAATAATGAATTACGTTTGCTTCATCTACGTTACCGTAGATGGAGCTCAAGGCTTGGTAGGGTATGTATAAATAAACAAAATACAAGAAGCAAAAAATTATTAAGGCCTAACCCCTACATATATGCTTATTCTCTGCATTAAGTTCAACAGACTTGTCTAAACAAGGCCGAAGGGGCAGATATAATAAAGCAATAAAATGTAAAAAAGGTCGGGTAACACCTTTGTTTATTTGTTGAGCAAAATTCCTTTAGAATATCGTATATAATGACCAGAAATGACGCAATTTTAAGAAAAAAATGTCACTTTCTGGCTTATAATAAAATTTCAAATGCAACGTTTATATTCAAATTTGTTATGATCTACAACAGTCATTGGGACGAATTATAATTCAATTACTGGCTACTACGTTCTTGTTTTAATAGATTAATTATTACAAATATAATTAGAAATTATTTTGATTGTGAGAGGCTCCCTTGTGGGACGCCTATGTACAATGACGAAAACAATACCCACCTGTGAAAAGACAAATTCGGGTAATTTGAGCTTATTTTTCCACACACTTGACACTGTCGTACCATACTGAATTCGCAGATTCAAAAGTACGTTAAACAAAAACAAAAACCACCGAAAAACACTGAAAGTTCACTTTCGTCTTGATTCCGACTTCAAACACACCGCAAGCTAAACGTAGTACGCTATAACGGACCAAGGGCCTCGCGAGGGGTGGTGGGACGGACGGCTCATTTCATTCTGGAAGACTAGCAGCGACGTTGCCAATAGTTCTAGACGTTTCAGCACATTAAACAGTAAAAATGTCCTTTAATAGTAACGCATATATCCTCTGGTTAATAACATATTATTCCGCATGCTTCTTTAAAAATAAACTATTAATTTAATTAAGAAATTGAGATTTATTGATATCCGGTAAAGGTTTTAAAGTCACCTTTTCTGCAAATCAAACTGAGGAGATAGGCGCAAATTTGAGATGCGGCAATGTCGCCTTCTCTATCTCAGTTGATTTTTACAGTACGTAGTCAACCTCCGATTGTTTGATCGGGTTAAAATGTCTAATGTGATATCTGTTCTTACTAAATCTATGTATATAACATTATATACAAAAAAGTTATAGAATTTTACGCAGAATCTAAAAACAAAATAAAAAACGGGGTGTTTTTTTCATTTAAAAAAACATACGTTATATCCTCCACACTTTTTTGAAGCACCCTGTATACTCTATAATAATTTTAAAATGTGTATCTTAATCTTCTCTATAACTTCTGTATTTAACATTTTTTTGTAAACCTCGAAACAAATGAGATAATGGACTTTACTCTATCGTCGACTCACCCTGTACAAGATAGCTTAATAGCCGTAAAAATTTGTAGGCAACGCTGTCCGGTCAAGCTTAATCACGTGACTAAAAATTTATTTCGTATGAACTGTATGTACTTGAGTAAAAATGATATTTAAATGATGTAATTTAAAATTCATTTTCTTTTAGTAAATGGTGCTTTGACACCGATTTTTTTCGATCATGCAGTATTTCAAATGCTTGAAAATTGATATAATATAAGTAACTTCTTTCTCAGATATTTTAACTTTCAACTGTTGAAATGGAAATAGAATATCACAATCCTTTGAATAAGAAGGCTAAGGAAGGAGCATATCAAAAATCTTAGGTACACCGCGATGGGCCTCAAATATGGCCGACTTAAATTTCGGTTTATCAGTGTAATTTTATTTAAAAAATGTAAAACTATGATGTAGACGTGGGGTAGACTCAATAATTTGTTGTTTTATTTTACGTTGTGAATAAATGTTGGTCGTTATTAAAATTCTTATAAAAATATATAATTCCAATAAAAATAGATAAATTATAATAAGTATTTATTACCACAAACATCCGATACGCTACTGAAGCAGGTAAGTCAAATTAACGTATCTAAATTCTTTGACATCTAATCTTTGACAAGTAATAAATAAAAGCTAAAATGCAAGAAAAATATATAATTTAGTTAATTTAAGTGAATTTCATAAATGATCGGTTTACTACACGTATGTATATTATATAGTCACTTACTAGCGAAAAGTTGTTCCATTATTTCACTCAATTTTGCCGAGATCTACCGCACGCTACACAACCAACTATTTTAGAGTCTTTTTCGATAAATCGCGATAGTGTCACTGTTAATTTAAGTGCTGCCACAATTTCCATCTAGATTTACTACCTTTATACAACTATCAGTAGTAGAATAAATAATAAATAACATAAAATAAGCTCCGTAAAAACTGACAAATCCACAAAATTTCAAATCAAATTCAAATGTGTCAAATGAATCGTCAAACAGAACTGTCAAGGATCCCCACCCTAGAGTCCTTTTTCCGCCCACCATGCATGAATACATGGATAGCGTTATGCTCCTTCCTTAGTCTTCTTATTCAAAGTCACAATCCAACTACTTACCTACATATTTGTAGCTCCTTTTGCTTGAATTCAAAGAAGTAAATACATGCATTAGTGTTAAAAAAAGCAAAGAAAACAAGACAGAGATAAGTGTTAGTGCATTAGCCAAGTAGATGTCACACAAAGAAAGAACGTTATTATTAGTTACAGGGTGTTTTGTTTGTAAAATAAAACTCCATCAAATTTATTTTTTGAAACATGATATATTATCAAAGGTTGTTTTTTCCGAAAATGTTTGACAATTTTTTCTATCAGTTTTAAGGTCACAAGGTAATGTGACATTTACCTAGGATAATGCTAATAAATAAATAAATAAAAATAAATAATTTAACTACTAAAAGAAGAGAGAAAAATAAATAAGTTACATCTACTTTCACTACTAGTAGAACTACTTTTTTGATTAAAAAAAAGGTGGGAAATCGAACCATTTAACGTAGTTTTTAAGGAAAATTGATTGGAATTATTTTTTTTTTGGCTTATATACAGGATGTTTCTTAAAAAAGGGAAAGATTTTGACTTATTTTAAAAATAAAAATATGGAAAATATACTCTATTTCTTACTTTTGAGTCAATATTTTTTAATTCTCTTTCGTGTCGATTGCTGATTGAACTGGAGCCGGAAATGGCTCAAAACGAAGTAAGTAAATTACCAACAGATATTCAAGCTGAGGCGACAAACGCCATATCCAAACTACTTCCGTTTAAATCCCAAATAACTTATGAAAAGGAATACAAAAATTTTCAAAAATGGAAGCAATTAAAAAACGTGCGAGAAGAAATAAAGTTTTTAACCTATCCTCGCTGTTGAAGTATCATTTAATCTACCCTTGCGGTATCTACTATTTTTGATAGATATACGGCAGTTTTAACAGTTGCTTTGGAAAAAAAAAATTCTAAATTCAGTAAGAAATATAATTATCTATGTACAACGGGAACTATACAGTGTTAATAAGTTTTCGTGAAAATATATTACCTATCATCACTTGTTTAAGAAACACCCTTATATCATTTTCTAAGTCAATATGACTTATTTTGGTTCGATGTCCCTTGTAAGCAAAACCATTCTACTGAGAGTTGTACTTAAATAAATAAAAAAAACAGATTTAAAGACACTTATAGGCAAGTTACAAAAAAGAGAAAATAAAACTGAAACGAACTCGAGTCTGATTATTGTTTAAATTGTTCTACGCAAGCTCTTTGTTGGACTTATCTGATTTTCTTACTGTCTTTGGCTTGATGTGTGCGTTTGGTTCCGTGGTGCTTCACCTTTTTGTGGTGGTGTTTCTTCGCTCTGGACTGACGACGCGCGTTACGTACTTCGATGACGTCTTCCAAGCCGGATTCGTCATCGTCATCGTCTTCATCGTCGTCGTCGTCTTCAGTGTCGTCGTCGTCATCATCGTCATCGTCATCGTCAATTACACTACCTATACCGTCGTCCTCGTCATCGTCATCTTCTTCGTCATCATCATCGTCGTCGTCGTCATCGTCAGCAGAGACGACCGGTTCGTATGCTGGGACCGGGTCTACTATGATGGGTTGCTGGACGGTGTTCTGGGCGATTGCTTCTTCTTGCAGTTGGTCTTTTTCGATCAGGGAGTCGGGATTGTTGTCTTCTTCCTGCACGATTTCCGTACCTAAACCATAAAGAGAATTTTTAATAGCATTAAATCGATTTTGAACCACCCCATTTATTGACATATATGATAATATCCATGAATTTTTTAGCAAGCTGTATACCGGGTGTTGCATCGTCGGACGGGACATAGGAAATCCCATTAAATTTTAATGGGGTCAATTATTGACTTCCTTAATTATTTTAGAGAATAATTCTGTTTAGGTTTATTGAAGAGCATTAAAACCCACATTCAAAAGAATAACTTTAGATGTTTTTGATTAGCTCGTTTACGAGTTATCGCCGATTTCTTTTTAAATATTTCTCCTTTCTCCAACGTCAAATGAAGTTGTCATTTCAGAAATTTACCTATTTAGTGCTTTATTATTATTGAAAACTCATTCCTACATCGGATATCTTCAAGATGTATTTATAAATACAAATTAATATGAAATAAAGTAAAATAAAGTAATCAATTACAAGGTTAATTATAGTATTATTACAATATTCAATAACTTATTAATTTAGGTACTATTAAATTGTTAGAACTTTAGGATTTAAGAAGATGTTCAAATATTCCTCCATCGACTGCTAGACAACAACCCAGGCGATCATAAAATTCTCTTCTTACATTCGCTAGTTGGTAAACTGAAATTCTATTGCATTCTGCAGAAATAGCATTTTTTAACTCGTCTAGATTTGGGTATTTTTTATCCTTGAATATCCTGTGTTTTAAATGGCCCCAGAGAAAGAAATCATTTGGCGAAATATCAGGAGACCTTGCTGGCCAATTTACTGTATGATTTAGGTCAATAACATTTCCGTTAAAACTGTTGTCTAAATATTCCCGAACAGCCAGGGTACTATGTGCCGGGCAGCCATCCATTTGGTACCAAACTTCCTGATTTTTCCTAGCGGCATCACGTAAAGCAGGTAAAATATGATTTTCGAGTAGTTCCAAATAATATTCTGCTTTTAAATTTCGCCTAAGAAATAATGGCCCGATAATATTGTGTCCGAATATCCCTGCCCAAACATTTACTTTCTGTGGATATTGCGTCGTTGTTTCGACAAACCTGTGTTGGTTTTCTTTGTTCCAATATCGATAATTTTGAACATTGGGTTCATTATTTAAGGTAAACGTGCATTCGTCAGTGAAACATATGTTTTTTAAAAATTCCCTATCCGTGTTTGCTCTTTCCATCATATCAAAACAAAACGCTTGCCGCCGTGTTTCGTCCCCATCTCGTAGCTCTTGGTGCTTTTCATATTTGAAGGAATAGTATTTATGTCGTTCCAAAATTCGAAACGCTGTAGTGTGATCTATTCCTATTTCATCCTCAAGTTTCCTTGTGCTGATCTTTCCATCGTTCTCTTCCACGCACAATAAAACTTCCAAGTCGGTATCATTTCTTGCATCTTCTCTTTGTTCCTGCCTTGCTTCACATCTGCAGTTATTTATTAGGGTACCTTTGGTCTCAAATCTCTGGATATTCCTTGCGATTGTAGATTTTTCAGGTATCGGTCTATTCGGATACAGAGCAGCAAACATGTCCGACACCTTTTGATGGACTATGGATAATACCATTTAATCATCAATACTTTTTCTTCGATAGTGTAATTCATGGCTAATATTTTCGATGTAGGTATGAGTTTTTAATAATAATAATAAAGCACTAAATAGATAAATTTCTGAAATGACAACTTCATTTGACAGTTATCTTTTACCTTGACTGATGCTCATAAGTAAATACAAGGCCATAAGAAAGGAGAAATATTTAAAAAGAAATCGGCGATAACTCGTAAACGGGCTAATCAAAAATATCTAAAGTTATTCTTTTGAATGTGGGTTTTAGTGCTCTTCAATAAACCTACATAGAATTATTCTCTAAAATAATTAGGGAAGCCAATAATTGATTGACCCCATTGGGATTTCCTATGTCCCGCTCGACGATGCAACACCCGGTATAATTATATCAGTTTTTTATAAACTTTAATACTTGGCATATTATACAGGGTTAATCGACGGGTTGTTTTTTACCATAACTTTAAAACACCCTGTGCAATAATTTCGTGTGTAAATTTTCCTAAAATATAATTTTACGGTCAGAACCATGTCTCCTGGGTATTTTGTTTTTTGGATCCACCAATAATTACCACCAATAATTTTCAATTTTTTCAATTATCATTTCCTAGGATTTCCAAAGTATAGAAAAAAAGTGGTATCTACCTGTTTCTCCTTCGACGTCTTCAACAGTGTTGATCTGCTCGTCGGGCTGTTCCTGGACAGCGGCTTCAGCAGAGGCTTGGGCTTGTTGAGCGGCTTGAGCTGCCTGGGCAGCTTGAACTGCTTGTTGTTGCTGTTGCTGTTGAGCGGTGTTGGTAAGCACTTGGGCAGGTTCGTCATCGTCATCATCATCGTCGTCGTCGTCATCATCGTCATCACCTAGATTATCATCATTTTTTTCGTGTCAATAGTAAGTTTTCAATCAAATTTTTTCATTGAAATTAAAGAAAAAACTTTTTTTTTAAATATTTTATAGTTCCTTGGACTTTCTGTCTTTGAAAATTGCGTGTTTTAAATAGAACACCCTATATATTTTTTGCTTTTTGGATTCTACATGAATTTCTAAACACATTTCAGTCATTAGGTGTTAGTGTACTTTTTTTGTGTCACATTTAACATTTTTTTTTGTATTAAAATATTTGTTATAAATCATTTTGTTTTAATACGTATTAATAAAAATGACATACGCTGTCAAATGAACTTATTGATATAAACTATATTTTATTTTAAATAGGACACCCTATACCGGGTGCGTCTCAAAAGTGGCTCACCTCCTATAACTTTTTTATTTTTTCAGATAAAAAAAACGAGATTTGGTATGTTAGTATATATGACATAAATTAGGATTGATTGATTTTTACAACTTTTGATTTTTAAATGGCACCCTCGGTATATTTCTACTCTGTTCGATAGAAAATGACACTCTGAATAGAATGACATATCCTATGTCAACTTTTGACATTTTTGGATATGATTTAATTGAAATTGCAACATACGGTTCATAACGACAATTTGACTCGTAATACCATGTGTGTGGTGTCAAATTATTCGTAAAAAATTGCTTATTCCAAATATGCTAATGAGCCCTCGTTCCATTTGAAAAAAAAATGAGATATGATTAAAAATACGATTTGGGCATCTTTTAACCGGGCAGGACAAGACATTAAAAACATTAGACGATCAAATCTATTTTTCCAAACACACCCATGGCACTCTAGATTGAAATTTAATATACAGTTTGTCAAAAGTTAACATATGATATGTCATTCTGTTCAGAGTGTCATTTTCTATAGAACAAAGTAAAAAAAAATACCGAGGGTGCCATTTAAAAATCAAAAATTGTAGTAATTTCCGGTGAAACAGGAAGTGGCCGAAAATAATTGGAATACGTCAATCAATCCTAATTTATGTCATATACTAACATACCAAATCTCGTTTTTTTCATCTGAAAAAAAAAATAAAAGCGTTATACACCCGGTATGTTCTCTGATTTCAGTAATATATACCCTTTCTTTTCAATAATTTTAATACAGTAGGTTTATAATTTAATTTTTTTTATACTGGGTGTCTTTAAATAAGTCTAATTGACTCCAAAAACACGTCAACGGTGTATATTTTGCAAAAAAAAATTGTCTTTTGAAAATTTGACATTTTTTTATATTTTTTTTCGTGCTTCAGAAAATTATTTCCACTAATTTTTGTATTGTTCTGAATGCCTCACATTGAAATAAGACTAACAAACTTCTACGCTCATTGAAACCACCAATTTTGAGGTTTTTAATGAAGCTTTAGTACGAAAATCGATTACAATAAAAGTCCAGTTAGAATAAATAAATAATTAATTTATTTGTACACACATGAAACAACAACAACATATTTACAATGGTATTTTATTTACAAGGAGAGAGGTTAGTGCACAAAGGACCTACCTCCGCCTAAGATATCATCGAAAAAACCGAAGTAATCTCCTCCCTCTCCTTCGTCATCGTCTTCAGCAGCGTCATCGTCATCATCATCGTCGTCGTCATCTCCTAAAATGTCATCGTCATCATCATCATCGTCGTCATCAGATGATTGACGTCCTGTGGCTTTGCCTTTATGATGTTTTCCGTGATGGGCACGACCTGCAATCAAATTAATGTTGATTTGAATGTGATAGATGCTTAAGATGTCTTAAGCCCAAGTAGCATTTTCACGGCTTGCGACCACATGTTTACTAAACACAACGTTGGATTAGTTACAAAAAATAGTTAGCTCCCTACCTTGGGTATTAAAATAAATTTAAACGTTTTTATAACGTTGTGCCGACGTTGGACTAGTACTACAGCAAAGTAGAAGCTTCTGCGACGTCGAATAAACGTTGTCTTGTAACCTTTTTTGCTTAAATAATCTTTAGGTGATTCGGACAACGTAGTTACAACGTTGGACAATATAGAGTTTTCCGACGTCAGTTTCAGGACCTATTCCACGTTATGCAAACGTCGTCTGTTTTACTAATTCCAACGTTGTTTAGATTTCCTTATTCTTACGTTGGTAGGACGTCGAGTCTTAAATCTTAAATTATCACTTCATTGTTCTGTTCAGTCAGACAGTTCAGTGCTGTTTTTGTTTTTATAAAAAAAAACTTAATTAAAATGGGACATAAGAAAGGTACATATAAAATTAAATTTAAATATACATCGACATATATTACCGATAGTTTATCCACTCCCTCGTTTATTTAGATTATAGAGGGCGGCACAAGCTAGACTCTAGGATGACTAAATTAGGCAATCTTGCGACTAGTATACTATCTGTTAAGGCCGAACTGCGACTTTATTAGTCCAGTATGCGACTACTCGAACTACTCCATCTTAATCTCCAAAACAACAAAGTGAAAGCCGCCATGTTGTTAAATAAGAAAATGTTTCGTTCCTAAAATAGCAATTCCTGCTTTTTGAATACATTAACTTGAAATATATGACCCTAAAAAACACGCGGAAACAATTTTTTCGACTGCGAATAAATTATTCTCATTTTACTAAAAAAAAGAAATTCAAGAAAGTTTTTAAAACTTCTTTAATTTGAAGGCCCATTAGTATTTTTCAAAGTAGAAACAATACATTTATCAATAAAGTTGTTTGGGTTTAACTTTTTTGCCTTGGGTAACGAGTTACAGAGTCGGTTAAAGTGTTTCAATAATTATGATCTTCAAACATCCTCCACACTTAAATACTTTTATTTTGTTTTCCTTCACTGCCATCTGACATATGTCTCTAACTAAATCATAAAAATAATATTTTTACTATAATTATCCCAATTTAGGATAAAACGCGACTTAGACGCCATATTAGTTTTGTATTTCTGTGAATTAGGATATTAAACAACGTTGCAGTTTGTACTAAATTAGGCTTCTAGTCAACGTCGGTATCCAACGTCGTTTCGACCCAAAAATTATTCTCCAAACTAGTGCAGACTAGGGTTGGCACGAGGTTGTGCCGACGTTGCGCCCCGACGTTTGGTCGCGTGACACAACGTTGTCCCGACGTCCAAATGCTGCTTGGGAGATGTTTAAAAAAACTTAAAAAAACCATCCATTTACTTTTAGTGCATAGCGATTTTCAGCAATCGTGTAACTTTTTTATTTATAAAGATTTTCACATACTGTCTGCGAAGAAAATATAGCAGATCTATTAAGAAAGTTTTTGAAAAAAAAACTAGATTCAATTATTTCTGATAGATTTCGAGATATCGATTTTTGAATTCAGATTCTAATAGCGCGACCACTGTCAAACACCAAATCAATTCCACTTATTTTGACCAAATGTGCAAGTGTTTCTAACTTGCACTTAAAAATTTACAAGCTATAGGGAAAATTACAAAGACTCGTTAATAAATAAACAAATAAAATATCACGAGACGTAATTAAATTGTGAAGCTGAACGCATGATGTACACCCTTTCCCTAGAACTTCCTTCCATGTTTCTTAGCAATGTAACGTACGTCTGCTGGATCTGTATCTATGAAAGGAATGCGGACAAAAAACATTTAAATAAACAGCAATATATTTTATACGTCGGCTTGACGAGTACGTCACCGCAAATCGCTCCGCCCACTCATTTTATTGGCTACTTGCAAATTTGTCGAATTTTTATTGATGGAACGCGTCGTCTAATTATCGTTTCCCCTCTCACGGATACCCCGTAGCTACAGAACGGACAGACGTACTGTACACAGTTTCTCGGTTTATTTCATACGTTTGGCAACGTTTTTACTGTTCAGTACATTATAAACGCATTGTAATCTTCTTACATAAGCCCTTGGTATTGTAATAATAAAAAATAGTACAATTACCTTCACTAGCTTTCTTGGCTTCGGCCAAAGTCGTCGTCTCAGCTACTTCAGCCACCTGAGTTGTTGTAGCTTCCTCTTCCTGTTTAGCTTCGGTAGAAGATGTTTCAGCTTCAGCTGCTTTCTTGGTTTCAGTCTCAACCTTAGCTGCTTCTGTCGTGCTACTTTTAAACACCCCTTGAGTCTCTTCTTGTTTGGCTCCTTTGGTTTGGACGGCTGTTGCTGTTTCTGATTTCTGTTCAGTAGGTTCGGCTGTGATGATGATTGGGTTGGCTTGACAGTAGAGTGACAGGCACAGGAGGGCCGCTCCTAGGAGGTACAGCCTCATTTTGTGGGTCTGGAATTAGAAAAAATACATAATTGTATAGGGTGGGTCAAATTGGACGCTTTTAAAGGGAAACGCCCTTTTCTACAGGAGATAGACAAAAACTAATATCGATATCTGGAGCTAATTTTTTTTTGCTATGGAAAAATTTGTATTTTTATGAAAACGTTTCTAAAGCACTTTTTTACGTAGAATTTAATGGTTTAAGTATAATTTTTTTTTCAAATTAATAATTTAATAAGAGTTATCAACAGAAACATTGATTTTTTGAACTGAAAAAGCCTAAAATTACCTTTCCAAAAATATAGCAGACGTGGTATTTTGTCATAGTCCCCTTCGAAATACAGAATTTTTAAAAGTTCGCCACTTTTAACTAGTAGGCTTTGAAACTCTTATTGATGATCTGCCTCTGACAGAACTCGGAAACATATTTTTCCAGCAAGACGAGGCACCGCCTCAGAACGCTGAAGTTATCAGCAAATTTTTGCAGCCAATTTCCAGAATAATTGAATAGTTAACCAAGATTCCAGCCGTTGGCCGTCGAGGCCGCCGAACTTAGTGCCTATGGATTTTTATCTTTGCGAGAAAATAAAGGATCTTATTATAATCTATACGGGCTAACTTCCATCCCTACTAAGTTAATGAATTCCGCGAGACATGTTCAAAAACTGTCCCGTCTGTAGCAAAATCTCATGTCTTGGTTTGCTATTTATTTTTATTGTTATTAGATATAGTTTAAATGTGTTGATGTTGTTAAATATAGTTTAAATTTTTATAAAATTTTGCTTCTCTCATTGCAAATATTATTTTCGTTTTAATTGCTGCTCACAGCTAGATTTTTTTTGCATTACAGACGGCGTTTAAAGCCTACTTATTCAAAGTGGGCGAATTTTTAAAAACTCTATATCTCGAAGAGGAATCGAGCAAAATGTCAAGTTTGTTATATTTTTGGAAAGGTAATTTTAAATTCTTTTCGATGAATTACAAATATACAGGGTGTCCCGTATAAAACTAAAATTTTCTGTTGATAATTCTTAAATTATTGATTATTTAAAAAAATTATGCTTAAACCATTAAATTCTACGCAAAAAGGTGCTTTGGAAATGTTTTCATAAAAATACAAAATTCTCCATAGCAAAAAAAGTTACAGCGATTTGTTTAAAATGCAGATTTATGAAAAACACCCCGTATAACTCCGAAACGGTAACAGATATCGATGTGCGATATGTATATGCCCACCCTGTACATGTGCACGTAAACCTTCAAATTTTAAGTACTTTTAACCAAAACGTTGTGTAAGCAAAATAAATAAAGACAATGGAAGTCCGAAATTCTTTTAGTTTGGTAGTAGATACAGATTATAAACTTTGTTTTTTCTTTATAGTTTTTCGTGGTTCCAATTTTCGGAATCGGGTACTAGTTAGGTTACTAGCTTGCGCACATAGCACGCCCACTTATGGCCTGTAAAATTGTGCACAGCGCCTGACAGGCACGGTTATTAGAGAGATATCGGAAAACCGAATAGCGTCATGCAGTATTTACGCGTACCTTATCATGGTTACGATATGCGCGAGTCAATTTTTAACGCAACGTTACCGCCTGACGTAATTTGCGGATCAATTACAGCAAGCGCTATTTCTAAATAACGTTTAAAAATTGCTTAAATGGGCATGTGCGGGTATTTGACAACCGGGGCCGGCCGCACAGTAGGCAATATGTCCAAACCAAGTTGCAAAAAATAACATCCACAGTTAGCATTTATGGCAATAACATTAGATTGGAAACATATTAGTTAAGAGAACACCACATAAAACTAACAAAAAAACATATTCGGAGTCTCTCTCGAGGGACTGTAAAACGAACTTTGCGCAAAACCTACATTTTCAGTTAATTTGTGCTTACTTTGTTATAAATATGGTAATCGTATATCATATAGGATGTTCAATATTCTACGCCAAACTTTCTAAAATATAAAATAATTTTTCTTCGTTATTTTAAATGGAACGCCCTGTATATTATTTTTTTATTAGATGGAAAGTTAAAAAATGAACATTTTTTGTATTTAGAGTATTTCAAAAGTTTGAACGGTTTCGCAGATACGCGCAGTATTATTTCATATGGCGCTTTCAATGGTAAAATACGAGAGAAAAATCATTGGGTGGCTTTGATAAAAATTTACTGTGGAAAATGCCATATGAAATATAAAACCGCAAATATCTGCGATTAATTCTCCGTCTACTGAAAAAATAATATACAGGGTTCCATTCCATTTAAAAAAACGAGGAAAAATTATTTTATATTTTAGAAAGTTTGGCGCAGAATTTTGAACATTCTGTATAATTTACGATTTTCATATTCATAGCAAAGTAAGTACATACCATCTAAAGTAAATACCTAATATAGTTTTTATTTCAGGACAGTTCTTGTATTTTTAATAATTTTTTTAAGAAGGGCTGAAAAATACATATTTTTTATTTATTTTTTAATATCTCTGAAACTATCAAAATATATTTATTCATATCTTAGGGTTATGTAAAGTGATCTGAAAGGAAGCCAAAAATACAATAATATACAGGGTATTCCATTAAAAAAAATCATCAAGGTCCACTGACACTTTTTTGAGCCACCCTATAGAAGTTAAAATATTTTCTTGAAATACATCCTGGCTCATACTTTAGGTTCGCACTTAAACAAAATTCTTAAGTTTTTTATTCTAGGAGCTACAGATGCCCGACGCACTATTGCCGGACCCTGTATAATGATTTTGGTTCACCCTGTATAAGCAAATTATTTTGTTTATTTGGAAAATACCAAATTACAACAAAAAAGATTTTTTTTTCAAAGTAACCAACTAATGAATTTTTATTAAAAATTATACCGGGTGCGTTTCAAAAAAAATCACCCCTATAACTTTTTTATTTTTTCACATAAAAAATTGAGATTTGGTATGTTAGTATATGACATAAATTAGGATTGATTGACTCATTCGATTGTTTTCGGTCACTTCCTGTTTCACCGGAAATGACTACAACTTTTTATTTTTAAATGGCACCCTCGGTATTTTTTTACTTTTTTCGATAGAAAATGACTCTCTGAATGTCAATTTTTGACATTTTCGAATATGGTTTATTTGAAATTGCAAGATGCGATCCATAACGACAATTTGACTCGAAATACCAAGTGTATGGTATCAAATTATTCGTAAAAAATGCTTTTTCCAAATATGCTAATGAACCAACCTCGTTCCATTTGAAAAAATTGAGATATGATTAAAAATACAATTTGGGCATCTTTTAACCGGCCGGGACAAGACACTAAAAACATTAGACGATCAAATCTATTTTTCCAAGGGTCCTTGATTAAAAATTAGTGTTTTTAACACACCCATGGCACTCTAGATTGAAATTTAAAATACAGTTTTGTTTTAAGCGAAAATGTCAAAAGTTTACATATGATACATGTCATTCTATTCAGAGTATCATTTTCTATCAAATAAAGTAAAAAAAAAATACCGAGGGTGCCATTTAAAAATTAAAAGTTGTAGTCATTTCCGGTTAAACAGGAAATGGTCAAAAAAAATTCAATACGTCAATCAATCTTAATTAGTGTCATCTCTTAAATTTCGTTTTTTTTATCTGAAAAAAATAAGCAAAAAATCTTAAAAATATATATTAATATCTATTTTTAAATAAAAATAAAATAAAATTCTTTACCTATGGTGTGTTCCTACTCAAATTACCCAACGGCTAACCTTAGTCGAATGTAATTTTTGATAAAATAATCCGCTATTTATATATAAGCCAACTTGATCTAGTTCCGTAACGCTTAGAGCTATAATAAAATAAATGTCCGGTGTACTACAGCAACGTGTTTATTTATCAACGACCTTACTACTACCCTTCTACTATACATGTTAGAATTTTTTCCTTATAACACCATTTATTTGATATATAAATGCTCTAATTACTAGGCAGGAAATTAAAAATAATCCGTCGTTTAATATGTTAAAGCCAATCCCACATCAAAATCAATTAGTTTATTTTTCTACGATCAAATCATCATCATTAGATCAGAGGCTAGAGTTAAGTCCAGTCTACACATAAGGTTTTACCTGGCAGTCTTAACCATAAAATAATTAACTAGAAAGAAGTGTCAACTCTGTGTTAAATCGTGGAAACACGATACGCCACCGAAAGCCTTCGTTGTCGTCTGGAGAACTAATTTTCCAATTGACAGGTTGACATGACAAGGACATGATGGCTTAATTTTAAAGTTGTAGTCATTTCCGTTTCCGGTTATTCAATGGCGGGCCCTCTTTCAGTTCAAATGTATTTTGTATTTTTTCTTTTCATGAATAAAACCAAAAAATAATTTATTCGCATATATTTATTTGAAATATGGAACAACGTGACTAAATAAATATAAAAATATAGAGGATTGTATTGTTTCAATACCAATTAGTTAATTACATGTACTTTTAACGTAAATTAGTTAAGGTATAAGCATGACTTACATTAATTTGTAAATAAACACACGTATTCGCAGACTTCAAGGACAGAAAACGGACACAGGAACATGAAAACGGGAGCCTTATACAAAAACCTGAAAACAGAAAAACAAATTTTTTTATACTAAAATTAACAATGTAAAAATATCAATAGGTATAAAATATAAATATACTGTTTAAAAAAGCTTCCATTATTCCCAAAGAGACGGGTCATAAATCAAAAAGAAGCAAAAAGAGACTTTTAGTCGGATAACATAATCAGATTATCAGTCCGATTTATTGCATTATTGACAATAAATCGCACATACTGGAGATAACTAATGTTGGCTATAGTTAAAAATGATCTTACCTTGCTGTAAATTGTTTCCATTTTTAAAAAAATCGCCGATCAAAGAGATTATAACACCATTTTCTTGCATCTAAAAAAATGTAAAAACAGTGTTTATTTACTACCTATTTTTCATATACATGGGACATACATACTACTGCAGAAACGTCATTTTCTCCAGGATTCTTCATGTAATATATATTTTTGATATACTTTATTACCTATATATTTATAATTTCAGCCGAAATTTTAAATTGAACTTCCAAAACGAAAATAAACGGAATGAATTAAAATTCGAATATTTTCGAATTTGTTCTAGAACAAATCTGAAGTTGTCTCTGAAACTGAAATCTGTCAATTCTAAACTGTGAAGTTAGACAATAGTTAGACAAAAACAATGCTGTCCTTGTCTAGGCGGCCATACTTGTCGTGAGGAGAATGACAGGAATGACACTAAACAGTGAAATAGGAAAATTGGAAACAGTCATTAGTGTCATTCCTGTCATCTCCTGACGACAAGTATGGCCGCCTAGACAAGGACAACAATGTTTCTGTCTAACTATTGTCTAACTTCACAGTTTAGAATTGACAGATTTGTTCTAGAACAAATCGAACAAATTTCGACGCCATTTTAATTCTCTCCGTTTAGTTTTGTTTTGTAAATTCAATTTGATATTTCGCCTGAAATTTATAAATATAAAGGTAATAAAGCATATAAAATATATATTACATGAAAAATCCTGGAGAAAAAGACGTTTCTGCAGTACTAGGTATGTCCCATGTATATTAAAAATAGGTAGTAATTAAACACTATTTCCATGTTTTTTAGATGCAAGAAAATTTACAGCAAGGTAAGATCATTTTTAACTATAGCCAATATTAGTTACCTCCAGTATGTGCGATTTATTGTCAATAATACAATAAATCTGTCTGATACAATCTGATTGTTATCCGATTAAAAGTCTCTTTTTACTTGTTTTGGATTCATAAAGCAGGTCTCTTTGGGAATAATGGAGCTTTTTTAATTAGTATATTTATATTTTATACCTATATTGATATTTTTACATTGTTAATTTTAGTATAAAAATGTGTTTTTCTGTTTTCAGGTTTGGTTTGTTATGGTATAAGGCTCCCGTTTTCATGTTCCTGCCCCCGTTTTCTGTTTCTGAAGGCTGTGAATACGTGTATTTATTTACACATTTCTGTAAGTCATGCTTATACCTTACTAATTTACGATAAAACTGCATATAATTATGTAATTGATATAGAAATCATTCAATTCTTTATTTTTTTATATTTATTTAGTCACGTTGTCTCATATTTCAAATAAATATGTTTGAATAAATTTTTATTTTGTTTTATTTATGATAAGAAAGAGTACAAAATACATTTAACCTGAAAGAGGTGCCCGCCATTGAATAACCGGAAACGGAAATAAAAATGAAGCCATCATGTCAACCTGTCAATTGAAAATTAGTTCTCCAGACGACAACGAAGGCTTTCGGTGGCGTATCGTGTTTCCACGATTTAACACAGAGTTGACACTTCTTTCTAGTTAATTATTTTATGGTCTTAACTATTCAGTCAAAACGTATAAAGTAAAAGCAACCATAGAATGTTTTAATTCATTACAAATAGTGCTTTCCCGATTATTGCATGAAATTTTTAAAAAAGAAATGCTGATTCGATACAGGGGGTCAAAAAAATTGTGTATCTAACTTCGTTGGGTGATTCTGATAAAAATAAACCAAAAAGTTTCTATATGAACATAGTATGCCCTAAAATGCTTCCCGAAGACGTTACAGCTCTCGGTAAATAAATAATTATCTTTTGTACAAGACGATAAAATGGTATTTCGTCGACCGAAAAGATTAATTCGCGAGCGATGAACTCGCGAGTGAATTATTTTTTTTTTACTATGTTCATATAGAAACTTTTTGGTTAAGTAGGGCTTGACCTCGCCAAAACTGTCATTCCACAGCCCTCTATGACGCCGTTTTTTTCGATCGTATGGTAATTTATAGTAAAAATCAGAAAATAAAAATTATAAAAGATCAATATAACACTTTTTTTAAAATATAAAAATTTACTTACCTATGCAAAAAAATTGACGAAAAAAAACAATGTAGGTACTGAAAATCAAAACTGGAGTCCGTAGAGAAAAAAACACGCAAAAAACTTGACACTTCCGACCTTGATAACGATCTTTCGACTACTGAAGACGGAAGCGCGACTAATCCGTGAAGAAGACATGGAAGAGCGGTCCCCCAGAAGGTCCAAGTAGGCCGGATATCGACCAATGGCCAATCGAAGAACGAAGAAACAAGTTGGCGGGGAACAGTGAAGAAGATCGCGGAGCGGCGATTGCCGACGCGGTGGCAAAACAAACGAAGAAACGTCTCGAGCAAAGCCTACTTAGACTCATACACTTGAATGTTTATTAAGGTGTCTAAATCGGTGACAATGGTAATGCTAAAAAAGTGTCGATAAATGATTTTATTTAAAAAAAAAAAACATGTGCGCCATTGACTTTTTTTCTTTTGATATGTTCTGTAAGCCGTTTAATGCCAATTAAAAATTATCTCTTGATATTTTGTCGAATTCGGCCTCCTTGATGAGATAAACGCAATTTTATTAATCACAATTAATAAAATTAAAATAAAAATAAAATTAATAAATTATATATTTTATCAAATTCATTTTTAAATATTATTACCTATTTGTTATTACTACTATTAGTCCAATATACAGAAATTTCAAATAAAACAATAATGGTATTTAAGATAATTACAAAAAAAAAACTAATTTTAATAAGTTTTAACATCCTGTACCTCTAAAACTATGCATTTTCATAGCCATGTATATGTTATAGGAACCATCCATATATTATAATATATCGAAAAAATATTAAGACTTTCACACCCTGTAGCTACGAAACAAAGCAGAATCGCACCTATGTTGATATGAAAAATAAATCTTATTTTTACGTGAGGAATCTCCCCACGAGAGATGGCACATGTTTTTTGAAACATCCTGTATAATTCATAAAAGTAGGTGATTACGAGTAATAAAACGTACTCCATATAAAAACATATTTCTAAAAATTACACATCTAATACCATACCATCGAAAAAAAAGGCGTCAACGACGTCTGGCCAATGACTATCGATGATAATTTTGGTGATATCAAGCCCTAGACCTCATTTACTTGGCCAATAAAGTTCTAAGGGAAGCATTTTAGGGACTTTTTGTTTTATTTTTGTCTGTAAAATCACACAACGAAGTTAGAAACACTATTTTTTCGACTCCCTGTATAGTAAATGACGTCTAAAAATTGAACTCCCCAAAATTACCACCGATTCTCATTCCCCAGCCGTCTTTGACGCCGCTTTTTTTCGATCATACGGTATATTAAGCACGGTGAAATATTTGACTAAAAAGTAACAGTGGCATTTTTTGTTTCTTTTGTCTCGGCATGACCAAAAAGTGAATCAGTAACATTCTTATTAATTATAAAATCATTTAGCGTATGTGTCATTCGTTATAAGACCGAGGTATTGAAAAATATACGAGGAATTTAGACCGGCCATATACTGGCGCAACTCGCAGCTCTACTAACCCTGAAGAGAAATCGTGGAATTGGTATTCGAACCGCCCACAAAGAACGTTTCTCGATATCGGCGTTAATTTCGGCTGTTTTATTTTATTTCCGCTTTTACTTAGACCTGATTTGGTATTTTACTTTTCATTTGGCACGTTTTGCTTTCGATAGAATCGAAAAAATACACTTTCTTTTGGTATTTAGTCGATTTTCTGTTCATTGCCGGCGATTTAAAAGGGTCAAAGGGTTTAAAAATCTCCATTAGTGTATGAGAGAGGGATTTTATAATTAAATTGAAGGGTCCGAGCTGTTACGAAACGTTCCAACCTTCCTCAGACAATATTAATGCTTGAGCACATTCTTCGCCAGTAAAATTTCTTGTTTCACGTGCACGTTGCATATTTTTGATATAATAAAAGGACGAAAACGACTGACACTGACAACAAGCATCTCTATGTGACATTTACTGGTAATCCGTGTTTTTCCATAGCCTGCTACTTACTTTAGTGAGTAAAATGAAAAAATGTTAATTAAAACCAATATTAAATCATGTCATCCTATAAAATGTTGTTTCTCGTGTAATAAGGAAGATAATGGAGTAAATAAAAAAATAAAATGTAAAAAAAAAGATAAAGCTAAAATGTGATTTTAATTTTAACTTGATACTGTAACTGATCAACTCTACAGGGTGTCACAAATTTTATTAAAAAAACAAGTTATAATTGCTACACCCGGTATTAGTATAAAAAGGGTTCCTATCAAAATACAGTTAGTATAGCAACATTGTGGAAAGAATAACCTATAATTAAAAAAAAATCGTCCAAATCGGATAAGTGGTTTTGACAAAAACTTAACTTAAATTTTTGGTTATTTTTTTGTGGTGCGGTAATTTATTGGGGAAGTGTATAAAATAATTTTTCTTTGTTTTTTTTTAGTGGAACACCCTGTATAGTATTTTTTTATTAGACGGTGAGTTAAAAAATGAACATTTTTTGTATTTAAAGTATTTCAAAATTATTAATGGTTTCGCAGATACACGCAGTATTATTTCATATGGCTATTTGAATGGTAAAATACAAGAGAAAAATCATTGGATGGCTTTGATAAAAATTTACTGTGGAAAATGCCATATCAAATTTAAAACCGCTAATATCTATGAAACCGTTAAAAATTTTGAAATACTCTAAATACAGAAAATGTTCATTTTTTAATTCACCATCTATTAATAAAAAATATAGAGGGTGTTCCATTTAAAAAAAACGAAGAAAAATTATTTTACATTTTAGAAAGTTTAGCGTAGAATTTGGAACATCCTGTATGACTTACGATTACCATATTTATAGCAAAGTAAGTGGAGTCAATCTAAAGTTAATACCTAATATGGTTTTGATTTCAGGGCATTTCTTGTATTTTTAATAATTTTTTTTAGAAAGGCTGATAAATATATGTATATCTTTTATTTATTTATTAATATCTCAGAAACTATCGAAATCTATCTGTATATCTACTAGTAGTTCTTATTCTACTAATAGTATTACCTTTGTTTATATATACAAGGGTATTACGAAGTTTTCTTTGAAAAATATTGACTAAATCTTCAATAATTATTTTCGAAATTCTCAGAGTAATTAAAATGTGTGTAACTACCTAGTAGTAAATATTTTCCTAATAATTGTATGTATATAGGTAGGTATTTCATGTTACCTTGATTACTCTTATTAATTGTTTTCAAGAATATAATATATAATTCTAAGTTATTTTGTCACGTTTTGCCACAGCTGTACCAATCATTTTTAGAGCAAAACAAATTCCAACATTGTTTAAGACTACATTGTGCTAAGATAGTAATTAAAAACAAATAAATATAGATACTACAAGGTTTACGTAAAGAAAAGAAAATAATATAAAAATTAACCAAGAGTATACAGGGCGAGTCTTAAATAAGTCCAAATATTTTTAGAGGTAGGATATTTCGACCCCAGAAAAAAAAATTGATTTTTTTTTAATTTTTAGTTAAAAATCATAATATCTTGAAAATATGGCAACATAGGTAGTAGATTAAATCTATGAGAAAGAAAATCCAGAAAAAATCCCGTGGTTCTCAAAATTTAAAAGAAAAATCATTTTTTTTTTAATTTTCAAAGTAATATCACAGATTAGGTATCCTATAAGTATACAGATAAAAATCTTGTCCCTAATTCGTGGTACGAAAATTGTTTTATATGACGATGTGCAAACGAGTCAAATTTCCTGTGTGCAAAAATAAACTCGCGTAAAATATCAATAAACAGCGTAATAGAGAGATATCGCTAAACCGAATAGCGTGCCTGGACGTTAATAAGGCCAGGTGTTATTTCCTTTACGTGAGGTGGTATTAACTCTCTTCATTTATAGTTATCGGATCGGAAAGAATTCTGATCGCGTCGCGTCCGCTATTTAAACTTAACCTAACTTTGAATTTAAAACTTTGAAATTGTTTTGTTTACTAGGTATTTTAAAACTAAAGGGCTAAAGTGCTTATTTCCAGTGCTTTATTGTTCAACGTCTACCAGTGGGTTTAGGGAACAAGTAACAAATTCTGTTAGAAGGGCTAAGTCGTCATCTGCTGTAAACCTAAGACTCTTTATAGGTTCTTTAGTATTGGAAGAGGTGGAATCCATATTTTGCGCCATATTTATTTAATTAAAACTAATCCCAGCTACTTAAATATCAAATTACCTAATAAAACTAAAGCAATAATTCAAAACAATTCAAACATAACCTAAAATAAAAGATCTCGCCAGCCGGCTCCGGTTGTCAAATACCCGCACATGCCCATTTAAGCAATTTTTAAACGTTATCAGAGGTTATTTAGAAAGAGCGCTTGGTGTAATTGATCCGCAAATTACGTCAGGCGGTAACGTTATTAGCGGGTGTTGCGTTAAAAATTGACTCGCGCATATCGTAACCATGATAAGGTACGCGTAAATACTGGATGACGCTATTCGGTTTTCCGATATCTCTCTAATAACCGTGCCGGTCAGGCGCTGTGCACAATTTTAGAGGCCATAAGTGGGCGTGCTATGTGCGCAAACTAGTCACCTAACTAGTGCCCGATTCCGAAAATTGGAACCACGAAAAACAACAAAGAAAAAACAAAGATTATAATCTGTATAATCTGTGGTAATATCTTGGTTATTTTGGACTTATTTGAAAAATGGCGAAGAGAAAAAATGTTTCTTTTATCGAGTTCTACCAACCCTGAAATATTTGCATTTATTTAAGACTCACCCTGTATAATAATACGAAAACGAAGTACATATATATACTAAACATATTTTTAAAGCTTAAGACTAGAATAAGAATAAAAATATTCATGAAATGAAGTGAAAATTCATGAATTCGGTTTTTGAATGAATATACATTAGATAAAGATCTGAGACTAAGAGACTCTTTGGTCGAATCAAAAACCGACCAACGTCCATGACCTAGAGAGTGCCGAAGAAAAGCCATTGACCTAGAAAGCAGTACTGGATGACGGTAATGTCAAGGACGAATCTTAATATTCGGCAAGTGGTACCTTTAAAACCTGATTTCTCTCTTAATATTCTTTAATCTACGACAATGTCATTATGACACATTTAATATTGTCATTTGGATGTCATTATGGCTTTCATAATGACATTCATAATAATTCATAATAACACGCAATTTTTAAACTAAGAAACAAGCAAAAAAAGATACTTAAATACTAATTAAATTTTAAACATTAATTATAATATCATTAAATTAATTCCAGACGATTCAAATTCTCGATTTTTTTGACCGAAATCCTTCCGATTTTCTTTTTAGAAATGCAATTAAATGGACGTACTTACTAATATCTGTATTTTTCTTCACTGATATAACTGAACGTAGCATGGAATAATATACCCAAAGTGATAAAGGCTTCCTATGTTTTGAAAGATGTGCAAAATATGCCAGGAGAACCTTTTCGTTACTATTCTTGATTCCTTTCCCTTTACACCAATCTTCAAGTTTTACATAGGCTTGCTCGTACGTTTGTCTTAATTTTTCGGGAAGTAGGGAATCGACAACGTTTTGCACAATGCCTTCAATATCCGAAGGGACACTTTCAGAATCAGAATCATCCATATTAATATTATTTTTTGCTGTTTGCCAAAACTGAACGTTTAACACAAAATTGAACATCAATAATTGAGTTGTCAAAGTCAAAATGGAAACAATCAACAAGCACGGTTACCACGGCGCGGCGTCGACTAATATGGGCACCTGATAATTTTGAATTTTAATTTTTATGAGGATATCTCTGATATTTTAAATTAAATTAAATCTCTTTGGATCGTCCCTCGTGTCGCGTCGTAGATTAAATTTTGAATGATACACGTTCGATACGAACTTTTTAATGAAACTTGTGTAACTAACTTAACGTTACACGCGTTTCATTATGATGTTCGTATCGAACTTGTATCATTAATAACCATTAAAAAATAGTATTTATAACAAAAAAATACACTTTCAGTTAGAATATTATTTGATTTTACAGGTAAATCAAATGCTATTATATGACCGAAAAAAAAACGGCGTCAGCGATGGCTATGAAATGAAGATTGCTGTCATTTTATATGTAAAATTATATCGGGAATGTCATCGATCGTCATTTCCAAGCCAACTCGACGCCGTTTTTTTTCTGGATTGCAAGCGACGCACGGTGGGGTATTAGCATGAAAAAGGTGATCAAAATTCGAAAAAGCAAATGTGTTTAAGATTTCCCAAAAAAAGATAAATTATAAGTTAAATCATCTCTGCCATGACTGGTTTTGCTATGGGTGTGTTTAGTTGCATTGATTTGTTTTAACGAAACGTCAAAGTTGTTACTTCTCACAGATAAGAGGTAAATGGCTAAATTTTATGTTTAAAATTATAAGAATTTAGAATTTAGAATGAGTGGGAGGGGGGTTAATCACTTCGACCTTACAGATCCATTGTGTCCCCCTTTCTTGAATCATAACTCATCATACAGTCCCAGGGCTTTGACAAAAGCCAGTATCTGGGACGGTTTTATAGAGGGTAGTTCTCCATCTCCAATATCAGTCGTACCAAAATTCATGGCACGAATGGTTGTCGTCTCGGCGCACTCAGTGATGAGGTGTACTGGTGTTTCACCATCTTCCCCACAGAATCTGCATTCGCCGTTTCTTCTTAGTTTCAATCTACTGAGGTGTTCATTGAGGAGACAGTGTCCTGTTAAAACCCCGTGACAATCCGAAGATTGTTCTTACTCAGACCTAGGAAGATCTGTGATTTTTATTGATCATAAGCCCTCAGAAACTTCTTCGAGTGTCCTAGACCATTGCAAGATTTCCATTCCAGGTTGCGGATGGAATCTTCCAAGTTCTTGAGTTCCTCCTTGAGTTGGTTACCACTTGGAAAGCAGAACGGTTCTGGTCCAGTTAGTGGAGTGTTCGCTCCTTTTCTACCTAGATTATTTGCTTTTTCATTGCCTTTTATCCCTTGGTGAGCAGGCACCCAGTGTAGGAGGACTTTGTTTTCTTTGCCTAATTTATTCAGCTTCTCTATGTATTCTTTGACCAATTTCGAATTGATTGAGACTGAGTTGATCGCCTTTAACGCTGCTTGACTATCAGATAAGATGGCTATTTCTTGTTTCCGATAGTTCCTATCTAAGATAAGTTGTACGCATCTCTCGATAGCGTAGATTTCTGCCTGTAGGATACTAGGGTAAGTGCCCATTGGTTCGGAGTAATTAGCTCTCGGCCCAAACACTCCGATCCCTGTTCCCGTATTGGTTTTGGAAGCATCAGTATACCAAGTTATTGTATGGTCTTTTAACTGCTGGGCAAGCGTTTCGCTCTTCCAATCCTTCTTATTGCTCAATACTACATTGACATGTTTGTCAAAGTTGTACGTTGTTGGCATATCGTCCACTGGGAGTTGCAGGAGTGGTATTTCCTTTTTGAGGGTGTTCCAAGCCCCTGATCTGACAATTCTCCCAGTACTAATTCCGTTAGTGACCATTCTAATCATTGTCGCATTGGCATATCTACCAATGACAATGTGCAGTGGTGTTAGATCTAGAATGACCTCCATTGCTGCTGTTGGACAGGTTCTCATGGCTCCTGTGATGCAAACACATGCTAGTCTCTGGACTTTGCATAGGTTTAGCCTTGCCGTCCGTTGCTCTAGTTTTGTGTACCAGGCAACTGCTCCATAAGTAATCATGGGTCTTACTATCATGGTATACATCCAGCGCAAAATGTTAGGGGAGCAGCCCCATCTATTTCCGGTCATTAAAATTATAAATTGTTGTTGTTCTTGTGCTCTTTTTACGTTTATATTATTGTTTTGATTGAAAATGGCTCAGCAAGCTGCAGGTATGTATTCTACAAAAACGTATTATTTATTTTGATATTCTCTACACTAACGATTTTTTTTGCAACTAAAAGTTAGGCGTTCAGAAAATTTGATTAAATTTGTGACATTTTTATTATACTTAGAGATTTAGTTGCGCATTTCGAAGAATTCAGCATATTGTCTATACTTATACGTTTTACTTAGTAAACATTGGGCTTTCATACAGTAAAATAAAATACTGCGACTTTTTGCGACTTTGCTGATAAAGTGAGAAAAACATTCTTGGTTTCCTCTAATTTGCCAATCAGTGATATACTAATGCGAGGTGTAAACCACGATGGCATTGTTGTGTACAAAGCGATCGCATTAGTGCCATTAGCAGTATAGCACAATTTGGCATTAGTAGCGATTTAGTGGTATGGGCATTGCTCGCGGATCAGTCGTAGCATTAGTAGTAGTAGTTGCGATATTACTACTGGCGCTGACCGTGGAAACACTGGAACAGTGATTTTTCTTTTTTTTTAGAATCGACGAATTATCCTTTATTTTGTTCATATTATTTCCTCTTTAATTGAAAATAGCAATAATTTATATAAGGTCTACATAAAAAAATTTCGATCAACTATCAGTGTCAATAAATACCCCACTGTGCGACGCTACAAATAGAGACATATATAAAACAGAATACAAAAAATGTTTTCAATAAAATATTATATTGGGCATAATTATTATACATTATATCACAAATAATCAAAATAAAGGTATATAATTTCTCACACAATAAATATAGTACTTTAGACATTACATTTTCCTTATTTTTAATATTATATAGGTATCAATTACCTTAGACTATCATCCTAACTAGACACTAATTTTAAGTCTTAACTTTGAAACCAGCACGCCTTTCAAACTGACGTCATCTCAGGGAATAGTTTTTATTAGACAGTTCTGTAGTTAATTTTTTTTTAATTCAACCTGTCTGAATGAAAAAATCTCTATGTTGATTACATACACTAAAGTTTGATTGAGGTGTCTTGGAAGATTATGGTTTAAGGTAACTACTAGCACAGATCATACAGATTATAAGCTATAGCTTTTCGTGGTTCCAATTTTCGGAATCGGGCACTAGTTAGGTGACTAGTTTGCGCACATAGCACGCCCACTTATGGCCTCTAAAATTGTGCACAGCGCCTGACCGGCACAGTTATTAGAGAGATATCGGAAAACCGAATAGCGTCATGCAGTAATTACGCGTACCTTATCAGGGTTACGATATGCGCGAATCAATTTTTGACGCAACACCCGCTAATAACGTTACCGCCTGACGTAATTTGCGGATCAATTACACCAAGCGCTATTTCTAAATAACGTTTAAAAAATGCTTAAATGGGCACGTGCGGGTATTTCACAACCGGGGCCGGCCGGCGAGATCTTTTATTTTAGGTTATGTTTGAATTGTTTTGAATTATTCCTTTAGTTTTATTAGGTAATTTGATATTTAAGTAGCTGGGATTAGTTTTAATTAAATAAATATGGCCCAAAATATGGATTCCATCTCTTCCAATATTAAAGAACCTATAAAGAGGCTTAGGTTTACAGCAGATGACGACTTAGCCCTTCTAAGGGAATTTGTTGCTTTTGTTGCCCTAAACCCACTGGCAGACGTTGAACAATAAAGCACTGGAAATAAGCACTTTAGCCCTTTAGTTTTAAAATACCTAGTAAACAAAACAATTTCAAAGTTTTAAATTCAAAGTTAGGTTAAGTTTAAATAGCGGACGCGACGCGAACAGAATTCTTTCCGATCCGATAACTATAATGAAGAGAGTTAATACCACCTCACGTAAAGGAAATAACACCTGGCCTTATTAACGTCCATGCACGCTATTCGGTTTAGCGATATCTCTCTATTACGCTGTTTATTGTCATTTTACGCCAGTTTATTTTTGCGCACAGGAAATTTTACTCGTTTGCACATCGTCATAAAAAACAATTTTCGTACCACGAATTAGGGACAAGATTTTTATCTGTATACTTATATGATACCTAATCTGTGCTACTAGCAAGCAAACAAAATTTATAAAAATCACATTTGTTTGCTTAAAATAACTCACATTTATTTTTACTAAAAGAAAGTGTATATAAAAAATAATAACAATTAAAATTTATAAATAAATAAAATGTCTTTTTTTTAAAGAGTATAAAAGTAATTTAAATATTTCAACAAAACAAAAAATAATTTGTGTAAAAAGAATCTTAAAAGTAATGAAATAATCGTTGAATCTAAAATATTTAAATTTAAATATTTTTTCTTCTTAATTATTTTTTTATGTACTCTATTTTTTCGTTGGTTGTTTCCACCTTATTTTCTACTAATTTATTTCGTTTATTTTTTAGCAGTTTCTTACCAACAATATACAAAACAATATAAAATAGTATTATCCAATGATAAACAGAGTTGTAATAATGTATAATTTTGTCCACATGCAATAAACTAAAAGCCAGAGCTGCATAAGAGAAGAACTGCATTTTTAGGAAGAGCATAATCACATATCCCAAATTTTTAGGCTGAAAAAAATATTCATAAGTGTTTTAAAACTATTTAAAAATGTATTTTACCATATAAAATTCGTCTTTTAACAGAATTTGAACCCACAAGTCTTCAACTATCAACCCAAATGGTATCATACCAACTGAGATGTAATAGCCTGAGTAGACTCCATGCCAAACACCAGATACAAACATTGTGGCAAAAGTCCTGAATTTTTTATATGGAAATCTGGAAAAAATGTACAAAATAGTCCAGATATTCAAGTTAAAAAATCGAAAAATGTTCACATTTTGACAGCCGCTGGTTTTACTCATGTTTTTCTCATTTTTCAAAATTAAATTCACCAACTATGTTGCCAAATTCACATGAAACATTTAAAAGAAATCTTAAAACCGTGCTAGATCATTTTCGACCTTATATCCACTATGCTTAAGGTTGAAATTTAACAAGCAAATAGTGTGGGATAATCGTAGGATTCTGTGTAATATTGGTTGCATACTTATGGCGTTTTCATCATTATAAATTATATTATAAAAAAAATTAAACCAAACGGAATTTACCTTTTATAGATGCACATAGCTAACCAATACTGAACTGTAATGTTCCAATTCCTCATTCCTTCTCTCAAAGTTGGGTAGAACTCAGTCCCATAAGGGTTTATATTGAGCACAGTCTTATAATTGTACTCAATACTACTCAAAATATCTTCATTATCACTAAAAACAATCAATTGACACCACAGAAAATTAAATAACAATTAAAAACTGTACCAAATTTCATGGAGCTTAACAAAATGTTCTGTAGGTCCGTTTCCTGGCTGATTTTTACAAAATCTTGGATAAACTCCCATGCCTCCCAAAACACAAACACATTCAGACAAAATTAGGCCAATGTAAATTCGCATTCTGAAATTTAAAAACGTAGGCCAAATATACCAGTATCTGTAGAGGAAGGAACGTTGTTCAAATTCTATTGTTGCTGTATACTGCAAGTATATTTATATCATGTATTTGTTTTAAATGATTTATTTTGACTTACTGAAAGTGGCCATAGATAGTCGGTTAACAAATAAATAGCAGCAAAAATTGGCACAAATGGAAGCAGTCGTTTCTTTATTGTACTCTTGTAATCGTCGTATTTGTTAAAAGGTTTGTATAAATGATCATAGTAAGTTTGATACTTGTAATATGGACCTTAAAATAGCTGTACAATTCCTTTGAATACCCTGTTTATGGTAATACTACCTGTTAGAACGCCAATATAATTGATAGAATAACAAAAAATATCCAAAAACGTTAAATCTATATTATGCAACTCATTCTGCGCGATTTCTTCGTTTGTTTTCTTCGCTTCATCCTTTTTTTTCGTATTTATATGACTAGAATTGACTTCAAAAGCTAGGCCTACTAGTTTTAAAGTTAATATCATTTGGACTAGATTGGTATGGCTTGGAGGGTACGGTATCCCGAAATATATAGTGGTTCGGAAAAAAATCAAGTAAATGAACGAGAAAACAAAGCTTATAATATGGCAGTACCTGAAAAAAAATACATTTGAGATATTTATAACCTAAAATTAAAATATTTGTTACCTTTTACTAAAATACAAAATAATAAGAGAATTTACGAATATAGTTAGGAGAATATGTAAAATATGAAGCCTGGATACTATTAAAACTATGGAAAAACCGACAAGAGCACCTATTTTTCTTTTGCTTTGTGCATCTGGAAGCTGTCTGTAAAATAATCCGAAACCTATTGAAAATACTAGAAAAAATAAATAAACATAGTCGTCGAAATTCATAACGTTGTTCTTTTTATATTAATATTCGAAAAGAGAATTTAAAATTTAGTTTATCTTTTATTTTTTGTCAAATAATCAGCTGATTTGTGTTTATTTTTGTATGAAATTAGCTAGCGACATCTGTGACTCTGTTATTAAACTACGTATTAACGCAGTTTCCCAATAGATGGCTTGCAAAAATTAACTGTCAAAGTCAGATGTGTTGGAATTTCAAGTGGTTGACGTGTGACGTGTTAAAAATGTAAACATTTTTTCGAGAAATAATTTGAGAAAAATATCCAGAAAAATGGCTTTACCAGGCAACGGGATATTTGTTGTAAAGGGCGAGATGACTATATTGATGGCTGCCATGAAAAGAGGTAAATCATTTTAAATTGTTACAACCAAATAATCAGATTTTTCAACTATTGTATTTTATGTTATAACTTTCTTTTTATCAATTCTAATCAAGTTATTGTTTATAATTTATGTTCGTTATGTAAATTTAAAATAGGTCAAGCAATAATACAAGATTTTAAGCCTAAAATTCATGGTTTAAAACAATAAAATATGTTGGTAAGTTGCTGTTATATTGTAAATAATTTTAGGCACAAGATGGTCATCCCACTCATATTTAGACGAAGAACTAGATTTACTAATGAAAAGTTTCCAAGAACTCAAAGAATTACTGAGCAGAATCGATGATCTTAGACTTATCGAACCAGAAGTGTTCCTAACCCCATTTCTTGAAGTTATTCGTAGTGAGGATACTACAGGGCCTGTTACCAGTTTAGCCCTAGCTGCTGTAAATAAATTCTTGTCATATGGCTTGATAGGTAAATTTTGCTAGCTGTTTACTAAAGAGAAAATTGATTTATTTTGTTTTTTTTAAGATCCTACACATTCCTCTGTTCCACAAACCGTACACAACATAGCCGATGCTGTGACTCATGCTAGGTTTGTGGGAACAGACCAATCCTCTGATGGGGTGGTTTTGATGAGGATTTTACAAGTTTTAAGGACACTAACTTTGACTCCTGAGGGAGCAATGTTAACCAATGAAAGTTTGTGTGAGATTATGCTGAGTTGTTTTAGGATATGTTTTGAAACACGCATTCATGGTAATATAACTCTAAGGTAAGATATGTTTAATGATTTTTTTATTTTAATTCTAGAATTGCTAAAAAAGACTGCAGAATACTACTTAAAAGACATGGTGCAATTAGTTTTCATGAGATTACCTCAGTTTTCCGATGATGTCAGATCATTGAGTATCAAGAATTTGAAGATGAGAGCTGGTACAGGTGTGGAACAGACAAAATTGAAGAAAAAGAGTAGGCATTCGTTCAGGAAAAAAAGCCAAACAGAAGACAGAGGTTTGTATAACAGTAATTTATTTTAATTCATGTTAAATTCAAATTCTTTTCTGTTTAACTTGAAATTTAATAGCGTTTTTGAAGATTTGCATAAGAACCAAGTAACATATTATCTATTTTGCAATTTTTTTGTATTATATGTTTTCGATTTTATTTTGTTGACAATTACTAGCCTTAAGCCATGAAACAAATAGACGCTGTGCGACGTTACCGCGCTTTGAAGCTAATATATGCTCTGAGTGTGACGTCACTAAAGGGCAATCATAATTATTGTCTGTTTTACTTGAAATTTAAAAGCGTTTTCAAAAAATCTACATATTTTTAGATGATCTAATTACATTATTATATGGTTTTTATTTTTTTAAGATGCTGTTGAAGAGAATTTATCAATTAGTAGATCAGTGTCGGTAGAAACAAATTCACTAAATAATGTGGATAACGTTGTGGATGTACAGAATCATCTGATTTCAACAGATGCAGCGTTAGAAGGTAATGAACAAGAAAATATTGAGAACATAAGTATAGAAAGTGATAAAATTCAGACAGAAAATGAAGAAGTTACAGGAGAACAACCTGAGGTAAGTGTTTGATGTTTTTCAAACAAAAAAAATATATTTTTATAAATAATTTCAGATAAATGAAGTTAAAAATTCAGAATCGGTCTCTGTGAATTTAGAAACTGTTCAAAAACAAGTGTCAGACTCACCAGAGTCATTGAATGTACCAGATCAATCAGTGAATTCAAGTGATTCAAATAAAGAGTATGTTAATCAGAGAGGGATAAGATTTACACCACAAATGATTCAGCCAGATGATTTAGTTCTGATTCCTTACGGTTTGGCATGTGTCAGGGAATTGCTTAGGTATGTCATGACAGTAGTATGAAATAAAAATAGTTAAAAATAATTATATAACCTTTCCTTTTATTGATTTTCCTATATGTAGCTATTCGTGTATTTTTTTAGATTTTTAATCAGTCTATGTAATCCAAACGACAAGCAAAACAATGAGGTTATGATCCACTTAGGGTTGACGTTATTGACAGTCGCATTCGAGGTGGGAGCTGACAGTATAGGCAAACATGCAGCACTACTGTCGCTGGTCAAAGATGATCTATGTCGAAATTTGTTTTCTGTAAGTTTTTTTATTTATAAATTTCAAGTTTTTTTATTACAAAATATATTTTTGTAGCTTCTGAATTCGGAGAGAATATCTATTTTTGCGGCAGATTTGCAAGTGTCGTTCTTGATGTTTGAGTCACTGAGAACTAACCTCAAATTCCAGATGGAAAAATACTTGACTAAGTTGATAGAAATCGTAGTTAGTGAAAATCAAAAAGTATGTTTTATAAAATAAAATAAAAATTATGTTTAATACATTATTTTTTTATAAAAAAAATAGGTGACATATGAGCACAAGGAAATCGCCCTGGATAACATTTTACAACTTTGGAGAATACCAGGATTTGTGAATGAACTGTATTTGAATTATGATTGCGACATGTACTGTACAAATCTCTATGAAGATTTGACGAAACTTTTGGCAAAAAATGCTTACTCTGCTTCGAACGGTGTATGGCACACACATCTCCTGTCATTGGACGCCCTTTTGACAGTTATAGAAGGTAAATACATATATTTCAAAGACCACTATGACGCCTTTTTTTCTCGGCAACTTATTTCAGTTTCAGGAATAGTATTAGTTATATTTTTTATTGTTGTTTTAAATTTATACCATATGATCGAAAAAAACGCCGTCGAAGACGGTCGATGATAATTGACCACGCCAAAATTATCATCGATTGTCGTTTCCTGACCGTCTTTGACAGTTTTTTTCGATTATATGGTTTTTAGAGATAGTAATGTGCTATTTCAAGGCGTACTATGACGTCGTTTTTATTCTATTTCATTGTTCTTATTGTTTTTTTTTATATTTCTCTATAATTAGGTATAGAAATGCATTGCTCAGATAGTAAAAGTTCTCAGGATTTGCCTCATAGTAAGAAGTCTACTAGTGAAAGCAATGAAACTATTGAAAGTATAGGAAATATTATAGGAAAACATAATCGCGTTAAGTATAGTGAATCTGTGCCTCCACTGGATGATTTGCTGGCCAAAAAAAGTATTAAAAAGGTACTAAAAATATTGTTATATTTTTTTTGGAAAAAAATTATAAACAATTAACAACAGTAAATTACACAAATGTCTTCAAACATATAAAAGTGGTGTTAGATGCAAAAAAAATCATATTATCATATGTCATATTGGCCAACCTTTTGATGGCCACTGTATAACTATGTAATAATTTTAGTGGTTACCTCAAGGCACTGAACACTTCAACATCAAACCGAAAAAAGGTATACAATTCTTCCAAGAGCATGGCGTTTTGAAGAGCGATTCTGACAATCAAGAGATCGCCTTATTTTTGAGGGAAAATCCTGCTTTAGATAAGAAAATGATCGGTATAAGCCTAGGGAAATAAAAATAAAAATGTTTTTTAAAGTTTTTTTTTCCTTCTAGGCGAATATATTAGTAACAGGAACAACCTGCATATTTTAGACGCCTTTGTGAAGACTTTTAGTTTCACTGGTGTCAGGATAGACGAAGCTTTGAGAAGTTTTTTGGAGACTTTTAGGTTACCCGGGGAAGCACCGACTATATCGCTGATTTTGGAACAATTTGCCGAACACTGGCATGTAAGTAACTGTATTATTCTAGAGAAATATGTTATTTACAATGTTGTTGTCCTCTAAGATTACGTATTTCTTTGAGAAGATGCTATAATGATTGATTTTTTTTACAGAAAAGCAATGGAGAGCCTTTTGCCGATGTAGATTCCGCCTTTACCCTAGCCTACGCTGTGATTATGTTGAACGTTGATCAACACAACGAAAACGCCAAAAAACAGACTATACCTATGACGCCATTGGCTTTTAAAAAGAATTTAAAAGGTGTTAATGGAGGTGACGATTTCGATGAACAAATGTTAGATGAGATCTACAACACTATCAAGTAATTTAATAATTAAATTTATCCATTTATTTACTATATTTTTTCGATAGTATTCTATTTATTAACCTTAGACCATGGTACAAATAGACACCGAGCTGTTTCCGCGTCTTGAGGTTAACATAAACCTCGTGACGTCACTTAAGGGCAATTTTAATTCTTGTCTATTTTACTCCGTTAATGCCGTATGATCGAAAAAAAACTACATCCAGTTGGCATATAATTTTCCATATTAAATGACAGCGATCCTCAGTTCATAGCCATCGCTGACGCCGTTTTTTTCAATCACGGTATATCTGGTTCCCATATTTTTTTTTTTTTTTTGTATTATATTTTTTCGATATTATTGTATTCATTGTTATTCGCAGTAAACCACGAAACAAATTGACTCTGTGTTGTGTCTTTGTGCTGTGAAGCTCGCATAAACTGTGACCGTGACGTCATTTAAGGGCAATCATAATTCTTGCTGTTTTACCTGAAATTTAAATATGTTTTTGAAGTTATTCATACCTATCAAGTAATATATCTACCAATATATCTGATTTCCATTTATTTGCAATTTTTTGGATTATATTTTTTCGATATTATTCTACCTATGTATTTATTATTTCTAAACTTAGACCATCAAACAAATAGACACTGTGTTGTATCATTATTCCCTGAAGCTAACATAAAACTTGACCGTGACGTTAGTTAAGGGCAATCAAAAATCTTGTCTGTTTTTTCTTGAAATTTAATAGCGTTTTTGAAGATATAAGTATTTATTTAAAAATTTCTATTTATTTACGATTTTTTTGTATTTCTTTTCCAACATTCTAATTATTATTATTACTAGCCTTAGACCATGAAAGAAATAGATACTGTATTGTGTCACTGTCCCTTGAAGCTAATATAAACCTTGACGTTTTAAAAATTTCGGATGGATTATGGATTTTTCTATTATTATATAAATTTACCTAGACCATACCAAACACATATAGATGCATCCGTATCGGCCGTTTGAAGCCAGCATACTTTGTTGCGTCACTACTATGGCAATAAAGATTTCGTTTTTATTTGAATTGATTGATTAAAATTGTTTAATATTCAAATTTAGACAGTAAAAACAGTGAAATAAATAGATACATGAGCTTTTTGACATATTGGAGCCAAAATAAATGAGATCTTGACCTTAGTTTTGCAGTATTTATATTTAAAAAGTTGAAATAATCTGTAGAAAACCACAGAATAATTTTGTATGGTTTTATTTTTTTTTAGAAACGATGAAATCGTTATGCCCGCAGAACAAACAGGTTTGGTTAGAGAAAACTATCTGTGGAAGGTGCTATTGAGAAAAGGAGCTTCAAAAGAGGGTGTCTACTTGCATATCCCCCAAGGTAGGTTAACAAAAAAATGTACAGGGTGGACAAAATGTCAAACTTCATTCAATTTATTTTTTTTTATTTCAGGGACCTACGATTCCGAGCTTTTTAAGTTAATCTATGGTCCGGTAGTAACTGCCCTATGCGCAGTTTACGAAAAATCGGAAGATTCGGGCATTTTTAAGCGCATCATGCTCGGGTTCGAGAAATGCGCGTTTGTGGCTGCGCATTTCAACATGACAGAGAATCTGGACACTTTGATATTGTCCCTGTGCAAATACACCGTCTTTTTCAATCAAAAAAGACAAAATAACATTGCGGTAAGTCCCGGTTAAGTGTACAGGGTGGTCCTTAAATAGTTTTGATACACAAACCTTTCATTAAAAGTTTTTTATGATCAAATTTTGGGACAAATCAACAGTGACAGTTGGACAGGCTATATTCATTTTAGAATGTATTTTCTGATTAGTCTGATTTTTTTTTCTATAGATATCGTTTGGATCCAACCAAAAAGCTCAACTAGCCCTAAAAACAGTATTTTCCTTGGTACATCTTCACGGAGACAATATTCGTGATAGTTGGAAACATATTTTTGATTTAATTCTAGCTCTATACAGGTAAAGATTAATTTAAAAAAAAACATACAGGTTTTCTAGAATTGTTTTTTTTTTCAGTAACAATTTGTTACCTAAAAGTTACATTGAAGCGGAAGATTTTATCGATCCCAGTGGAAGAATAGTTTTGAGTTATAAAGAAATCGAAAATTTACAGAAACAGGATACAAGTAAGAGTTTATTTATTTAATTTTTTCTTTTCTAGTCTTAATTTTTATAAATCTTTTTCACAGGTTTGTTGAGTTCGCTGTATTCTTATATGGTATCGGCAGAAAATCTCTCAAAAGTACCATCGCCAGAAGAACAACAATACATAGCCATAGCCAAAGAATGTCTGAAGGATTGTAACTTAGGTTTGTCAAATATTTATATACGTGGGCGCCTCATCTTCGCCATTTATTAAATGTTTCTTACATTACGTTAAAATTTGAGTAATTTTTTTGGATTTTTAGATCAGCTAATCACAGATTCGAAATTCTTGCACGAAGAGGCTCTGCTGGAACTGGCAAAGGCCTTGATTGAACTGTCCAGAGGTCCAGATGGACAGAGAAGCGTAGAGTATGGTTATAACGAGAGCGAGACTGTGTTTTTTATGGAATTACTTTTCAAAATCGTCATTCAGAACAGGTAAAAATTAGGTTTTTCTTTTATAAAATTTTTGGCAAATCCAGCGTGAAAGAAAAATCAAAATATTTCTCCAATTCACCCACGTTTTTAACGTATACAGGGTGCTTTTTACATAAATTCAAGTATTTTAATTTTTAGTAGACTTTGACATCAAAAACACACCTATGAGTTTTTTTTTATTTGAGAGAGACACCTTGTAATATTTTTAACATATATTAACTTCTCTAGGGATCGTGTTATGACAGTTTGGCAACCTGTCAGAGACCACATCTACACCCTAATGATGAACGCATCACTGTTTGACTACCAGTTCCTCCTCGAAAGATCGGTAATAGGCTTACTGCGCATAGCGATTCGCCTGATGCGCAACGAAGACATGTGTCCAATAGTAATACAGTCGCTGCGCATGTTGCTGCTGCTCAAAGGCACGACTTTGTGCAGGATTTCCAAGCAGATTTCTTTCGGGTTATATGAACTACTGAAGACTTCTGCGCAGAACATCCATACCACTACCGATTGGACGATTATTTTTACTTTGCTTGAGTGTGTTGGAGCTGGAGCTCAGCCTCCTAAGCCCATTGTGGACGATGGAGTCAGTCATGTTGATCCTGGTAAGCCAAACTTGTCAATAGACAATTATGACAATTACAGTAATCCGGAGTTTAACCATAGTTTTTTTATTGCAAATAATTGATCTTGTAGCGTTTTTTAAACCACTACCACTGCGAACGGCAGCTTTTCATCGGAGAGCAGTCGTGGATAAGGTATTTCACTAGAGAGAAAATTAATCAGTAATAATTAACAAAAGATATATAGATATTGGGCGCCAGGCATATACAGAGAAAGAAAACACAGTTGTGTAATACTTAAAACTAATGACTATATTTATTCATGACGTTCTTTGCTGATACATGACATTGTAGAGTTCTAGTAAATATATAGTGGTTATATGTCAAAGAAAGTGGTGGTAGGAGTCGTACTAAATATCTATGAAAACAACTACGATAAAATACAGGACATGTAAAGTTTAAGAGAAAATATGAAATGTAGCATTACCTACTTTAATTTAATTTGATATATTCCATATGATGCTAAATCGAAGATGTTACAACCTGTAGATTCTAGAATCTATGTTTGATTATCCATCTATTAAAATAGTGCAATAATATCTATAAAAGTAATACCATTAAAAGACTTAATGCAATGAAACCTAAGATCTAAATTATATTTTAAAGATTATATCGACATGAATGTTCTTAACAATCTAACCACTGAACATAGTCTGTACGATATTACTTAAGATGTAGGTACGTTATTGTTTAAGACTGAAAATGTTTTAGATGTTAAATGTAAAACTAGAACTTAAATATACACTTAGCTGTTCTTTTATGTAACCTTGCTTCAAACAGTAGCAGCGTGAGGTGGTCTAGCATCTCTGTACTGTCTGTCGGCGATCCTGTTGTCAAAACAACAAAAGGGGCCAGATTGAGGACACCATGAATCCTTACAGCCGTAGCTACTGACTAGGCTTAGAAATGGGAGTGAAGCAGCATGGGACTCAAGCTACATGGACGCTGTGGCACTTAGATGTAAGAAAAAATCGTTCTTACTGGGGACACTCGTCCACAGGACATCTGTACATAAGATAATGTCTGTACATAATGCACTACCCGTACCTTGGAAATAGTCCGTACCTTCGACCCTAAAAATATGAAACTCTTGTTTAAAACCAAACAAGGTCTAATAAACAAAATAAACCTACCTCGAAATACTTCCGAGGGCTCAATAAATAATAAACAACATGTCCTTTCTTCCATGTGACATTCTGGAGGACAAAAGAAAAGGGACGTCAACGTGCCAGCAAAATACAATTACAAGTTAGGTTGGAACATCCGCAACTCTACCCTAAAAATACGCAGTAATAGTAACGAATCTAAAAGGATAATATCTCATCATTACCTGTAGCTTCGAAATAGCAGCTGATTCAGATTACACAGCAAGACTTAAATAATCACCATTTCTCAAAAACTGGGACTAATGGCGTCTGACAGGCCAAACAGTCTAACCAAAAGTGAAGTTAAATCACAGAGAGTTGACAGAAGCGACGTTGACAGCGCGCGCTTCCACAGAGCGATAACAGGGTTGTGTCAAACGAAAACAGGGTTGTGGACTAGAGAACATAAAAATTCGTCAAATAAATCATCAGGCCCGAACGATACGGAATCGGGTGACCATATGCCAGACATCATATATTATATATAAAAAAGACATGTAACGAACTAAAAACGTTACAATCTTCATACAATTTTATGAGACCCCTATTTTTTATTTTACTTCAATTTCATCTCATTTTTTAAAAAAAATTAATCAATATTAATAATTTCAAATTTACACTTTTGCAATCTCTGGCGTCGCCTATCAGAAGTGCCACGGTTTGCCACCAGGTACAAAGGTAAATAAAAACCATTTTTCATGTATTTTAAAGTAGATATAAAATTAATTGTAAAATAAAACTTAAGGAACTTTATAAAAACTTTTTCTGGAGAGCCTTCAGAGTTATTTAGACAGCCCTTCACTTTCATTACAAAAATAATAAAGAGGGTACAATAAAACAAAATTGAAAACTCAAAGTATTTAACGCCAAACGCAAAATCCACAAAATACAAATCAAACTCGAACCCTTGATCGCCTCGAACATCCGAACAACTTTGGTAGTGTTTAGTCCTTTGATAAAAATGGCAGTAATCTGTTAATTATAAAAATTTAAGTGTTAATTTCTAGTAGTAAAAAATGTAAAAGTAAATTTAATATTGGGGTAATAAAGAAAAATCCCACGTAAAAACGTATTTTTTATCGATCTTAATAAAAATAGAAAAATCCAACGTGATTTTAAGATATATGGTGTAGATACGGTAGCAGAGAACTAGACACGCCATAATATGATTCTTCAGAGGCTCGCGCCCTCTGTCAACTATTCAGTCAAATGCTGATAGGTGACGTCATAATTTTCTACGGGTCATTTCAAACTAGTGTAATTTGTATTGAATTTGATTTATTATTTATTCTTTAATTGTAACTTCGTTGCAGTTCTTTTTGTATTGAGGGAGTACTTTTTAATCACTTCAATTGAATTTTATATTAAAAATAACAAAAATTTACTATGGTTAATCACCGGATTACAGTAATTAAAATATTTTTTTTTCTAAATTTGAACGTTTAGGTACAAAGTCAGAAGGCGAGAACCAAATAAACAGCGACGACGAAAGTATCGTTTCGGACAGAGGCTACACTTCTGATACCGAACTGACTAAAGCCGCTCGGACCAATCAGAGAGCTCCCAGCCCGATTTTAGTACCAAATTCACCAATAGGAACGCCCAATACTGGAGGATGGATACTAGTAAGTAGATACACATTTTTTTTCCAGTCAGATCATTGTACTATGAACTAGGGCTCTTTTTTAATATTTTTAGGTTGGTAACGAAGGAGAAATACAGCCAGTTATAGGTCGTACGGTACCGCCTACTCAATACGGAATAGCTTTAGAAAGAAACTTGGGAGCGCATAGCCCTACTAGTCTGATCAAGTGCTGTGAAAGCCTCGCTTTTCTAGTGAGAGATGTCGCTCACATCACGCCGTACAACTTTGACATTTGCGTCCATTGTATAAGAACGTTTGTCGAGGCCAGTTTACAAGAAAGTAAGTGAATATAAATCTTAATAGATTGTTTTTTAGAAAGACAGTTGTGTCTGGCATTTTTTCGATGTCTTCTGTCGAAATCTTCCCTGTCTTGTTGGACAGACTATAATCGATACCTTATTAATAATGTTTGTTAATTATTATTCCTGTGTCTTTTAAATAAGCTCAAGTGTTTTAACGGGTGTTAGATTTGGACAAAAGAAACATATTAAAAAATTAACTTTGAAAATTAAAAAAAATAATACTTACGTTTTGAGAACCGTCGGCATCAATCGGTAATCAGCAAACTCTCAGCTTATTTGACTTCCTGTGTTGCCGCATGCTCATGAAAGTATATATTTGATTGAAAATACTTTATAAAATGGCGATATGAGAATCTGTAATAATTGTGTTAACATTTATTCAATAATAATAAACGTAAAAATGTATTAGTGTGTGTTAAAATATAAGTATGTACAGTATATTTTTCTAGGATTGTTTGTATTAGCAATGATATGGGTCTTGTGCAGAACAGGTCCCCACGAAATCGTGGTTTTTTTAATTTTTAATGTGGATCCCATAGTTAATGGAATGGTTTAAAAGAAAAAAATTGTTGGATGAACCACTTTTTCTACGAAAAAAAATAATTGAAAATTCCAAATTTTCACTACATTTCAATGCGAAAACTCCCTATTATAACCTTCATAAAGACAGTAAAATACAAGGTTATGCACAGTGTTGCCATACTCACCCTGTGTAAAATCGACGAAAACGTTCTACTTTATATTCATTTTTTTACATTTAGTACGCACTTTAAGAACACGAAAAATTAAAAATATAATAAACGAGGCAAAACAAAAACACTATAAAAATAAATTGACAATAAAATCATTACACAGTATTTAGCACAATTGTTTAAAAATATATTTTTCCCGGATTTGTTCAGTAAGATTCCGAAATCGATGTGATCTGCGTACTTCAAACACTCCCCACCAACCTAACCTAACCAATGCATTAACACCCCCAAATAACCAGGCTAACCAATGCATTAACACCTCCAAATAACCAGACTAACCAATGCATTACCACCCTCCAAATAATCAGAATATCTAACCTAACCTAACCAATGCATTAACACCCCCAAATAACCAGGCTAACCAATGCATTAACACCCTCCAAATCACCAGGCTAACCAATGCATTAACACCCTCCAAATAATCAGGCTAACCAATGCATTACCACCCTCCAAATAACCAGCCTATCTAACCTAACCTAACCAATGCATTAACACCCCCAAATAACCAGGCTAACCAATGCATTAACACCCTCCAAATAACCATGCTAACCAATGCATTACCACCCTCCAAATAACCAGGCTAACCAATGCATTAACACCCCCAAATAACCAGGCTAACCAATGCATTAACACCCTCCAAATAACCAGGCTAACCAATGCATTACCACCCTCCAAATAACCAGGCTAACCATTGCATTAACACCCTCCAAATAACCAGGCTAACCAATGCATTACCACCTTCCAAATAACCAGGCTAACCTAATTGAGCCTAATGACAAAACTTCATTGATTACGCGTCGAAAAACAGTATATATTAAAAAAACTTATATTTTCGTAGAACCTGAAAAATCCGCAAATTTTATTTCAGAAATTGCTTTAAAATAATCCACACTAACGAATAAGCTACTAGACAGTTCAATTTTTGTTGCACTAAAGTGATAACTTACCGTTTTAAGTCCCTCCACAACAACTTTATTTCAGAAGAAAATCATATAAAGTAATTTTATTGACAACGTCGCAAATTCTATGCGAAGGCCATAGATGACATACCGATGATCGATTAACTGTCAATCGAAAAAGTCATAAAATTGCTAGCTTGAGCTGATGTAAATAAATATATTTTCTTAATTTTTATGCTTACAAAGAAGATTCGTTACATTTTTGTGCTTAAATTAGATCATTCCACGTCTATATAAGGTAATAAAGTACTAATATGTGATGTTTTTACTGAATCCGTGTAGAAAATTTAACATATTTACTGTCCGTCGCCTGTACCTAAAATACGTTTTTTTGCCGCTTTTTAAAGATAAAACACATTCATCCAACAATTTTTATGCTTAAAAATATTCAGTTTAAGATAATCTTGCAAAAAAATCCCAAAAAAGTGTTAAATGCGTGGGGACCTATTGTGCACCAGAGCCCAATGATATAATTATATGTATTACAAGAACTATTTATTGTAATTCATTGTGGAGAAAATTACAATTAAATTATTAAATTTAAAATTACTGTGAACTTATAAACACACAAATATGCAAGATTGTAGGTAATGTAGGAGGTGGCAACATTGGAAGACCGTCAATAAATTTTAGGAGAATGAATCTGCGGTACTCAAAAGCTTTTTAAAATTTAAAAAAAAATCAAGAAAAATGTAAAATTTTCGTAATTTTTTTGAAATTAAATTTAAACATATAGGCGTGTTTTTGGGCTTGAAAAAATATACTACCAGTTAAAATACTATTAAACTTATTTAAGACAAACACCTTGTATATGTCTGATATTAATTTTTCAGGTAAGAAAAGTGGAAAAAAATCTAGTACCGGTAAAACAAGAGAGACTAGAACTCGAAGAAAGTTGACCAATAGAAGAAAGTCCGAAAATGCCAAGTCCAGAAGTCCCACGGCCAGCAGTCCAGAGGAGGAGGATGACAGTAGTGACAGTGAAATCCCTAGCGGCTATCATCACTTGGTAAGTACAGGGTGATGGTTAAAACAAGTCCAGACAAGTAATATGCTCCGTGGATTTGTTTTTTTGCAGTTGTTGGACCTTATGCACACCCTGCACACAAGAACCGCGCAGATTTTCAAATGGTGGGCTGAAGAAGGTGGCGAAATAGCTCAAGAAACGTCGCTATGGACGCAGGGTTGGTGTCCGTTGTTGCAAGGCATAGCGCGCATGTGCTGTGACAGAAGAGAACAGGTAATTATCTCTCCCACTTTTCCTAAAAGAATATTAGGTTATCCCTTTGAATAAAAAGATAACATAAAAAAGGAAGGAACATATCGATGGGAACCAAAAATCAACTTAAATTCCGGTTTATCATTGCTGTTCTAATTTTATTCAAAACATGAAAAAATCGGGGTTTTAAATAATAATCTTGAACGAAACCAAATGAACTATGGTAATCGCAAAACAATTTCCCATGCACGTGATTAACTTTGAGTGACAAGCGATGGTGACAGCGCTGCCGGATTGTGATGGTTTTATTGGACGAATCCTTTGAATAAGAAGACTAAGGAAGGAGCATATCAAAAATCTTGGGTACACCGCGATGGGCCTCAAATATAGCCGACTTAAATTCCGGTTTATCAATGTCGTTCTGATTTTATTTAAAAAATGTAAAACTATGATGTAGGGTAGACGTGGGATAGACTCAATAATTTGTTGTTTTATTTTACGTTGTGAATAAATGTTGGTAGTTATTAAAATTGTTATAAAAATATATAATTCTAATAAAAATAGATAGGTTATAATATTTATTTATTAACACAAACATCCGATACGCTACTGAAGCAGGTAAGTCAAATTGACGTATCCAAATTCTTTGACATCTAATCTTTGACAAGAAAAAATATATAATTATTTAATTTAAAGTGAATTTAATAAATGATTGATTTACTACACGTATGTATATTATATAATCATTTACTAGAGAAAAGTTATTCTATTATTTCCATAGACTTAAAATAAAATATAGACTGAGCATCTCATTCATAAATAGCTGGAACATGCGGTCAGACAATGTCTTGTTATTGTTTTAGGTTATAACGAGTGCGACACGAGCGATAGATTGGTTGTCTCTGTCGTAACGGTCGTTCCCTGACGACTCTGCCGAGAAACACACCACTGTCTTTCGTTTCTCAAGTACACCTGAACTCTCCGTATCATAGCCGGGTAATTTTTTTATTTTAATGAAGCTATAATTAAATTAAAAATATATCGTATTTAAACTTTTTTATATTTTATTAAGATTTAGGACATGTTTTTTAAATAAAAGTTTAGAAAAAACGTCTTAGAGTCCAAAAAGGATAAAAATAATAAAATACACGTTATAGAAGAAATTTTATAATCGAAATTACGTAATTTTTGAAATTAATAATAAATAATTAATTTTAGTCAAACATTTACAACCCCTAATATTAATCAAAACAGGATCTATTCCACAGATATAATAGAATCGGCGACAGGGAGAGAGAAAAAAAATATGATTGTTGTAATTTTTTTTCTGGTTAAGTGATGTCTTATGTAAAATAGAGAAAACATAAATCTGTTCCATTAAAGCAAGGAGGTGAAAAGTGGATAAAATGAAAACTACATTTATTTAACTCGGTACTGTCTTTATTATACCGGGTGCGTCCCAAAAGTGGTTCATCCCCATAATTTTTTATATATTTTCAAATAAAAAACAAGATTTAGTATGTTAGTATATGACATAAATTAGGATTGATTGACGCATTCAATTGTTTTGGTCACTTCCTGTTTCACCGGAAATGACTATAACTTTTAATTTTTAAACGGCACCATCGGTATATTTCTACTTTATTCGATAGAAAATGACACTCTGAATAGAATGACATATCGTATGTCAACTTTTGACATTTTCGCATATGGTTTAATTGTAATTGTAACACGCGGTTCATAACGACAATTTGACTCGAAATACCAAGTGTGTGGTATCAATATATTCATAAAAAAATGCTTTTTCCAAATATGCTAATGAGTCACCCTTGTTCCATTTGAAAAAATTGACATATGTATGATTAAAAATACGATTTGTACATCTTATAACCGGCCTAGACAAGACACGAAACCTATTAGACGATCAAAACTATTTTTCCAAGGCTTCTTGATTAAAACTTAGTGTTTTTAACAACACCATGGCACCCTGGATTGAAATTTAAAATAGGATTTGTTTTTAAGCGACAGTGTCAAAAGTTGACATATGATATGTCATTCTATTCAGAGTGTCATTTTTTATCGAATAAAGTAGCAATATACCGAGGGTGCCTTTAAAAAATCAAAAGATGTAATCATTTCGGTGAAACAGGAAGAGACCAAAACAATTGAATACGTCAATAAATCTAATTTATGTCATATACCTACTAACATACAAATCTGTTTTTTTTTATCTGGAAAAATAAAAAAGTTATAGGGGTGAGCCACTTTTGAGACGACCCGGTATATTAAAAAATATTGTTTCATAATGTAATATCATTTTAAAATTCTTGTATGTTATTTTAGATTCTGAAAATAATTTTAGAATAAACCGGAATATATTTTTAATAAAAACATTATTAATTATTAACACGGTTATAATTATGATTTTGTTACAATGTAAGTAAGTAAATAATGTAATGTAAGAGAAAAAATTCGGATTTTACATTTTACTAAAATATTATCTAAATAAGCGCCTTTCTACAACAACGCCACTGACTCCCAAAGGGTAAATTGAGAGATGCCTACCGGTCAAAAGTCGTTTCAAGACTTAAATGGATTATTTATGTCAAAGTTCTTGCAAATTTGGCACATTTTATAGTTCTTGAACAGAAAAAGTCAATAAAATAAACACGTAAGGACTACAAGCTAAGAAAATGCGTTAATACAGCCGGGGAGATAGCGGCAACAAAGCTTTACCGCACACGTGCGATACGTACTACAAGGTAATAAATGAATGAATAGGCTCCTTCGCCTCTAATCGGTGTTGTCATATTGTAAAGAACTTATCCTTTTTAAACAGTATCCGACTTATAATTTAGTAGTATAAGGACTATTTAATACATCTATGGAATATTAAAACCTACTTTATTAAACTGTAGTATTAATATCTCAATATATGTGTATAACAAGACGTGACAACATAGGCTGGATGAGGAAGGCTCGGTCGACTGTACCCAGAAGTAAACATGTGTACAAAAAAGATTGTTTGTCCGCGTTGAAATGTAAATAGTGTAGTCTGTATTTTATTTTAAGTCTATGATCATTTCCCTCAATTTTTGACCGATATTTACCGCACGCTACACAACCAACTATTTTACAGTCTTTTTTGATAAATCGCAATAGTGTCACTGTTAATTTAATTTCTGCCAAAATTTCCTAAAATAGTAAAGACTGACAAGTCCAGAAAATTTCAAATCAAATTCAAATGTGTCAAATAAATCGTCAAACAGAACTGTCAAGGATCCTCACCCTAGGGTCCCACCTCTATCTACCATACGTGAATATATGGAACATTATACTCCTTTCTGAATCTTTTTGTTCAAAGGTTAAAGTACAAATCAAAAATATAGGATAATAACCACTTTTACAAGTGACTTATATTTACTATATTATTGTGTTTTATAGGTTAGAATAAGTGCCATAGCGTTCTTGCAGAGGGCATTGTTGGTGCACGACCTACAAACGCTTACAGGGCCGGAGTGGGAACAGTGTTTCCATAGAGTTTTGTTTCCTTTGTTGAATTACCTGTTGCAACCGGTAAGCCCCAAAGGGCCAGTTGCCATGGCCGAGTTTAGGAATAGAGCTGCCACAGTTCTCTCCAAGGTACGTCAATGCATTTTATTTTATATACAGGGTGTCCCATATTTTTTTTTATTTTGTTTTATCTTCATTTTTAAAAAGACATATCTAATAAATTAACTATAAATTTTAGGTATTTTTACATCACTTGACACCGCTACTGTCTTTACCAACTTTTCCAAATCTCTGGACTAACATACTGGATTTTATGGAGAAATACATGCATGCAGACAAAAGTGATATTTTGTATGAAGCCATACCGGAATTGCTCAAAAATATGTTGTTAGTAATGCACTCTGCTAAAGTTTTCGATGATGCTGATGGAAAAGTAAGTATTTATATTAGTTTTAATATAGGGTGTTCAAAAATATTGTCCGTATGTTGTCATAAAGTTCGTTTTAATCATATCACAATATTTTGTCTTTCCCAATATGTATAGTCTGGATCCTTGACAGTGACAGTTATTGTCAGTTTAATTCACCTGCAAATTGTATTTTCTGTCATTTTTTGGATTGATTTGGACAGTATTGTTGAGCACACTGTATATTTTTTTAACCAAATTTGCTTTCAGAATCAGCTGTGGCGAGTTACGTGGGAGAAAATAGACAAATTTTTACCTAATTTGAGAGAGGAACTTTTTAAAGAGAGTATACAGGAGCATCATGTACAGGAAGAGGTAAAAATTGATTTTTTTTAAAGTGTTTGATGATTTTTTGGTACTTATTTATGTACGACCCTGTATTTCGAAATTATTTTCTTTTAGAAACCGCCTCAAAATGTTTTTTATTCTGCCCCAGTCAACTCGGTGCAGCACAGTATTGAGAATCTAACAAGGTCTAGTATTATTCTGCAACCTCCGATATCTCAGCAGCAAGTGTCATCGCATTTATTCGCCCATTTGGGACAGGTAGGCAACCACGGAAACAATAGTAGCATGACCAATAATTGACATATGTGGCTAATAATGTGGCGTATTTGAAAAATAAATTCATAAAAAAATCGGCTTCTTCAAGTTTTATTTTATTTTTTAAATTTTTTAAAATTTTGATTCGATACAAAAATTCAATTATTCCACTTCTTTACATTGAATATGTGACGATTTTTCTTCCAGATGGTTTCTACACCCATAGGATCGAATCAGCAACACGAAACACTCCACACAACCACACCAACGACATCTATGTTACCTCCTAGTCAAAACCTCGTGACACCGTCGGTAGTTCAAACGACCAAGTCGCTTATGCAACCGACTTTACAGCCCGGGCTGCCTTACATGCCTAACTTGCTCACCAATATGGGTGGTATTCCGTCACCACAAGGTAGGATACAATGAGAATATCACGTGATCATAAATAAATATAGTTTAGTCGCAGTTTGGTTTAAAATTACCTCTTGAATGTATTTATTTATAATTACATGGTAGAATGTAGCAGACATGTGAGGTTATGTCTAAAAGGTGACACATTTTAGTTGCGCTTCCACAAGACCAGCACACCTTTCCAGTATTGTACAATGCGCCTACTGTGATTCCCAGCACTACAGCTACAGAGGTTCAACCTCTCTCTCTGTACGCGGAATATATGGGAAACCCCTACAATATCCAAACAAATGAAAGGTAGGTATAGTATGTCCAGTGAGAGTATTTCTTTTAGAATTAGTAATAATCCAGCGAGAGTATAGTACAATTCTTTTAAAAGTTCCTCAATATGGTCGACCTAGTTACGAAAATTGCTATTTTTTTTAATGAAAAATAAGTTGGCGTTAGCGAATTCAGAAATTGATTTTACTCTTTGGTTAACATTAACATTTTTCAGGATTGTCAAGTTGACGTTAAAGTTAGGTTATTAGGTGGTTGTCATAAATCATAAATAGAAACATAGATTATTGAAAATATTTAATAAGAAGAAAGGTATTTTACGGCAGATCCGAAGAGATTTTACTTAAAGGTATTTTATAAACTTTCTCAGTGAGAATATTAACTCCCCTGTTTCTTATATTTTAGTTAAAGGGACGTAAGAACTATAGGAAGTGAATTTTTGTTTTCATGTTTTGACGATATCTGAGAGTTCCTAGAATTATCAAGATTATTGAATAATTATAGTTGTTTAATAAGTGGAATTAATAGAAGACTTGGAAATAGGATGATGCCTTTCATGTTATAGTTGATAGGTCACCCCATTTCTCTTAATTTGTTTTTATTTCAGTACAGTTAATCACAAATTGAATTGATGTGTGCAAAAACAGCTATATATTTTCAAACATCTTATTTAAATAGTTCTTTTATATACTGTTAAACTGTATCAACTACAAAGTCTTTAGCAAAAAGTTATAAGGTAATAAATTTTGTAGATATAATTTATGAAAATTTATATGTATATTATAAAGATTAGAACACAATCCTCTGAGGGAAAAAGAAATACTCAAAAACTCATTAAATATACTTTATTAAAAATAACAACATACAAAAACAGTCATCCATGCAAACTGTAATAATCAGAACATTATCCACATTATACCTTTATTAAATTTGTGTTCACACTCCTGTCAGGAAAGCCAGAAATGTTTGTTTAAATATTAACTTATTTTAAATTGCCACAAACACATCAGAATATGTCACAACCACAACTATAGGTTTGGAATCAGTACTAAATTTTATACCTAGTAAGTGATGCGTCAACTAACAAGTATAGGATAAAAAAGAATTATTAATATAGAGTGTACTATACGATGCCCTTCTGCTTATTTATGAAATGACTTTCTTTTCAAATGTGAGGAATACCGGTAAAATTAAACATAATTTTTGGTTTGGTATGGTGTTTGATATTCTAACTACATCTATTACAAACCTTAAGTGCTTTTAGTGAGTAACTGTATTTTTTATTATTCTTTGTGTATCCTGTAAAGTAAAAAAATATATATTTCAAGAAATATAAAAACAATGCAATAGATATCAAACAGATCCATCATTATTTGATCTTTGGTCCCTTTACCAACATTACCTTATTTAGGTCTTCTCTACTAACTCAACTTTTAAACCTGTTTTAAATCTTCTTTATATTTTAACACTGATTTACTACAATCTGTAATGCCCGCGCTGCATCCTGAAATATAAGTTTTAATCTATTTATTATCATATACATAATACAAACCTGAAAATTACTGATACGAGGAAACTTCTCAAAATAATTAGAGACCTTTTTACAAACATCTGGACTAATTAATTTTCACGAATTTGTGGACGAGTCAATGCTTTCTAATACGTTTTTAAACGTTTTGCACATTTTCAATATCTTCCAGCCTATTCCTCAGTTATTGATCGGTGAAAAGATTATTTATAACTATCTAATTAGTACTGCAGGCTGCAGGTTAAATAAAAGAACAAAATCAAGTAGAATTTCTGAATAAAAACTCAAAAAATAATGAAAATATTTAGAAAAAGGAACCGTAAACGTCATTTAGCCAAGTGTCAGAGTTCAATTAGATTTACCACAGATTATCAGTTTGAACAATTTGAACTACAGTCGATTCCAGTCTTTGCTTTGAATAAGAAGACTAAGGAAGGAGCATAATGCTATCCATGTATTCATGCATGGTGGACGGAAAAACCACCATAAAAGCTCTCTAGGGTGGGGATCCTTGACAGTTCTCTTTGACGATTCATTTGACACATTTGAATTTGATTTGAAATTATGTGGCTTTTTCAGTCCTTACAGAGCTTATTTTATGTTATTTATTATTTATTCTACTACTGATAGTTGTATAAAGGTAGTAAATCTAGATGGAAATTGTGGCAGAACTTAAATTAACAGTGAGACTATCGCGATTTATCGAAAAAGACTCTAAAATAGTTGGTTGTGTAGCGTGCGGTAGATCTCGGCAAAAATTGAGTGAAATAATGGAACAACTTTTCGCTAGTAAGTGACTATACGTGTAGTAAACCGATCATTTATGAAATTCACTTAAATTAAAGACTCTTTGAATAAGAAGACTAAGGAAGGAGCATATCAAAAATCTTAGGCACACCGCGATGGGCCTCAAATATGGCCGACTTAAATTCCGGTTTATCAGTGTCGTTCTAATTTTATTTAAAAAATGTAAAACTATGATGTAGGGTAGACGTGGGGTAGACTCAATAATTTGTTGTTTTATTTTACGTTGTGAATAAATGTTGGTAGTTATTAAAATTGTTATAAAAATATATAATTCTAATAAAAATAGATAAGTTATAATAAGTATTTATTAACACAAACATCCGATACGCTACTGAAGCAGGGTAAGTCAAATTAACGTATCTAAATTCTTTGACATCTAATCTTTGACAAGTAATAAAAATAAAAAGCTAAAATGCAAGAAAAATATATAATTTAGTTAATTTAAGTGAATTTCATAAATGATCGGTTTACTACACGTATAGTCACTTACTAGCGAAAAGTTGTTCCATTATTTCACTCAATTTTTGCCGAGATCTACCGCACGCTACACAGCCAACTATTTTAGAGTCTTTTTCGATAAATCGCGATAGTGTCACTGTTAATTTAAGTTCTGCTACAATTTCCATCTAGATTTACTACCTTTATACAACTATCAGTAGTAGAATAAATAATAAATAACATAAAATAAGCTCCATAAAGACTGACAAATCCACAAAATTTCAAATCAAATTCAAATGTGTCAAATGAATCGTCAAACAGAACTGTCAAGGATCCCCACCCTAGAGAGCTTTTATGGTGCCTTTTCCGCCCACCGTGCATGATTACATGGATAGCATTATGCTCCTTCCTTAGTCTTCTTATTCAAAGATTCCAGTCTAGAGATTTTCGTTTTTTAAGCCTCCCATACTGAAGTCCGCCATATTGGGAAGTTTTAAATGAATACAAGTATATATATATAAGTAGTGTAGTAGTGCGAGAGTATATAAGTAGTAATATAGCGAGAGTATATAAGTAGTGTGAGAGTATATAAGTGTATAAGAATGTTTATAAAAAGTGTGCTATTTTTGTTTGTTTTTATTTAAGTAGAGATGGACAACCCATACAAAGATCATCAGAAGAAGCCATAACACTTCAAAACAGCTCTAACATAGAGCCAGTATCTAGTCAAAATCATGAAATGCCTATATTAGTTGGGACGGTATCTCATGAAACTGTCATGTCGACGACACAGAGTGTAGGTTTTGACAGCGACATACATATGCAACCGACGAACTTTTTTCAGTCATCAAACTACTTTGACACTACGTCAAACATACCGGCCGGCAGTGAAATACTGTTTGGTGTGAATAAAAATTACGTAGACAACGCGACAACTGCCATTACTGAAACGTCATCTGTCAGTGCAGAGATGAGTTCAAATATTTAAGAAAATGTTTTATTTTACAATTTTATCAGTTAAAAACTAAATACCATTGGATTGAAAAAAATTGATCGTCATTTCAAAGTCCAGTTGACGTCGTTCTTTTTCGATCGTACGATATGTAACTATTTTTTGTTGTTGTTGTAAATATATTAAAAGATATTTTTTATGGTAGGTGAAAAAATATAATAAATTATATACAAAAATGTTTAAAACATGTACTGTTACAGTTTATTAATTGAATTTTAGTCCAAAAAACGGTGTTCATAAGTATACAAGGGTGATTCAAATTTATTAACTAAGACATTTTTTTTATCTCTATGTCATCATTTATATATAAAAAAAATTTAATTTCTTTTGGAGATTCGCCAAAATAACATGTTGATTTTTTAAATGTATTTTTAAAATACACCTTGCATAAAGAGTACTATAGCTAGGTGTCGAAATATTATATAAAACACTATAGTGGAGAATTATGAACTAAAATGTAGTGTTATATATCGTTCTATATAACTACATATTTGACAAATTATGCAGAGATTTTTGGGAATGCAGTTCAGTTTAAATAATAGCCATTATATCTATGTCTTATTATATTTTTCCAAATATTTTAATTAAAAAAACGTTTCAACCACAATTTAAACGTTTTTGTAACTAAAATATTTGGAAAAAAATATAATATGACATAGATATAATGTCTATTATTTAAACTAAACTGCATTCCTATGAATCTCTACATAATTTATGAAATATTACAGTTCAAGAAATTAAGCTAAATTAATACTACAACTACATATGTATATAATAGTGCAAAGTGATATAATATAATTTTATGAAAAAAAGATGGTTTTATTTTTTCTGCACGATTTTAAAACTGAATTTAAATAAATTCAGCAAAAAAGAAATAAAACATAGTAAATTTAAATATATTGTGGCGCCAACTGTTGGCAAATTATTGAACTAAATAAATTTTGAGACTTGTGGCGTCCTCTATAAGCAATTTCTCAAACTAAAGTCAATTTAAAACTCGTGGCGCCATCTATAAGACGGTTGCCAAACTTAAACTACTAATGATTCCTGTAGTTTGTTAGATTGTGGCGACACCTATCGAGAAATAGACTAATCTTTTCCAATGTGTTACAGGTTTCTGTAATAAAAAATACTTTTGCGACATCTATTAATTAGTAACTGAAGTTTATTTGGAAAATTAAAATCAATTTATAGAATTCTGTAATTTTTAGAGCCCGAAAAGTGTTGAATTAACGCCATCTCTGTGTGAAATTTTACACTATATTTTATTTTAACCTAAGAAAATACGAAATGTTTGGAAATTTTTCAATGTTTTTAGTTAATTTTTAAAACGTAAATTAATAAAATGAATACCTCCAAATTATGTTGTCTTTGTTTGAAAAGGTAGGTAATTTTTGTTCAGACTGCGGTTCAACATTACCGCTCTTAAGGGCATTGAAAGTAGTTATGAAAGCACTTGTTCGAAATAGTACAATTTGAGTGTATATTACATGTTTCCTGAGCTTTATTTATAGATATTATTAATATTTTAGTGTTAAGAGACGAGAACAGTACAGTACTTTATACGGTACACCTTAATTCCCATCATGTACGAGAGATAAAGGAAGATTTGAAGGAGCTTGATGTCGAGACAAAAGAAAATGAAGGGTCTATAGTGGAAAGAAAATGTCTTAAATGTGACAATAGTAAAATACCTTATGCTACAATTCAACTTAGGTCAGCTGAGGAAGAACAGACTGTTTTCTCCTCGTACAAAATGTAAATGCATGGGAAGAGACAATTCTTACTAAGACAACTGGTTTTTGTACATAATTTGCTTCTTTGCATCGTTCTGGAGTGTTAAATAAAGCACTTAAATATATCAAGTGAGTATTACAATAAAATTACTTAAATATAACTCACAAATTTCTTTAGAAAACTCAATGTTAGTATCAGTATTAATTTAACGAGAGTAAAGTTCTACTTCATGTAGATATTAAAAACAATTTTCCATTTGGATGTGTGGGAATTTTTTTTGTGAAGTTCAAAACTTCTCAGATTAATTTTGTCTTTAGTATTAAAATGAGTTGTGCTTTAAAGTGTACTTTCTAAAACAGCTCAAGTTCAGGCCAATCAAGATTCACTTTTGGTTTCATGAACTCCTTACGTGGGTTATTAATATATTAATTTCACTATTTGAATTATTTAGATTCCTTCTTACTCCGTGTGAACATTTTACTTTATGTATCAGTAAATGTCTTAGATAAAATTTCTTCGACCAAAAATTCTTCAACTGTCCATTGTGTGTGTATATATATTGTTGAAATATTAATCAAATGATCACAGTATAAGCTGTAAATTTTTACTTGTGTTATAGTAAATATAAAACAAACCCTAGATATTTCTAATTTTAGCTATATTAATATTTATTTAAAATTATTTTAAGAAAAATATTTTTGGTGTATTTTGAGTTGCCTATAGCTTAGGGAGAAATGTCAATACATTATGTAGCTACTTTGAATTAAAAAAACTTTTTAATTCATTGTTGTTTATTCCTTAACTTAGTTTTTAATAGAAAAATAGCCCATTTAACCATGTTAATAAGTTATTACTTTGATAATTTTTTAAATATCAAAGTAATAACTTATTTACATGGTTAAAAGCAGGTATTTCTGGATTTTATGTTATATTTACTATAGCAAAACATTTTTTATAGCTAGAAATATGAAAAGCAAACATTCCTGAGACAGCACCACGTAATCAACCAGCCAAAGATCCTCATTAGAGAAAATCTTAAATAAGACACAGAAATGGTAAAGTAAGTAATAAATTTATTTCGTTTACTATCAGTTTTTTTGTGATTACATGGTATCATACGGCGTTAAAATTGGCTTGGAAATGTAGATCGTGGTATTTTTATATGCATAATTATATCGATGGTCTTTTCCAAGCCAACTTAATGCTGTTTTTTATCATACGGTAGTATACGATCGAAAAACAGCGTCAAGATTGGTTTAGAAATGAAAATTTCTTTATTTTGGGAAGTATTTCTATATGCCTGCTATGACGTCCTTTTTCATTTGATCACACTGTATATACAACTTAAATTAGTTTATATTCCATTGGTATTCAAAATAATAGGTAATAAATAAATAGCCGTGAGGCTACAAAAAATAATAAAAATATACCGTATGATCGAAAAAAACGGCATCCAGTTGGTACGGAAATGACAATCGATGACATTCCTCATATAATTTTGTATACAAAATGACAGTAATCTTCATTTCATAGCTATCGCTGACGCCGTTTTTTTTTCGATCATATTGTAAGAAACAGATTTTATATATGTAATAAAAAAAACGGGTCCAGTTGGCTTGGAAATGACGATCGATGACATTTCCCGTATAAAATGACAGCGATCTTCATTTCATAGCCATCGCTGACGCCGTTTTTATTCGATCATACGCTATAATAATACCGTTTGATCGAATAAAAACGGCGTCCAGTTGGTTTGGAAATGACGATCGATGACATTTCCCATATAAATTTACATATGAAATGACAGCGATCTTTATTTCATAGCCATCGCTGACGCCGTTTTTATTCGATCATACTGTATAATGCTAACGTACTAATATTATTTTTGTATTCTTTTCAGTGCAGAAGTTTCCATCTACATCGCACCATGATCCAGGTCCACTACGTGCATCTTTTTTGATACACCTTGTATATATTGTATTTTATTTTTGTACGTTTTGTATTATAAATAAAGATAATTAGTTACAATACTTTTTTATTTCCACACATGGGTTTTATATCTTTAATACATATCTCCTTACCTCTTCATTCTTATATGCTCCCGATAGAAATCGGTGATTTTGACGTTTAAAAATTTTTGTACAGTTTATGTCAGGTTGAGAAAATCTAAGTTTTGTATCAGGAATATATAATATGAGAGCGAGGAGGTAAATACAATATAGTAGAAAATTATTTATATTAAAAGAGCACATATAAATACATGTTGCTACTAATTTTTAAATCCTCGCTCTCATTTATTCTCAGTATGGTCAGATTTTTAACAAAAGTTGGTCAAAATAATTCGACTAGGTGAAAAACTAGAGTACTAGACCAACGAGTTAGAATGAGTTAGATTTTTTCGAAAAACGGCCATAACTTCTAAACTATAAGGGTTAGAGAGGAACGGATCTCGGCATTCGATTCGCCTTTCAACCCTCTATAAGGGTGCAAATTTGGGGCGCGATCGGAGACAAAAAAAATTTTTGAGGATAAATGAGGGAAGGTTAACCCCTTACCTCATTTTTCGCCAAAAATTTTTTGTCTCCGATCCTAATTATGCACCCTTATAGAGGGGTTGAAAAGGCGAATGGAATGCCGAGTTCCGTTCCTCTCTAACCCTTATAGTTTCCGAGATATTAAGGGTTGAAGTTTGGAAACGAGTTCGAAGTGCTAGAGATAGCAGAAATATCGTTGATCGATGCTATATTTACATGTGGTACTCAATTAGCTCCTTACCTCTTCACCCTTATGCGTTCCTGATTAAAATCGGCAATTTTCGATCAGTTTTAAAAATTTTCGTGCGCTCTTTGACAAAAATTGAATTACTCGGGTTTGTATCAGGAGTGCATAAGAGCGAGTTGTTAAAAATATTGGTACTTAATTTACTCCTCACCTCTTCACACTTATGTGCTCCTGATAGAAATCAGTGATTTTGGGCAAGGATTAAAAATGTTCGTTTAATCTTTGTTAAAGCTGTATTTTCCCGGATTTGTATCAGGAGTACATAAGTGCGAAGAGGTAATCATTAGTATTATTTTATATAAAAATACTGTCTATTCCAGAACAACCTGATTTAAAATTTTAAGTTGTTTATTATTAGAATATATAATTTTTGTGATAATTAAATGACTTTTTCTTTTTGTTCAGGATTAGACAGTATTTCTAATATGCATATTTTGGTTCAGTAAAACTCATTTATTATTAATTATTATTTATTAACATATGATATTTTATTAACAAGAATAATATAAAAAGTATATTAATAATTATAATATACAGGGGACACTGAGGGTAAATTAAAAATAAACTGCCTACAAATAGATATATATTTTATTGTTTAGAGATTGCCATTACAAAAAAAAATAATAAGAATAATCACAGAAAATGAAAAATAATATACAACCACCTGGGTGCGTAACACGTATCTGATAAACTACAATAAAAAAATAATTCTTGAGACTAAAAACTTTATATATACTGTATATACACAGCGAGAAAAAAAAGTAGGTATTGATAAACCATTGACAACTAAAAAAATGAACATAATTGCTTATATGTGGAATACATTTTATGACAAAAATATAGTAATCAATATTTACATGAAATAAGAAATATACAGGATGATCAAAATGTGTTCTGCAAAAACCTCCACATCAATGATAACTTACATTTTAAAAATAGGTTCAGAACAGTTGGACATCCTGTATAAATATACAGCAGATTTTTTCGGTGTAGTACTGTGAATACATTGCGTAAAAATAATAAATTGTAACAATCAGATCTAACACACATGAGAAAATGATTTTTTAACTTTAAAACAAACTTAAAATATTTGTATATCTTTTATTTGTCAATGGATAAAAAAAATCAAAATTACATGAGATTCAGAGTATTTTTATTATAATTTTCTAAAAAAATTGGAAAAATTGGGCAATATAACCAAGGCAAAAAATATTATTTGTTAACAATAACATTTTTGCATCTTGTAACGTTTTTATATAATTGGAAGACCCTCGATTCAATGGGATATTATCAAACGGTTCAATATAATTCTTTAGTATTAAAAATTCTTTAAATATCTTTTCTCTATTTTATCCTTTTATCCTACATACAGTGGCGCAGCATCCAACTTCATATAAAATAATATATAATTTAATCTTCAATCTAATTTACATATTCATATATAAATTAGCAAAATAAAAAATAACTACACCACTGTACAGAATATTTCACTCTAAAATTAAGACGCTATAACAATAAAGTCAATTTTTTTTATAATATTAAATGTCGAGATTGAAAGATGCTCTAAAAAACACTAAAACAACGCATCTCCATAATAGATCCGATATATAAAATTAGTATAAAATAATATAAATAAATATCAATATAATGCATAGTAAATAGGTCTAAAAAATTTGGTATCAAAATTTCACAACATTAATAATAGTAATAGTATTAAACACATGAGATTTTTTCTATCAATAACTTGGAAACTTTTAGGTTAGTCGAGCTCACCTTTTTTTCGTTAAAACATTTTTTCGTTAGTTGTATCGGTTAAAAATAAATAAATAAATATTCTTGGAATTTATACAATACAAAAGTTAAAGTCGTCTAAAAATATTTAAATCGTACTTACCTTAGACCATAAAGTCGCTAGACACGTCTTTATTTATGTTGGTTACAGATTTTTTAACGATGACCGTGTCTAGCACATTTAATGGTCTAAGAAGTGATGAGATTTCTTGTTGAGAGTTCTTTCTCTAGTGATTAGCCACGGGTATCCATTGACTTTTTCTATGCTCTGCATCGACGGCGGCCTTGACTTGGGCACAGACGTGGGCAACGTTGGCACCAGCTGAGACAACAGCTGTCACTAGATGTCGATATTCCGCCTCTAGTTTGTGACCGTGCTCGAACATCTCTTTCGCAGCTTTGCCGGACAATTTGTCCATGCTGTATCTGAAATTAACAGCGTTTTTAAGAGATACTAACTACCCTGTATATCTACGGTTGAAAAATACATACCGTGCGTCTTTGACCTCTTTGATTTGTTTGGTACTCTTGAATTTGATGAGCAAGACCACCGGATTGATTTGCTGCCTTCTCAAGCGCTGGACGCTGGCTATAGAGTAGTCTAACATGCAGTGTAAACGAGCATTGCTGACTGCTTTGATGGCGTGGACTGTAATACATTCGAAACATGACCCCCTTCTGCGATATTCAATGATCAGACCCTCTTCTAATTCTCTGAAAAGTAAAAAAAATGATTTTTGGAACTTGTTCATTTGAGCTACTTTTATTAAAACTGCATACAGGGTGTTATTTAACGCAGCCAAACTTCAGGAAGCGGTTCTTTCAGTTTATTCTTATAAAAAAGGCCATGAAATGCTTCATTTTCAATATATAGGGTGTCAAACTTTTAAAAGCAAATGTTTTTTCGTAAAAATCTTCATAATCTTTTGTGTTGTTTTTTTTCACAGTAGTATATTAATTATTAATTTGTGAAAGATTTTTGGTACTTGTTCATTTGAACTACTCTTATTAAAACTGCATACAGGGTGTTATTGAACGTAGCCAAATTGTAGGAAGTGTTTTTTGAGTGAGTTTAAGACAGAAAGTTCATATAAGCATAGGTCGAGAAATACTTCATTCTCAATATACAGGATGTCAAGCTTGTGTAGAAGCGACACACGAAAAAATCCATAGAAAAAAAGATTGTGAGTAGCGCACATTTTTTCCTCAAAATATTTTGGTTAAAGTGCCTTCCGGGACGCCGCTGGGCATAATAACCTTAATCTAATTCGGGTTAAATTTTAGCCTCTTCCTACAATCAATACATCTGCGCAAAATCAAGAAAACCAGTTAAAGATTAAGATATTTACGAAAAAACGATTTATTTTTAAAAGTTTGGCATCCTGTATATTGAAAAGAAAGCATTGGTTCGATTACCCCCTAAAGTTTGGCTACACATTGACATAACGCCCTGTATATTTAAAATATTGTTAAACCTGCTTCTAATTCTTTCAAAAGTGAAAAAAGTAAATTTTGACACTTGTTCATTTGAACTACTTTCTTTATGACGATGTGTATATTGGTTGAAATCATAGATAATGAAGGAAATATAGATATTCATACCGGTCTAGTTGGGCTTGAGTGCATCTCCTGGCTTCAGTAGTGGCTCTTTGGAATTTTTCCGGGAAATCACTGACTAATTTATCAGCAACGCATTCAGCTAACGGTCCCAGGACTAAAACCGGTCGAAATTCTGGAAACTGCAGCCTTTCGACGCGCTGGTACGACATCTGGGATAGATCTTCGTGGAGAGAACCTGAAATTAACAACAAATATTCAATATATTTCAAAAATTCTATCTAAAAAATAATATTTAAATATGTACCACTATCAGAGATCCATCCAGGGGTGAGATTGCAGAAGGCTGCCAGTTCTCTGGAGTCCCTTGAGCTGGAAGAGCCTAATCCAGAGGAGCCACTGCCTCCTCTTTGGTGCTTTTTTCGTCGGAAGAAGCTCCTTCGAGCCGTGGTGGCGGTACGACCTTCCAGAGCGTCTCCGGCTCCTCTGCGCAGTAACATTTCCTCTTCAACCTATAATAATATCAGACTAGACTTTGTAGTCGAAAATGGTTGTTTTTAAAACCGCTTGTAGTGCGAAGTGTACAAGATGCCGAAGCAGCTTAGCAGCCGTTGCAAAAAACTCATCGCAACCTCATTAGAATATTTCGAACGGGAAAGCGGTAGGAATGGCCCTTTATGTCCCTTAAGTGCTGTTAAGGACGTGAGTTTTGTTCATGTAAATAATAACTTTAGTCAAGCTTAATCACATGACTAACAGTTTTTTTTGGTATGATATTTATGTTTAGGCTTAAGACAATTTTATGCAAACCTTGTATTTGCTGGGTATGACGCCACATTGCTGTCTGTGCCCCTCGCCATCAAGCTTCCATGCACGCCACTGTCCAGGAACGCCATTGAACATCGTGTTATCCACGTAGAGCACGTCGTCCTTACAAAAGGACAGTTGAGGAGGTTCAGTGACGTCATTACCGCCTCTGTCAAAACAGCATCGAACGTAGAGACTGTCACCAGGTTTATCCTTGATTTCGTTGTATTCTGTAAATCCCCAAAAAACATTTTACACAATATACATCTAAAATAATGATCGTATGATATTTTTCTTACTTTCGATTCTGTAATGTGCCAGAACTGTCACTTTATCGGCTGGTTTAGCCAGTTCATACGCTGCTTCCTCTGCTGTAGCCGATCTGAGGTCGCTACCGTTGTATTCCAAGATCTGATCTCCTGTTCTGAGACCAGCGTGATAGGCCAAGGAGTCAGGTTGGACTGAGTGAATGAATATACCAGCTGCGTTGCCTCCCACCAAAGAAATTCCCAAATTTGACGTTTTCAACGTTTCTATGCAGAGATATCTGGGTTCCTCCACTGTTCCTCTGTAACCATTATCAAAAATAACTTTTAAAGTCTTGTTTACAGATGGCAAACATATTTTAAATTGTACAATTCATTGGCAAAAAGCTTTCTATATACAGGGCGTGCAAATAATTTACCTGGGGCTTCCTATGTTCGGTACTCCGGCCTGTCTTTGCATCACAATCAACGAAGAAGGCTTGTTTTGCAGGGAGGAACTTTTTCTCACTTCTTTGGGCGAATTACAGGGCGTGGCATCACCCTCACCCTCCTCGTCGTCTTCATCTTCGTCGTCTTCGTTCGAAGAAGTACCAGAGAGAGATTCGGTACCACCACCCACCTAAATACACATATAATAAATAGTTTTTGCCAATATGTAATAGTCTAAGAGCTAGCAACGTTTTCGAGAAAGTATTTTAAGACGTCTGGCTCTTTCATATATCTTTTACTATGCTCTCTGGAACAGCATGCGGCCCGTCTGGCTGCCGATACCGTTGCGTTTACTACTGCGCATCGAAAGAAGATGCTATATTTTTTATTAATTTAGTCCTATAAATTCTAGTATTGAATATTTTTTTTTCTTTGCCCTGACCCGGATTCGAACTCTGAATCATCGGTTCGTGGTCGGAAACTCTACGCACTGCGCTATGGAGACATGTTCGATTAATATTCAATACTAGAATTTAAAAGACTAATAAAAATATAGGATCTTCTTTCAATGCGCAGTAGAGGACGCAACGTTTACCGGCAGCCAGACGGGTCGCATGCTGTTCTAGAGCAAGGACTGTATATATTCTAAAGGACTGTTCGATCGCGTCAAATCGCCGCTGTCGTAGTCGCCGTAGAATGCTACGTCACGCGCTGACCAGAGCTCCACAGTGCGGCGGATGGTTATTCTAGCGGGACAAAATCTCAAGAGCAATGTTTGGGACTTAAAATCTAAGAACGTAGCAAATGGTCTAATATATAGCAACTATATGGTTAAATTTATTTATTTATTAACAACTTAATTTATTAACAAGATATTACAAGATAATAAAACTATGATATTATTCGTACATAATACACAAAAACCGTATTGTAAACTATTACCAAATACATAAAATTATGAAATCAAAAAACTCTTTAGCAGTTTTTTTTTAATTAATTTGTAATCTTGTGACACCCTCTATAATTTATTTTAAAAAAATATATTTTATTTTGAAAATAATAAATAAGATAGATATTTTAATTTTAATTTTAACACTCGGTAATTGTAAATTCATAAATAGTAAGTATCTAAGACAATTTTTTAAACTCAGTGCCTTTTGATGGAGTTGTTTTGTTTTTATACTATCTGATTGAAATGAATCTTTTTGGGCATTCACCTGTTAAGCTTGAACTCCCTGTTACTGTGACTACCTGTGTTGGTAACTATTGGTAACTCAAAAGATCTACATCATTCAATATATCGATATTTGAAAAAAAAGTGAAAATTTGATATCTGTAGAACAAAGGCACAAAGGATTTTAACAAATAATATACGTACAGTAGAAAAGTACATACCTTTGGCAATCTTCAACATAATTTGGCTTTCTAATAAAATGTATAAGGACTTGTAAATATTTTGTTTTCGTATGATCTCTGCCTTGCTGAGCAGAAAAGGACCAAATTTGGTTGATAAAAATGTATCGAAATACAAAGAATATTCATGCATTTTTGTATCAATTGGAATGTCTACTATTTCTTCTTATCAGTACACATTTTTTGGCTTATTTCTAACCAAACGCTTTTGTCCCGCTAAATTTATTTTCCAACGCACTGTGCGCTCGTCCGTCAAATGCAAAAATAACTGTCACTGTTTAAAATCTTTAGCGCCAACTTCAACTCGGTCAGTAGATGACGTAAAAAAAACTGGCAGTGCAGGAAGATAGGAATCGAACTATCCTTATCTCTATAGTATCCTTGGTTCTAGAGAGCATAGTAAAAGATATATCAAAGAGCCAGACGGCTTAAAATACTTGTTTTTCCGACGCTGCTAGCTCTCGTACTATAATAAGTAAAATAAGCTATAAAACAAATAAATCAATTAATTACTAAAATATTAGTTATTAATTTAAAAATAAAACGTAAAAATCTTTAAAAAATGATATAATAAATATATTGTAAGATTCATCCCATAAATCCATCACAATCTGGCAGCGCTGTCGCCATCGCTTGTCACTCAAAGTTGATGACGTGCATCGGAAATTGTTTTGCGATCGTCGTATCTGTTTGGTATATGTTTAAAAATAGCCTGTACTTGGCATATCTGTCAAATTTGACACTTTAAAAAATATATGGGTTTGGTTGAATTAAAAAAAAACTATTTTTAAGTTATTTTTACCTCGTGGTATTTATCAGGACTGTACTGGACCAGCATAGTAATGGAATTTCCGCACTGTCTCAGTACGTTCGCTGCCAAATTGTAGGTGGCGTTGCGCATGTTGATTCCGCACACTTCCAACAGCTGGTCGCCGATCTGTAGCCCCACCCTACTAGCCAGACTACCCTCGGTAACAGTCGACACGAAAATACCGCCGGTATCAGCGATTTGGATGCCCAAAGGTTCGTTGGATTTATCTGATGAAGAAGAAACATTAATATTTTATAAAACACCCTGTATATTCGAATTTACCTATATGAACTCTCCGTAGCTCGCCAGGCAGAGGTTTGTGTCCCCACGGACAGTAGTCTTTGGGCCCGTTCACTTGGGAGGAGTGGTCCCCGGGACTACTGAGGACCTCCACGTGAAAAATCGGCATGGGACTACCCCTTTCCGAGCTTCCTCTTTCTATACTTCCGGTACTCACCTTGGAAGTAACACTAGGGTTGGAAGGTACGCGAAATCTCTGTTCCCTACAGGCGTAAAGATTTATTTAGACATTTTTATTACAAATAAAAGAAAAATATTGTTACATTACAGTTATATTTTATATTAGTTCAGTATTAGCATGATCCTCGTGATGATAAAGACATGTTGCAACGCTGTATACGTCACGAAATTAGTCAAGTTTATTGTATAGCTGATATATTGTGTTTATGTTAATATTAGTATTTAAGGATCATTTTTTTCAAGACATAGAGATAAAAGAACACAAAGAAAATCGATCAAAAAAAAGTATCCACATTAATAGGAAATACATTAGAGCATTAGATAGAAATATTTTTTCTCAATATAAAAATAAATTACAACCTTCTGTTGGCCAACTGTAGAGAACCAATGTCTAGAGTTTGACCTCGCTAAAATAATCATCGATTGTTATTCCCAGCCGTCCTTTACGCCGTTTTTTTCGATAGTATGGTACATTAAAACGCCACAAAGATAGAAACAATTACCAGAAAATAAAGTATTACTATAAATCTAGATTAGTATGAATGTATGTATATACTACCTTATAAAATAAGTAAACCACAACCTCCGTAAAGATAAAGGCCTGATACAACGACGTATGACGTCACGAAAGCAGGCGGATTAATGCATAGTTTGTATATGTTTATTTCAGCATTATTAGTATTTAAGAATAATTTTCCACGACATAAAGATGAAAGAACTCGTGAACTAGAGCTGAATAGCACAACAATTTCAATAAAAGATCAATTTTAACCCAAAATCCATTGGATAAATCCTCATAAACACTAGATGGATAGAATAGATACCTACCAGAAAATAAAGTATCACCATAAATTTAGCTATACAGGGTGGTCCGAAGTGTATTCCGGAAACTTTGGTAGCATATTCTGCAGTTAAAAATAAGTAAAAAAGTTTGTATAAATGTATGTCCTAAAATACTTAGTTTCGGAGATACAGGCTGTAGATATTTCATTTTTATTCCGATTTTTTCCAAATAATTACTGAAGTAATGTGAATATTTGGATGAAAATTAGTGTCTGGAAGTTTTTTGACATAAGAATTTTGATTTTGATGTCGATATGACTCCTACTTGTAGAGGGCTACACCGGTTAAATTACTATCTACTCAACATGTTTATTTTTTGTCAATAATGACATGTATTGACTATTTCCATTCTAAATATCTTGAGAACGGTTCCTCTTAGCGACTTTTACCAAGAGACATTTTTTACGTAAAAAATCACAAAAATGTATATTTTTTCACTCCTGTAGTTTTATACAGGTACGGACGAGAAGTTATTACTCTTCAAAACAGTTAAAACACATGTAGGTGGCGCCCCCTACAAATAGGTCATATTGACATCAAAATAAAATTTCTCATGTCAAAAAACTCCCAGACACCAATTTTCATCCAAATATTGACGTTACTTCAGAAATTATTTGGAAAAATCGAAATAAAAATGAAACTTCTACACCCTGTATCTCTGAATCTAAGCATTTTAAGACATAACATTTATACGAACTTTTTTACTTATTTTTATCTAACCGAAGTATCCGGAAAACAGTTCTGGCCACCCTGTATATGAATGTAGATGCCTTAGAAAATAAGTAAGCCACAACCCCCATGAGGATAAAGGCCCGATACAATGACGCATGACGTCACGAAAGTAGATCTATTGAAGAAATTATTTGTTAGATGAATATTAGTATAGTCTGTGAAACGAATAACTTTGAATTTGAGAGTTCCCGCGGGCTTTTCTAGTGTTAATTTTATTAGGTTAGCAACTTGCGGCCATGCTGATGCCGTCTCTAATAGAACAGCCCCGGAGCGAGATTTATGACGTCACGCTAGTTAGATACTACGGATTAATTATGTTGTAGAATGATGGAAAACATAATTATTCCTCGTATATGTAATTTTTAGGATTATATTCGACACTATTTTTTTCATATGACATAACACTGATGAAGGCTATAAACGTTAGCTATAACAAAAAATTTTAGAATAATTTTACATATAAAATGACAGCGATCTTTATTTCATAGCCATCGCCATTTTTTCTATGATATTGTATTATTTGCAAATATAATTTTTCGAACATTGATGCTTGCAAAATATACATATAAATTTTGTGAATACAAATAATAATACATCACTATTAGTAGATATTGAATATTTTTGTTAAATTAGATCGATTTTCAAAAACCAAAATTTAAAATATATTTTACATATTACCCATTATCTTATGTACCTATTCATTATTTGTATATTGTAAAACATTTGATGCATTTGTATGGTTCATAGTTTATTTGTCAAATTATTTATTACTATAAATAGGTATATATATTGTATTTATTAACTGTATATTATGTATATTTCATGTAAACTATATCATTTTTAAAATACAAACCAAAAATACGAGGAATAATTATGTTTTCCGTGTATTCTACAACATTTTTATTAATCCGTGGTATCTAACTAGCGTGACGTCATAAATCTCGCTCCGAGGCTGTTCTATTAGAGACGGCATTGGTTTGATATTTAGAAATGTCAAAGGCTGATGACATTTTACTTTTGTCAATTATGACATTTTGCGTTGATTTTTGCAAGAAGAGGAAGAACTGTCACCTGTTTTATTATTTTCCTTTTCTATTTTACGAAAGTAAAAAGAGTTACCTATCTGATTCGATCAGGCACTCATTTTAAAGAATATCAGTAACTTTTTGGATATGTATATACATGGTTTTTATATTTGCCATGTTGGTAAAAAATAACGGTCAAAATTCAAAGTTATTCATTTTATAGACTATACTTATGGTTTTTTTTTCATAAAAAAATATGAAAAAACTCATAAACAACTGATCGTGTACTCATTGCTCCATGTAAGTTACCTCTTTCTCGGAAATGTACCCCCTGTCTCAAGCAGATCGGGCGGTCTTCTGCTACCGGTATCCACCGAAGGACTGTGATTGTGTTGGTACGGTTCAAAGCTGAAACTCTCCCTAGAATGATTGATATGGGGATGAGGATGAGGATGGTAGGGGTAATGAACCCTATTGGTACAAACAACTGACTGGGACCCCTCGAATGAGTTGGACCGAGATCGGTGCTTATCAGACTGTCCCTTTCAGAGTCTGAACCATATTTTGCTATCCCTAGAAAAAAGAACCTTAGACCATAAAACTTCTAGACACTTTAAGATTCTTCTTACCTAAACGACTGTTCTTCTTGTAATACGGCAAGGTTTCTTTCTCGTACAGCCTTTGCACGGGCATGTCCAGACTGTTGCCCGAGTTCATGTTAGCGCTGTGCCTGTTGGACGATCCGTTACCGCATTTGACAATTTCGAAGCTGTCAGTGGCCATGCCGAAATGGTGGCTCGTGTCCACGCTTTTGTAAACCGAATGCCGGTTGGACGTTGACGAATTTTGTGGCGCTAAAGACAGCGGCATTGGCGTGGAATTGCGATAGTAATCGGGTGTTTCTTTTGGTTGCGCGAGCAAACTTAAAGGAGGTCGTTCTTTGGTACGTGTCACTACGGTACCCCCACCTAGAATATTGATTTTATGCAAAGTACATAGATATGGAAAGATACTGTGTCGGAAGTTGAATTGCAGAGATATTATTATGAGTCTTAGAGAGAGAGAGGCTCTCTATATATTTCTATTTCGATTTTTCTCTTACCTGGAGTTAGTACAGCTGTAGCTCTAGCCTTAGGCCAAGTTCCTCCATTATTTTTCTCCTCCTTTGGCTGTGACAGGTGTCTTTTTGCCCCTCCCGAAGACCTTTTTATTGTATTATGATGGTAACTCTCCAAGACAGAGTCCAACTCGGCTATAGCCTGTTCGTGACCGAAGTCTATAGGATTCGGCGAGCTATTTCTGTATTTTTTATCCTCCTTTGAGTGTCTCCACGGTACCCTCATGAGTTCGAATTTCTCTTTGAGCCACGCACTGCTGTTCTTCTCTTGGTTGTTGTACTTGTAGTCGCCTTGACTCAACCAATCCTCAGTCTATAATATTTTTTTTAGCATTTTTAGAATTTTAAAACAAAGTCAATTGATGGTTACTTTACCTGTGAGCTTCTGTTCTCTTTTTTGTTCCTCCTCACTGGCGTAAAAACATTCGGACACTCCGGATAGCTCATCTTCAGGGTGGTGATGTTGATGACGTCAGAGCTTTCGTCGTTGAGCACCTGCATGGCTTCTCTGACGTTTTCGATGTCGTCCATGGACTTGTCGTTGATTCTGAGCACTCTATCGCCTACGGTCAGGCTTTTGTCGGTCGCGGCCAAGCTGCCTTCGCTGATGCGGTTGATGTAGACGCCCATTTTCAGTGACAGACCGTGACAGCCTGTAATAAGAGCCACATTTGTTAAGCCTGTCATGACAATGACAGTTCTGCCATTTTAATTCACAGGTACACTGTATTTTGTGTCATTTTTTGGATCCAATCTTTCGAAATCCTCTATAACTTGTGGCAGAGACTTTAACAATAACTAATTCTTATGTAAATGAGATAGGTATTCTATTAGAGACACTTGGTGTATTGTAAGAATATGTATCTATTAATATAATTTTCTATCTATATGCAATAAAAAAAACATCTTAAAACATACTTTTCCCGTACTGTTGTGACGTCATAATACGACATTATGTTGGCTACCGAATACAATGAAAATTGCGTTGTCTAGGTGAGAGATGATCTAATGTTATATTTTTGAAATTTCATGACCTGCAATGACATCATAATACGATTTACGCTGGTTATAGGATATTGACAAAATTAAATGTTGGTTTGACTATGTAATGATTTATTTTTTAATATTACCTGCCCTGAAATCATATCATAGTTCGTTCAATTGATGTTGGTTACAGGATATTAACAAAATTAAGTGTCTAGGTGTGTTACATGATTTCACCTACTGCAAGACCGTGTCGACATTTATTTTGTAAAAATATTCTCTTTATACGCAATAAAAACAACTTTTCTTATCCTTTCATCTATGTTTTATAATTTTCTATCTATATTCAATAAAAAAAAACATCTTTAAAACACAGTTTCCTGCCCTGTCGTGACGTCACAATACGACATTATGTTGGCTACAGGATACAACTAATATTGCGTTGTCTAGATAAGAGATTATCTAATGTTACATTTTTGAAATTTCATGCCCTGCAATGACATCATAATTCGATTTACGTTGGTTATAGGATAATGACAAAATTAAATGTCTAGGTTTGACTATAGAATACAATGAAACTTGCGTTGTCTAGGTAATAGATGATGTAATGATTTATTTTTTAATATTACCTACCCTGAAATGATGTCATAGGATACAATGAAAATTGCGTTGTCTAGGTAAAATATGATCTAATGTTATATTTTTGAGATCGCATGCCCTGCAATGACATCATAATGCGATTTGCGTTGGTTATAGGATATTGACAAATTTAAATGTCTAGGTTTGACTACAGAATACAATGAAACTTGCGTTGTCTGGGTAATAGATGATGTAATGATTTATTCATTAATATTACCTGCCCTGAAATGATGTCATAGTTTGTTCAATTTATGTTGATTACAGAATATTAACAAAATAAAGTGTCTAGGTGTATTACATGATCAAAGATCGGGTTTTATTTTGTACATACGTATTCTGTTTATATGCAAATAAAAACAACTTTTCTTATTCTTTCATCTATGTTTTATAATTTTCTATCTATATTCAATAAAAAAAACATCGTAAAAACACACTTTTCCTGCCCTGTTGTGACGTCACAATACGACATTATGTTGGCTACAGGATAAAATGATGAAAACTGCGTTGTCTAGGTAAGAGATGATGATTTACCTGCCCTGAAATGACGGCATAGTTGGAGTTATGTTGGTTACAGGATTTTTCGATAAAATTAAGTGTCTAGGTGTATTGCATGATCAAACTTCTCGGTTTTTGAATTTTACCTGCTACAAGACCGTGTTCGCATACTTGTTACATTTGGAAAATTTTATTTAAAAAAATAATTTAAGCGCAATAAAAACATAGTTTTCTTGCTCTGTTATGCCGTTATAATAGGACATGTTGGCTACAGAATACATTAAAAATTGCATCGTCTAGGTAATAGATGATCTAATGTTCTTTTAATTCTACCTACCCTGAAATGACGTCATATTTCGTTCGATTTATGTTGGTTACAGGATATTAACAAAATTATCTCTCTAGATGTTTTATATGATCAAAGGTCTCATTTTTTTGTATTTTACCTGGTGCAAGACGAGCGGTGTGAATCCACTTAGTGACCTGTTCCCCTGTAGCACCAATTTCGTTCCTCGCGCACCTGGTTCTGCGCACAAGGACATGCGCGGCCGGCATACTGGATCTGATGGCTTCCGTGACCATTCTCAAGGACACCTGGCTGCAATCCACGTCGTTCACCCTCAGGATTTTGTCGTGGGGGAAGAATTTACCGATCGCTGAAGAACCGGGAGCCACGGAAGCTACGTATACGGAGCCATCGCCAGGAAACTCTTTACCACCTGAAATTTTTAAATTTCCAAAATTAAACAAAATGTAAAAAATGCTTTAATGAGACGCTTACCCGCAAATTCTAATGCTTCTTCGTCCGAACTGGTCAAATCAAGCTGAATCACTTCAGTATGACCGCAAGCGTGTTGCTCTTCTATGTTCGATTGCGACAATCTACCTTCTCTTTCGATTTGAGCTTCCAATGCTTCCCTTAAAGCCTATAGAGAAAAATTAAACAAAAAAAACATAATTTTAAATCAAAACTTACTTTGTTTTCTTTGAGAAGTTCGTTTCTTTGTTTCTTGATGGCGTCAGATTCTCTGAGAGATTCGGCAAGTTCGGAAACAGCTCTGTCCCGTTCTTTTCTCATGTTATCGCACAGAGTTCTGATGCTTTCTCTTTCTAAAACGATCTTGTCTCGTTCGGAGAACGCCCAATCGCGTCTGCCTTTCGATACTTCAGCTTCTTGAACCTTTTTGATCATAATTAAACACCAATTAATTATAATTTAAACAAGTACTTCAAATTAATAATAAATTCGCCGGTACAAAATTCCGCCACCCTAAAATTTTGACTAAGTTTGATGTTTAATAACTTTTGAATTTGTAATCCGAATTTTATGATTATGGTATTAGTTCGTAGATAAATTTTCATTATTTTTTATTATTTTAATGGCTTATATATTTCGGTTAGGTGGGTTTATACCGGGGTAAATCAAAATTTCGTTTTTTGGAATAAATTCAAAACACCCTGTAGAAAAAATAGGACGGGTATTTTGGATAAAAAATACTTTCCTGTGATCTTAGATGTATTCCTAACATTTAATTTTTTAATTATCCTATTATCCCTATTGTGTTATGAGCTATACATTTTTAAAAAAAACTACTGATATTTTACAATCTTGAATTTGTTGAAAATGGAGATTCACTCCGTTAATGCTAGCACAGAATATACCGGGTGCGGCTCAAAATGGCTCACCCATATAATTGTTTTATTTTTTCAGTTAAAAAACAGGATTTGGTGTGTTTGTATCTATACTAATATATAAAATCCTTAAGTGACTGACATACTGATTAATCACGATCCTGCTCAAACCACTCAACGTAAGAAGCTCAATTTTGGCATACAGGTTGATTCTAGGGTGTAGAGAGGTTCGATAAGAAGGATTTTTCGAAATTCCAGTTCCAAGAGGGTGAAACCACCCCTCAAATATTACAATATTTTTTATTTAAAAAACGGTCAAGTTTCAGAAAAAACGCTTAAACAAGTATATTTTATTTTGTTTTTTACATATTTTAAGATTTTTTAAAAATGTATACAGGGTGTTCATGTGTTGTATAACAGGGGTGAAAAATCTGGTCATTGATTAATCACGATACTGCTTAAAGCGCTTGGCGTAAAAAGCTGATTTTTGGAAAACAGATTGACTTTAGGGTGTAGAGGTTCGATAAGAAGAGATTTTTCGAAACTCGAATTCTAAGCCCAAGGCCACACACAGTAATGAACTATTTTTACGCGTATAAAACTATTTGTTACGTGAACAAATATATTTGTTACACGTAAAAACTATTTTTTTTTCGCGTCAAAAACTTATTGTTTCTGGTAGAAAAACTTTCTTAAGCAAAAAAATATTTTTACGTGTAAAAATTATTTGTTACACGTAAAAAATATTATTTTACGCGTCAAAAACCTATTGTTTCTGGGTTTCTGGTAAAAAACTTTTTTACCCAAAAAAAAATTTTTACGTGTAAAAACTATTTGTTACACGAAAAAACTAATTTTACGCGTCAAGAACTTATTGTTTCTGGTAAAAAACTCTTGTTAGGCAAAAAAAAATTACGTGTAAAAACTATTTGTTACACGTAAAAAACTAATTTTTACCTGTCAAACTTTTTACCCAAAAAAAAAATTTACGTTTAAAAAACTATTTGTTACACGTAAAAACTATTTTTAGGCGTCAAAAACTATTTGTTTCTGTTAAAAAAACTTTTTACGCATAAAAAACTATATTTTTACGCATATAAAACTATTTGTTACGTGTAAAAATATATTTGTTACACGTAAAAAAATATTTTTTCGCGTCAAAAACTTATTGTTTCTGGTAGAAAAACTTTCTTAAGCAAAAAAATATTTTTACGTGTAAAAATTATTTGTTACACGTAAAAAATATTTTTTACGCGTCAAAAACTTATTGTTTCTGGGTTTCTGGTAAAAAACTTTTACCGAAAAAAAAAAAAGTTTTACGTGTAAAAAACTATTTGTTACACGAAAAAAACTAATTTTACGCGTCAAGAACTTGTTGAACAACAGATTGTTTCTGGTAAAAAACTCTTGTTAGGCAAAAAAATTACGTGTTAAAAACTATTTGTTACACGTAAAAACTAATTTTACCTGTCAAACTTTTTACCAAAAAAAAAATTGCGTTTATAAAAACTATTTGTTACACGTAAAAAACTATTTTTTACGCGTCAAAAACTATTTGTTTCTGTTAAAAAAACTTTTTTACGCAGAAAAAACACTTTTTACGCATAAAAAACTATTTTTTACGCGTAAGAAAATATTTAATTTATTACAAATGATTAAATCGACGCGAACGAAGTCGCTGGTACACGCTAGTATCTTTATAATATAATGAAATACTACATATTATGAATATAAGCAGAAGTCTTACCGCTTCAGCAAGTTCAGTCTGCACTTTATCCAGACTTTTCCTTAGAGATTCCAGCTCCTGATTGGCTTGATCCAAATTGTCCAGCCTCTGTCTTTGGCCTATCGATCTCGAATCGTCCCTGTGGTGTTCCTTTCTGAGACCGTCTTCGCCGATGGTGCCCAAGTTGTCCATCAGTCTGCCTCTGCTCTTCTTCATTTGGTCGCCCAATAACAACCGCCCGTCCTCAGAAGCCGCCCCGAGTTCGCCAAATTTCTCCCTCAGATCGTTACATTCCTTCAAGGCCTGAAAAAAATTATTTTAAAATTTATAATTAATCAATACGACCGAATCTTTTTTACTCCCAACAAGCGTAAAAAAGTTTCACTTAAAAAAATCAGCTTCTTAAAATGTATTTTAACTTTCCAACAAAAAAAGTATGTCCTACCTTGTCTCGCTCATGTAATGCACTAGCTATCTCCCTTCGTAACGATTCGAGCTGGTAGTTGAGCCCTCTTTTATCCTCTTGCAAAGCTTTTTTATCTGCATCCAGTATTTTTATTTTTTTCAGAGCTTGAGACAGGTCGTCGCTAAGTTTTTCCATTTCTTTATGAACAGTATCCCTGAAAAAAAAACAAATAAAGTATAATCCAGTTTAAAAACATACAAATTTTACTTGAAACTATGATTAAGAACATATTTCCTGTTAGGCATTATTTATTTTAATTATTTTTATCTAAACAGATAAAAAATAATAGCAGACTAAAGACAGAGTGACAGGGATTTAAAATTTAGAAATATCACGAGTCGATTTTTTTTCATATAATGTCGCTAAAGAATTAAATAAACATAGGTTTTAGATAGCAGTTACATAGAGAAATATCACCTTCGCCGTAATAACGAATGTAATTGTAAAAAAATTATCAACCAACTGGTTTTTACATTTATAAATACTTGATAAATAGTAAAACCCTCAGATTTTTTTATTTTATTTATGTACCGAATTATGCACTAAACTTATATAATAAAAAAATAGTTTAATATACAGCGTGTTATTAAAGTATGCAGCCAAACAAAAAAGTAGTTCAATTGAACAAGTATAAAAAATTCTTTTTCACTTTTCAGACTTAAAAAATGGTCTGGCAATACTTGAGATATACAGTGTAATTTAAGTATGTAGCTATACAAAAAAGTAGTTCAAATGAACAAGTACAAGAATCCCTTTTTTAATTTCTCGACTTAGAAGAGGGTTTAAAAGATACTTGAAACATACAAAATATCTAGCCATAAAAAAAGTAGTTCAAATGAACAAGTACAAGAGTCCCTTTTTTAATTTCTCGACTTAGAAGAGGGTTTAAAAGATACTTGAAACATACAAAATATGTAGCCATAAAAAAGTAGTTCAAATGAACAAGTACAAGAATTCCTTTTTTCATTTCTGGACTTAGAAGAGGGTTTAAAAGATACTTAAAACATACAAAATATGTAGCCATAAAAAAGTAGTTCAAATGAACAAGTACAAGAATCCCTTTTTTAATTTCTCGACTTAGAAGAGGGTTTAAAAGATACTTAAAACATACAAAATATGTAGCCATAAAAAAAGTAGTTCAAATGAACAAGTAAAAGAATCCCTTTTTTCATTTCTGGACTTAGAAGAGGGTTTAAAAGATACTTGAAACATAAAAATATGTAGCCATAAAAAAGTAGTTCAAATGAACCAGTACAAATCATTTTTTACTTTCCAGAGAATTAGAAAAGGGTCTCTAAGAATACTTGAAATATACAGAGTGTTATTTAAGTATGTTGCTAAACAAAAAAAAGTAGTTCAAATGGACAAGTACAATTTTTTTTTTACTTTTCTGAGTATTAGAAGAGGTCTATCAATACTTGAAATATACGGGGTGTAGCCAAACTTCAAGGGATGATGGTAGAAAAAATGCCACCTTTCCAATATACAGGGTGTGAAACTTTTAAAAATTAATTGGTGGTATTTACGTTCGTAAAGGGCCAATTTAGTCCTAATTACATAAAAAATATATCCAGTGGCGTCCTGGAAGGGACTCTAAACAATATTTTTAGCGAAAAGGTTGTGCGCCACTTGTGGACTTTTCTCGTATTTTGCTTCTCTTTCGAGATAAAAATAAATTATTTATAAAAGGATAAAAATAAAATATACTTTATTGTATGTTCCTGAGACCAACACTTTTAACAACCTGATATTGAAAAGGAAGCCCCCAATTTCTGAACACAAGTATGTTTATATAAACTATTCGTTTTAAATTCACTTGTAAAAAAATTGTAAAATGTAAAAAAAGTCAATAAATACCAAATTTTGAAATATAAAAATTACTTACCAAAAGTAACATATTGCTAATCTTTTTTTTTATTTCAATAAAGACAAAATATTATTATTATTATTACTAAACTACCAACCTTTCACTCATCACCAAGGTATATTCAGCCATCGTAGCATTTCTTTCGTCAGTCAATTTCTTGATTTCTTTATTCGCTTTAATCGACACATTCACAGCATCCTCGAATTGTTGCTGCAACTTCTGATGAGCCTCCCTGTATTTAGCATAATCCTTAAACATTTTCCCCAATTGCTGTCTCAATCCAGCAATATCTCTCTGAGCAGCACCTCGTTCTTGTCCTAGACACAAACAAATAAAACATAGTAGTCCAAACAAACAAGTACAAAAAATTCCTTTTTACTTTTCAGAGAATTAGAAAAGTGTCTCTAACAATACTTGAAATAAACAGTGTTATCTAACTAAGTATGTAGACAAAGAAATACATTTTTTTTACCTAAAACTTCACACTGTTTCAATAACCTTGCATTTTCATCTTGAGCCACCTCCAGCTTGGATAATGCCTGGGTGTGAGACATAAAAAGAGCCTCTGAAGCATTTCCATTGTGCTCGGTGAGCTCTTTGAGCAATCTTTGATTTTCGTCTCGAACCTGTTTGTTTTCGGACATCAATTCGGCATATTTGTTTCTTAGTGAGGCTGAGTCTTGGCTGGAGACCTCTAGTTGGTTCATTACTGCTCTGAGCTGTTCTCTGTAGTAATCCAGGTCCTAAATTTTTTAAATTTTAAAGGTAATTTTTTATCAAAAAAAAATAGTTACGTTTAATCCATGATCACATCTTCGTCTGGAAGTGTTCAGATCGTTGTTGGGTTTGTCGAATTGAGATTTATAGGTTTCGTATTCTCTGGTAGCAAAATTTCTTGACAATGTACCTTAAAAATATTTTAAGATTGTGTAGAAAAAAAGTTAAAACAATTTTTTGAGACTTACTGCTACTGCCGGCGCCTCCGTCGCTATTTGAAGCCATCTCCAATAAATTTTAAGTAAATTAAATACTTAAAAATACCTGTAAAATATATACAGTTACATTGTGTAGTTGTTCTAAAAAACTAGCATTTCTAAACTGTTAAAAAACTAGTTGCAACACATTAATAACTGAACATTTACATTAACAGAAAAAGTACAATAATTTAGTGTTGTTTATTCATTGTTCTGGGAAATATTATTATTAAATTGTGTAAATATTACGGAGTTACTAAATAAATCTCTAGAATATAAAGTAAAAGTTTCAATTAAAAAAAAATGGTAATATATGACCTTAATTAATATTTCTACGGTTTTTAAAAATTAGGGAAAGCAAAAACTGAATACTACTCTTTCCTTATTTACTTTGAACTATTATTTGTTTGTCTCGTACGTGTACAAATTGAAATTAACTTTGAATTCATTGTATTGGAATTACAAACAAAATCACTACGATTAGTATTTATTTTCTCTACCATATTTTGCAAAAGAATAATTAAAATTTAATTAGTACAGTCCGTGTTACGTATACTTTACAACATCATCAACTTCACTATTTCCTTTTATCATACAAATTAAGGCAGACGGGATTATATTTTTAGAATATTCGTAATACGTTAGCCACAGTTTCGGCTGGCAAAATTACCTGATACGGGGGCTTTTTTCGCCTGGCAAACTCATCCTTGTATTTCACGACCGCACACGCGAAACACATTCACTCCACAACTTTCTTTTCGCTCTAGGAATCAGCCATTGTTGTAAATATTTTTCTTTTTTAGCAAAAGATTACGAAAAAAACGAAACCCATATGACGTTTGACGTTAGAAGGAAACGAATTGTCAGATTCGTTGACAAAAGAAAAAACTAATTGTAGAAAACTGTAAATTAATAAAAAATTTACAGGTTTCTTTATTCAAAATAGTAGAAAACTGTAATTACAGAAATTTATTACAGGTTTCTTTATCCGAAATTGTAGAAAACTGTAATTGCAAAAGTTCTTTTACAGGTTTCTTTATCCAGAATTGTAGAAAACTGTAATTACAGACGTTTTTACAGGTTTCTTTATTATTTTATAATTCATTTGTCAAATGTCATCGGACAAAAGTTTAAAATTAAAATCCACAAAAAATTTAATGAAAAATCGTTTCAAAATGAACAAGTGTTTATTTAAATTAATGGGAATTAATGGCGATGAATACTAACTTCACCGTTTTAAGCTACAACGAAAGCTTGTTGCGTAAATCGGACGTGGATCTATTGAAGGGGCCTCATTGGCTCAATGACACCATAATTTCATTCTATTTCGAGTACCTAGAGTCGGATTTCTTCAAGAACAACAATTCCTACCTCTTTATCAGTCCAGAAGTAACGCAGTGCATCAAAATATCGCCTCAGCAAGAGCTAAAGGTCTTCCTGGATCCCTTAATTAAAGAAAAGAACCCTAACTTTATATTTTTCGCTCTCAATGATAACGAGCTTACTGAGTACTCAGGAGGGAGTCACTGGAGCCTTTTGGTGTACTCCAGACCAGAAAAAGTAACGTGCCACTATGATTCTTCCAGAGGCAGTAACGAAAACCAGGCTCTAGATTTGGCACAAAAAATCTTGAAATATTTCGGTCTTCACATTGAAGGACGTTACGAAGAAATTCCTTGTTTACAGCAGAATAATGGGTACGATTGTGGCATACATGTACTGTGTAATACCGAACAGTTAGCAAGTTATGCAGGACATTATGGTAAAATTAAAGGCTGTCCCAAGATAACTGCAGATCAAGTACAAGCAAAACGATTGGAGATATTAAAATTAATCGAGAGGTTAAGCAGGTGATCAAATCTTCTCAGGAAATGTATTATATTATTCTTAAAATCGATTAAACTAATTTATTTTTGTATTTGTTTGTATTATTTTAAATAAAACCCAACAAATCCAAACATATTACAAGAGGTAGGTATATTTCATATAAAATATATATAACAGTTGTAAAAATAATACAAAATCTTACAATGATGACCTGAATTATACTATATAGTCTCTTCAAATGTATAAAAATAAAAATAAATCAATCATATATGAGGAAAATTGGTTGTTTTAAATATTTACATACATATAAAAAATATATAGACAATTTTTTCACATTAAATGCAATAGATTCTTATAATATATTGAGATATTTATTATTGTTTGTTGTTTAATTTTATTCATTTTAATTAAATAAAACGATTTGGTCGAAGATTGAGATTTTCTTATAAACAGTGCTAAAAATATTTTAATAACCTTTTTGTTGGCACACCTATTTCACAACGATATACACATAACTTTACGTAAATTTCTAATAAAAATAATTTTTACTGTTTATATTATAATATGTACTTATATAGTGTGTTACACTTAAAAGTATACAGTAATAAATAGAAAATATTGTTTTGTATACTATCTGAGTCAATAATTTGGTAAAAAAGTATCTTGTATATAAAAAAGTATGTAATTTTATAAAAAATGCCGGTAAAATAGTGTTTACTAAATTTTTCCAATGTAGTGGGTCAATTTATGTATCTACAGGGTGGGATTCGTTCAAGTAACACCTTTTGAAAGTGAATATTATACAACACCCTAGACCCAATAGTTGATTTTTTTAATTTAATTAAAAAAACTATCTTTTTTAAGCATCTACTTCTGGAGGAACCCATCCTCCAAATCCTTTTTCTAATTCTCTGGCTACAGCCAGACATAACCTATCGTTACCGTGTTTAGCTATGACCTGGATTCCTATAGGTAGACCGTGTCTGTCCAGTCCCATAGGTACGGCAGTGGCTGGCAGTTTTAGGACATTGACCAATCCTGAAATATTAATATCTTGTAGACAGAGAACAAAAAATAACCAAAAGAAAAATCGGTCCAGTGAGGCAGGGAAGATTTCGTCACATGACATCCAAAAATACCAGACAAGTGCTGACCAAGACTATATTTTTTATGATTTAATTAGAAATATATAGTTTTGGCATTTTTCCCGATACTTAGAGTATAAAAAAATAGCAAACAACAACTGTCACTGTTATGTATTCTCTTGATGGACAGACTTTAGTTAAAATAAAGTGCGATTTTGGACGAACCTAGCCATAAAAGGTAATCTACATATATAAAATGCTAATGTTTATCTGTGTCGTCTCTACTGAAGTAACGACTTGCTCTAGAAAGTTGCTTTTTTTACTAAAAGATAGCTAATTGGCTATTCTAAAAACTATCGTCGCCGGATTTTTTGTTTTTCATTTAATTAAAAAAAAAGTATTTTTTTTATGTCGTGGCGGATGCGCCAGGGGCTTCAACTAGTAAATATATATAATAATTCAGAAAACCCTGTATATTGAATACAAAATTTAATAATAGTCACCCAAATATATTATAAGACTAAATACTAGAGGATACTAGCAAAGAGTAGATAAGACAAGAGACGACAGTGAACAAAGAAGTCTAATTTCGCGAGAGAGACGCAGATATATTAAAATTTAAAGGTCCCATGAAGTCCCATTTTGTGTGTTGCCAAGTATATTTCTTTGAAAAATAAACAAGATTTTCTGAAAATAAATTAATAATATAAGTAGGATATAAGTAACGTATGTTAATATGGAAATGTAAATTTTTAGTTTAGGTTGGTTTAGGTTCTTTTTTCGCAATGTACTGATAATATCAAAGAAACAGAATGACTAAGTTGATCGATTTCAAAGATAAACAGATAAAATCTCAAAATCTGACAACGGCGTATTTTATCTAATCTAACCTATGATTTTAGGACGCTAATCAGCTGTGCTAAACAGGCTCAAACATAAACAAATCTGGTTAGTTGTTTTCTTGCATTTTTGCCTTTTTAAAGTGTGTTTTTAGAGTTTTTCGATATATTATCGTTTTGAGAGTATTTAAGGTTTAATTTTAGTATCGTTTTTGTTGCGTACTAATTTGTAAATATTGTTAAATATGAATACTGAACAGGACACGAGTAGCAGGAAAAGACGAGATGGTGGCAATGTGTGTGCTTATAAAGACTGCAAAAATAGGTCTTATTCTTCGACAAACATAATATTTCACTCCTTTCCAAAGGATCCTGAAAAGTATTTTTATAGAAATATACTATATAATTATGTTATTAAACTAAATGTAATCCATAGATCGAAGACATGGTTAGAAGCTTGTAATATATTTTTACAAAAAAAATTGAGCAATTCTATTTTTTTCTTCATAAACTCCACATTGTGATTTTACACTTGTTCAAGTCCATATGTAAAAAAAATACACGTAAATAAAACATTTCTTACAAATCGACTTGGTCACTTGATCTTGTTTACCAACGATATACAAAATATTGCTTTTATTATCTTTATTCCCCGACAAATATGTTTCTAATTATAATTTATTTTATATAATATTTAGAAAACTCATTTTTTTTCGTTTCTATTTATTTCTTTACCCATACAGTAACTATTTATAAGCTATACAGGCAAGTTTTAATAATAGTCTATTTCAAATTTCCCGCGAAAAAATTACGAAAATTTAAAGGGACAAGCGAGACGAGGTCACTCTCCCCACCACTCAAACATGAAAGGTACCGCGCGAACTGTCGTCTCTTGTCTTATCTACTCTTTGATACTAGTAAGGAACAGAAATTGAAGCTAAATTTTTGAGATGGAGCTATACAAAATCCACATAAGTCGGTCCTTTTCGTTCAAAAGCTTTGAACAACGCAAGCGCGAGAAGTGCTTCGCGATTAGTAGTTGATTTATTTCATACTAACCAACAGAAGGTAGTCTTCTATCTACCACGTAAATCAATTTAGCGTCTCACTATTCGCGCCTTTACTTATAAATTTAAATTTACTCTCTGACATATTTAAACAAAAACAAGAAACGGATAGATATGATGAATATCGAAAATTGAATTTTTCTTTATTCGGCCCTATAAAGTAATAATTTCACTATATTTTCATTATATTATAGTTTATCTAAAAGCCACACCTGATTGGGGATAGGAAAATGTCCAAAATTTTACTGAAAACCATTTTTCTTAACAAAATAACAAAGAAAATTGAGAGCAGATGGAAGTTTGACATTTGATATATCCTTCTTTCTCTCTCCTATGTAATGAGAGAGACAAATATATTCTAGACCTTATCTAGAAATTTGAAAATTTACAACGTTGCCATATCTTCTATTTTTTTGAGTGATTAGAGATTTTAAATAAATTACCTATTATGAGATCGACAATAATTAAATATACCTACCTATATCCACAAAGTTACGCGGAAGAGTTTTGATTGCATTGGTTTGAACTTCTATGCGGATGGGGTTAATTTTTTTTTGTTATATTATATTTATAACCACGAAGTTGCACGAAAGAGTTTTGATTGCATTGGTTACAACTTCCATGCGGAGGGTGTTAATCTTTTGTTGTTATATTATATCAAAAAAAGATTGACCTCCGCCGCAAAGAAGTTATATAAAGACTATTTATAACCACGAAGTTGCACGGAAGAGTTTTGATTGCATTGGTTTTAACTTCTTTGCGGAGGGGGTTAATCTTTTTTTTTATATAATATAACAACAAACGATTAACACCCTCCGCATGGACGTTGTAATTAATGCAATCAAAGCTCTTTCGTGCAACTTCGTGCTTATAAATAGTCAGATCTCGTTGGTAAAAGAGCAATAATTGCATAATTATCATGGGAAATTCCATAATTATTATGGGTTTCCCATAATTATTATGGGAAAGAGCCGTTCTTCTGGCGACTGCCTTTCGTAATCCCAGAGCGAAAAACACACGCTAAATTTAGGTTTAGCATTGGCAACGTTGCTTCAAATGCCAGAAACACATAACCCAACATTTTCAGATTGTTTACAAATTTATTTTAGCAAATTTTCCTCTATTATGCATAGAATTGGTTAAAAAAGTAATAAAAAATAGCAATAACATCATTGTTTATTGAATACCTAACAAAATATGTGCTAGAAAATCTTAAAAATATGAGAAATTAAGAAAAGTTCGATGCTGAAATAATTTTCCGTTTTTCTGAAAAACGGTAAGACCTTAAGACCAAGTTCAGATTCGTAATCTACGACCTCAAAATAGGGTGTATACCAATTTTGGTGAAAATCGGACGATCTTCAGTTTTCCCAATAATTACCAAAATAATATTATATTATACCTAAGTTATTAATATTTAGAGTTCAAAATAGTGCGCGGACAGTTGACAGCGTTCAACGATGAAATAGACCAATCAGATCGTTTTATTTGGTGCGTGCGCACGAAAATCCTGCTAAACGAAAAGGATAAACTTATACAAGATTGATATTCCTGTTTCTTTTCTTTGGCTTCACTTTCCACTCATTGTGTAAATGCGGTACTAGCAATATATTCTTATAATATATTTGTACCTACCTGTATATGAGAAATTAAACGGTTTTACTAGGGGTTCGTTGTGATAGGGCGCTGAAGTGGGATGGGTTGGATATAAAAGCACTCCATCGTCCCCTAATAAGTCTATCACTTCTAATCTGAGGGCGTCCCTTTCTTTCAGAAGGAACTGATGTTTTTCGTCTCCATATCTTTAAGAAAAAAAAAAATAAAAATGATGAGACAAAAGTCCAGAGATATACAGTATGTCCCCGGATTGTCTTCACAAGAGTTAAAACTTTTTTATTATTGGCATTTTAAGAAAAATGCATGCTTCATAAAAAATGCTGCATGTTCTAAAATGGTTAATCCCGTTTATACTTTTCGAAATTTCCATACCGTTTTAGAGAAAATTAGGATCTTAGATCTACAAATGAGAAAAATTATCAGATTTGGCAACACTGCGCAGGACAGCGGTCCAAACCGACGAAATTAAAACACGCGTTACTTCCTTATTCTGTCTCTTTCTTACATACTGGTCATCAGTCATTGTGGTCTGCAGAGTACTTGGAAAATATGATTTTGTCTAAGGTAGGCATTGCCTTTTTGTGGTATTACGAGCCCTAACAACTATATGCTGGGACAAGGTCATATTTTGGAATTATTGCCCTGGTTTTTGAAAATGACTGAAAAATATATGTTTAATTTTTTAAATATAAACATAGCCATATATCCTGAACAACTTGACAATATTTTTATGAATTTGTAAATCAATCCATATTTAGAGTAGCGGATTTTGTTCATAAAAGGACAAATTTGCCTGGCAATTAAATGTTGGGACAAGTATTTTTAAATAATTAATATCATAGGCGGCTTTGCTATAAACGTCACAAATGTCACAAACTGTTTACTTCAGCATTGACAGCTTGTAAGTGACTCGATACTTTGAGTAGTGAGACTTACTGTAAGTAATTTTAATTTTTTTAATTTTCAATTTTGTTAATTTAATCCAAAGTAATGGTCCGTGGAAAAGCTCCAAATCAAAAACTACGCGAAATTATCATTCGTCAATACAGTACGGGAAAAACCATTCGAAAAATTTCTGATGATTTAAGTATTCCAAAAACCACGGTCTTTAATATAATAAAAAAATACGGCGAATCTGCCAGTGTGGGCGTTAGAGGTAAAAGTTCGGGAAGGCCAAAAGTTGCATCTCAGAGAGATTTACGAAATTTAGTAAAAATTTGCAAGTCTGCGAGAAGAAGTACTCTTCGCGAAGTAACAGTTAAATGGAATACTGTAACTGGATTAAATATATCAAGAGAATGTTGCCGAAAATACATCCATAAATGCGGTCTGGGGTTTTACAAGGTAAACTTTTATTTTGTGTGGATAATCAATTACCTGAAGATTATTGATACAAATTCTTATTTAGGCCAAAGAAAAACCGCTACTGACAGAAATACAAAAGAAAAATCGCTACAATTGGGCAAAATCTAAATTATCGTGGACACAAAATGATTGGAATAAGGTCATATTTAGCGATGAGTCTAAATTTGATGTTTGCGTTGGAGATCATCGAAAAAGAATAATACGAAATAAAGCAGAAGCCTTTCATAAAGATTGCTTAAAGAGGGTTGTTAAATTTCCTAAGGGGATTATGGTTTGGGGTTGCATGTCAGCAAGAGGTTTGGGCAAATTAAATTTTATAGATGGCACTGTTAACGTCCAAAAATATCAACAAATACTTGAGACCTCACTTTTGCCTAGTGCTCAAGAATTGTTTCCAAACGAAGACTATATTTTTCAACAAGATTGAGCATCGTGCCATTCAGCAAAATCAACTAAAAATTGGTTCGGTAATAATAATATAAAAGTTCTATCCTATCCTGCAAGTAGTCCAGACCTCAATGTTGTAGAAACTGTGTGGCATAAAATGAAGCAATATTTAAGAAACCACCCTCAACGAACAATTTTTGATTTGCGGACAAAACTGCAGGAAATTTGGGATAATTTTTCTCCTCAAATGTGATAATCTTTGGTAAATACAATGCCATTAAGAATTCAGGCAGGGTGCAGCCACACTATCCTAAAAACGGCGTATCGGCGTAACGGGCGTAATGACCTTGAATGGATTTCCAGTAATTCTATTGGCTGAAACATTCATCTGTCAGAAATTTTATCTGTCAAATTCATCTGTCAAAAATTTCAGCCAATAGAATTACTGGAAATCGATTCAAGGTCGTTACGCCGTTACGCCTCAAATGTGCCAATCTTTGGTAAATACAATGCCATTAAGAGTTCAGGCAGTTGTTAAGGCGAAAGGTGATGTAACTCCGTATTAAACAAATTTCTTGGTGTGCTGTCCCAATATATAGTTGTCAGCAAATTTGGCTTGATTTTGGCAAAATAAGCTATTATCAAAAGTGATTTGTTTGCAAAGTTATAAAAATATAGTAAAATTGTCTAGATCATATTGTAATGTTTGAATTTAGAATACTAAAGAAAATAAATTGAGTCGTTTTAACAAATTACTATTTTTATTACAAAAAAAGACCTTGTCCCAACATATAGTTGTTAGGGCTCGTATTAAACAGTGTATTATAGTTTCTTTCATTTTATTTTCCATGTTATAATTTATTTTCTGTTGAAAACTTACTTGCAACCTCCTTTCTCTACTAGACAGGTGGCTAGGGCGATAAATGTATGGTCAGATAACCTGAAAATCCACTTGAGCATTTCCCAATAAGGATTTATGCAACCCTTCAGGTTGGTCAGCTGATTAGGAAAGGTTGGACCCGAGGGAGATTTCATGGCGGCGAACCACATAGGCGCGCTAAGAATAAATTGCTTCAAAGAAACCTAAAAAAAGCCATGAAAAAAAAACATTTAAAAAATGAATGAAAAAAAATTGAAATAAAATATTTTTTGGCAGATATACAGGGTGTATCTTAAGTAAGTGCAGGTATTTGAACTGATTATTGAAACATGCCTATATGAGCGAATAACTTTGAATAATAGCAGGTATATTGTATTATTAAGAGTAAAAATAACACTTTTTTTGACATTCAGCCGAAGCACAAAAAGTCATTTTTACCCGGAATAGAACATGCTATTTTTTTTTCAAACGCCACAAATAATTTTTTAAACAATTTCAAACGTTCGAAATAATATAAAAAGCTTTAAAAATAATACCAGAGATCATACAGATTATAAACTTTGTTTTTTCTTTATAGTTTTTCGAGGTTCCAATTTTCAGAATCGGGCACTAGTTAGGTAACTAGTTTGCGCACATAGCACGCCCACTTATGGCCTCTAAAATTGTGCACCGCGCCTGACCGGCACAGTTATTAGAGAGATATCGGAAAACCGAATAGCGTCAAGCAGTATTTACGCGTACCTTATCATGGTTACGATATGCGCGAGTCAATTTTTAACGCAACACCCGCTAATAACGTTACCGCCTGACGTAATTTGCGGATCAATTACACTAAGCGCTATTTCTAAATAACGTTTAAAAATTGCTTAAATGGGCATGTGCGGGTACATTTGACAACCGGGACCGGTCGGCGAGCGGCGAGATTTTATTTTAGGTTATGTTTGAATTGTTTTGAATTATTACTTTAGTTTTATTAGGTAATTTGATATTTAAGTAGCTGGGATTAGTTTTAATTAAATAAATATGGCCCAAAATATGGATTCCGCCTCTTCCAATATTAAAGAGCCTATAAAGAGGCTTAGGTTTACAGCAGATGACGACTTAGTCCTTCTAAGAGAACTTGTTGCCCTAAACCCACTGGCAGACGTTGAACAATAAAGCACTGGAAATAAGCACTTTAGCCCTTTAGTTTTAAAATACCTAGTAAACAAAACAATTTCAAAGTTTTAAATTCAAAGTTAGGTTAAGTTTAAATAGCGGACGCGACACGAACAGAATTCTTTCCGATCCGATAACTATAAATGAAGAGAGTTAATACCACCTCACGTAAAAGGAAATAAGCCTTATTAACGTCCATGCACGCTATTCGGTTTAGCGATATCTCTCTATTACGCTGTTTATTGTTATTTTACGCGAGTTTATTTTTGTGCACAGGAAATTTTACTCGTTTGCACATCGTCATAAAAAAACAATTTTCGTACCACGAATTAGGGATAAGATTTTTATCTGCATAGATATAGTATACCTAATCTGTGATAATACCTTGTATGGAATTATACAGGGTGTTTCAAAACAAATGCGAAAAACTTCAGGGGGTGATTCCTTGTTCAAAATAAAGGGTAGTTTGCTTCATAAACGTTGGGTCAAAAGTCAACCATTAGGGAGATATTGCGGTACAAAGATGGCGGAAAAATAATGTTTTTATTTTTATCTTGAAAACGAAAGAGATAGACTAATGAAATTTTATGGAAGCATTACTGTTATGAAAACACACTTTCTGGTAATTTTTCACTTTTTTAAAATGAGTGGAAGGGGTTGAAATAAACTACCCCTATCGTTCTTGTTAACGAAAAAATCTTATCAAACACATGCAAAAAATTAATTTGGATAGTTTAGTTTGTTTAGAAACTTTTTTATCTCTTGTATTTTTTGATAAAACTCACCGATTTGAAATTAAAAAATAAAATGTAAAGCATTACATGTCAGGACAAAAAACATTTTCTGATAAAGAATCTAGTGGGCTGCTGTAATTTTTTAGGAAAAAATCTAGTCGGCCGCTGTTACTTTTAGGATGTTCCTAATATTATTTTATTTGACATTACTCTACTGCAATACGTTATTATCTAGATGATTATTATTATCGTTATTATCACTAGATTCTTAATCTAAAAATGTTTTTTGTCCTGACATGTAATGCTTTACATTTTATTTTTAATTTCCAATCGGTGAGTTTTATCAAAAAACACAAGAGGTAAAAAGTTTCTAAACAAACTAAACTATCCAAATTAAAGCATTTACATGTGTTTGATAAGATTTTTCTTTAAATTTCGTTAACAAGAATGATAGGGGTAGAGAAAGTGTGTTTTCATAACAGTAATGCTTCCGTAAAATTTCATTAGTCTATCTCTTTTCGTTTTCAAGATAAAAAATAAAAACATTATTTTTCCGCCATCTTTGTACCGCGATATCTCCCTAATGGTTGACTTTTGACCCAACATTTATAAAGCAAACTACCCTTTATTTTGAACAAGGAATCACCCCCTAAAGTTTTTCGCATTTGTTTTGAAACACCCTGTATATCAAGAAACTATGGTTACGCTCGTTGAATTTGACACTTGATGTCAGATGTATAAAATATTTTCGTACTTTTATGCCTAGGCGTTAAACTGACTCTTTTATATTGTCAATCACGTCGCAAAAATTAATACGTTTGTGACGTTTGAATTTTTTTTGCAAATATACAGGGTGTCCTAAATAAGTGCAAATATTTAACTGATATTGATTATTGAAACATGCCTATATGAGCGAATAACTTTGAAGGGAAACGCAAAAGTAAACATGTGATTATTTTTGTGCCTACTTATTTACAACCTGTATACTAAAAAAATAGCTCACTTTTTTTGACATATATCATCTTTTTGGCATTAATAATAAGTATCATCTATTTTTAACAATCTTAAAAATAAATAAATGTTGGGCATTTAAAAAACACTCTGTATAGACAATAATGAAATATATGTCGTGACTCATCTTGATAAATGACATAGTCCAATTCCGCTTCGTTTCATAATGAAGCGACAAGCGTTGCCGTGTTGCCTCTACTGTATTAATTATAGTTATTAAGTTAATTAAAAATAAAAACACACGAAACATTTTTCGATATTAAAAACATTGCGCAACACTGTTTTAATTTTATATGAACTGACCTTGCTAGTTTTTATACCGTAGGCCTTATCCAAATGTTTGGAAATCTTCACAAAAAGTTCCTTAATATCAGGCGATACGGGTGAAATAAAATCTGAACCACCGTCAGATTCTTGATAGAAAAATCGGATTTTTTTTATATCGACGGATTCGTCCAATCGCAGGACAGGATTGTTATTGCTGATTACCTAAAAAAAACCAATTATTTCAACATAAAAAAATTCTACAACCCTAGACCATAAGTCACCTAGACACTGTCTTTAGAGAGTGTATCGCGAAGCCAACATAAAACATTATTTGACGTCACTTAAGGGCATAACAGCTTATCTAACGCGTTTTGTCATTGAAAAAAAGACTAAAGAAGACTTCGAAGTCGAGATCGAGAACAGGTTTCAATATGGCTGCTTTTATTTCCAGTTGATTATACAGGGCATGCCAAAAAATTCACAACAAAATTACGAATTTTATGTATTACTGTGTTATTAAGAAAAAGTATATATGGAATTTGTTAGTAGTATGGTCAATGACAAAAGAAAATCACTTTGACATGAGTCAAACGACTGTCAACGGCTGTCATTGTCAATTCTAAATACTAATACTTTTGAAAATTTTTCTAAAGATTTTCACAACCAAAAAAAATACACGAAACAAAATAAATCCGGCTAGAATAATCCCTAACACAATATATTATTGATAACACAAAAATATTTTTCCCCATTTGCTTTGAACTTTTTGATGCACCCTGTATAAGGAAAACTCAACGAACCCAAAAAAAAAATAAATTTGTTCTATGTGCATTATTGCTTGTAAGATACACAAATAAGAAATAAGATTCTAGATAAATGAAATGTTGGCTTCAAAGTCCAGGTTATAAAGTGAGTGTCTAGTTAGTGTATAGTCTAAGGTCCTGAAATAAATATAAATAAATACCTTTAAAAGGGGTAAAAGATCTTCTGCCCTTCTGCATATAGGCCCTAAACCTAAAAATAGATTCTGTTCATCTGTTGCCGGCTCAGGATATTGTCCATGATTGGGAACAGTCAGTGATGATGGTTTATGACCAAAAACCCCTAAAAATTAGTAATTTGCTATATAAGACACTTCGTTTTGCTAAATAAAACATTTTATTTGTTACTAAATTAATATAAGCTTATATCGTCTTGGTTACCCTAAATTACTATAATAAATAACTATTAATTAGTTATCCATACCATTAAAATAAGCTGGCATCCTTATGGACCCCCCTATGTCCGACCCGATACCAAACGCCGACGCTGCGCACGCCTGGGCACACCCCTCGCCTCCGGAAGACCCGCCCACTATCCTACTGGTGTCATAAGGGTTCCTGGTTCTGCCGTGGACCTTGTTGGCGCTCTCCCACCACATACACAGCTCCGAAACGTTGGTCAAACCTATCACTATGGCACCAACGTCTTTTAGGCGAGCTATCACGGTGGCATCTTCCTCGGCGATAATATTTTTGCGACATGCCAACCCTGCCGAGTGAATTAAACCTGGAAATTCGAAAGTTTCAGTGAAATTGTCGTTGAAAATCATTTGCTATTTACCTTTGACAGAAATACAGTCTTTTGTGGTAAATGGAACGCCCAAAAATGGTTTTTCTTTAGCCAATACCTCTTCAGGTATGGTTCCAGAATTGATCAGCACGTCCGCTGCCCTGGCTTCCTTTCTGGCTTCGTCAAAACGATTGGCAACCACGCAATTCAGCAAAGGATTCACTTCTTTTATCCTTTCTATATATGAGTCAAGCACTTGCTCACTGGTTAGCTAAAAATGCAAAAATATTCTGTCAATCATTTTTTATAGTTATAATTCACCCTGTATATACCGAGGGATATAACGAATTTTTTTTAAATTTGGCTTTGAAAAAGAAATTAGTATATTGAGTCTAAAAATGATCATATTTTATACACCACACTGTAGCTAATTACACTACAACGTTAACGTAAAAATATATGTTTTCGAATCACCCTGTATACAATAATTGAATTTAGACAAGGAGAGTGTGTATATAGTCATTGGAAATCACGACACTGGGTAACCTTGTATGTATAGATCGAGCAGTTTTATTATTAAATATTTTTTATTATTTCTAAATGTTTGGTTTAATAGCATTATTCAGATTGGGACAACCTGTATAGCGGACTGTAATGAGAAAGGCAGTCCATTATGTGCCATTAGTGACTAATAATTAACAAAAAAAACTGTTCATTAATAAGATACAGGTTTATGATACTTTGTATCTGTTCTGCGCTTTTACTTTGTTTATTAATTTACTGTAGGTATTTATTGTTTTTAATAAATTCATTATTATTAATTTATATGAAAAATATTGAGAAAACTACCAATTTTTTTTTAAAAAAACACCCATTAAAAATTAATATACAAAATTACAAAGATGGAGTTTTGTTTTATAAAATTAATAATAAAAACAAACTCAAAAATATTTTATGAAAAGTAGGTACATAAATTTAAAATTTCGTTTTTTTTCTGAAAACAATTTTCAAAGCATATTTTACGGCATTTTACACACATTTCCCCATTTTTTATGACCCATAAAATCATTTACTGTTCGGTATTAAATTTTTAAATGGTTTATTTTATAGTGGTAATGTCTTATAATGCATATATGTAAATCTATGACACCATGAACTATTTTTAATTTTCCACTCATATTAATTCTTTTGTCACCCAAACGCAACTATACAAACAATTTAAAACAACAAACAAACCTGCTAAACATATTAATGACGTTAAAATAAACTAACTTATATAAAATAACCGAAAAAAAAACTAGTTGAACAAGTATAATGATGTAAAGTTCATTACGCTTTTGAAAGTAAATTTATTTGACTTAAAAATGCGGTTTTTGAGTACCTAATCGCTGTAATTATCTAAAATTTAAATCGAGTATGCTAAAAGAATGTCAAAGCTTATCAAATTATATGTTTAAAAAAAGATAATCGTCACTGAGAATCAGGTGTCATCAAGCATATAATTTAAAACATCCTGTTTAGGAATATTAAATTAAATTTATTTGAATTGAAGTTAATAATACTAATATTAAAAATAAACATAAAATTTACAGTTCCATTGTTATAAATATTCAAAATAATTACATGTTATATAGTTACATTTTTAAAAAAATTATTATAAGTAGGTACTCACTTTTTTGTTTCGAATTTTCAAAGCCACCGTACTGGCCGATTCCAAAAGCAACAGATCCTTGATTGGGGGCATCGATTCCTTGTTATTTCCATAAATTAAACTGAAAAACCAGTGGCAAAAGACCTCCACAAGCCCGAAAAGAATTCTTGAGATGCCTCGGCAGTACTCCTTTAGGCCGTCGCGTCGTTTTTCCGATCCCATTTTGCCGATTTTCCGTAAAATAAACTTAAAATTTAGTCTACGTCTCTTTTTTACATCGGACCGGACGGTATTCATGCACGCAAAACCGCTAGAAATGCGCTAGAATAAACGAAAATAATTAATTTTTCTCGATGTTGTGGGTGATCGTACGTCCCCCACCATACGGAGAATTTTTTCTACATATGTCAACGTTCGAGGTTATGTTTGAATTTATTTGTGAACTTTTTCTTTTTAATCAATGATCTTTACTGTGAATGAAGTTATTTTAATGACCGAGAATCGAATTTGTACGACACACCTGTTATTTCATAAATAATATATTTATAATTCATTAATTTAGAGTATAAAAGGGAAGTTTAAAATCGATCAGCTGATCCAATGAAAACATCTACAACGTTGTCAAGTCTAATATACCTTTGAAAAAAGAATAATTATATAAATTCTATGTTTAATTTTTTTATATTATTGTTTTAGAGTGATTATTGTGTGATTTTTTAGCGATTGGTGATTTTAAAACGTTGAAAACTTAGAAATAATTACGGTTTTAGTTGAAATAATTTATTACTTGAAGTGATATGGCAACATTGCCAAAATTTCATTAATATTTTACAAGGTTTGTTGTTTTAGGCAAAAAAAGTGTTAAAAAGACCTGTTCCATGCTAATTAATACTAAACTACGGTAATAATCTTTCTAAAATCGACAAATACACCGAAATAAAAACAATACAGTTTGTTATTTCTTAAATTAGAAACCCTTAAAGGACATTTGAACGTGTACGAATCATTCTTTAAACTAGACTTGGTTTATTAACTCGTGAGTGTCGGCAAACGCAAGAAAAACAATGAACGACAAGACTAGAAGTGAGGAAAAGCCCTCAAAGGGCTCTAAAACGGGTACCTTCAAATCTGTTCCAACTTTAGTTCCTCCAGTTCTACGCGAAGTAGGAAAGCTTGCGGTGGGTGTTGCTTCAGTCAGCTCTAGCTCTGGATCAGCTACAGGTAAGTTTCATGTGGTGTTTTATGCAGGTGTTTCTGTTGTTTGTTTAAAAAAAAACAATTGAATAATGTTGCAATAATTTTTAAAGGTTATGTAGTATATCTGGTTGCATATGTAAAAAATATTTTTGAGGTTTATCAGTGTGTATGTTTAGTTGCCTATAGAAGTTATTTTTAAAAACAGGCAAATACAGGCGGGAAATCAAGTAAATTTCATTAGAATAACGTATTTTATAGTAAATTCGAGGTCCGGGCAGATAAAATTATGTTCCTTTCGCGTGAAAATTGGAAATTTGATGTAAAGTTCCTGTTCTTTGGTGGATATAATGCGATAACACCAACTTTGAACAATTTCGCTGCGTCTGAAGGGTCGCTTATCTCGACTTGCCACACGGAATTGCCGTTTAGTGTGGGAAAATGCGGCTAAAAGGAAAATGGGGAAGTTGCAGCCGCTATACAGACGTCAGTCAGATAATTGATTTTAGGAGAGGGCCTTGCGCGGTTTCTTCAAGCGGAATTAATTCATAAAAGATGTTTTTAAGACCCGAGATTTGGTGCAATCAATTTCAGAAGTTTATAGGTTTTCTCGTTGAAAATTTCTGAAATTTTCGTCAATTATACAGGGTCTGTTATGTATGGAAACGGTCGAATATTAGGTAAAATATAGGAGGTACCGCAAAAAGTTAAATATAAAAGATATAGGGTTTATAAATATCTATTAGCGAGTAATAAATTTATGTATACAGGATCGGTCAGTGGTTTTTGCGGTACCTTGTATATTTTACGTAATAATTGACCGTTTCCATACATAAAAGCGACCCTGTATACAGGGTTGTTCACCACATACGACGCGGAGTATTGTAGCTAAACGGCTAGATTTTTACAAATTGTAAGTTTTGGGTTCGTTGAAGGACTATTAGAGCTACAATTTAAAAATATTTTTACAAGATACAGAGTGTCCCAAATAAATAAAAAATATCAAAGTTGTATTTTTTTAAATAGAACACCCTATATATTATTGCATTTTTAGTTTCTACGATTAAAATAAAGGTAAATTTGATTAAGGTTTATTACACTTAAACCTTACCGTTTTTGAAATATCTTCAATTTTGTGAAATTGCAGTATAAATTTAAAGGCTTCATTTCTCCGAGGGTATCAAAGTTTTTAATACTAAATATTTACTGAAATTTATTTATTGATCAGTTATTGTATTGCAATAATAAAAACTTTACTACCTTATACAGAGTGTCTAAAAAATTATTTTAAATAATTACTAGCTTTAAACGGCAATAACTTGTTTAATTTAAATGGAACACCCTGTATATTTTATGCGAATCAGATGCACAATTTAATTGTCTATCAAATTGTATTATACCATTTTTTACCTATCTCTTCAAGTTTCCGTAGAAAATGCATTTTCTTGTAATTTAGAACTCATTTATCAATATACCCATGGAATACTGACGTTTTAGATCATTTTTAAAGATGTACCAAATTTTTAAAGAGTACAGATACTAATATTGTCGATATAGTTCGTTTATTTCATTAAAAATTAAAAAAAAAACTGTTTAAATATTTGTTAAAGAGGACCAATTAATATGATTTCAGTATTCAAACTACATTAATTGACTGTTTGCGTTGATTAATAATAATTGCTCCAAAAACTGAATTATGTATGTATATTAGAAAGTGTGGTAAAAAGTAACACCTTAAAAATTATATTTAATTTTTTGACAAATGCTTATTTATAACAACAGAAACGTTCATTTTCATAACTTATTATTATATCGATTTCTGATTCAAATCCACATTTATTTAGAATAATTTATTAACGAACACAATTAAGTATGTAGTTAATTAGTATTTGGGCGGAAATACTGGTGGTATATTTAATTAATGGTATACTCTTTTATAAAAATTGAAATAGTTTTCTTTTAGCATACAAATGGGCTAGTAATATTATCGTTTTAGTAAAAACGATAATATTCCTAGTCTGTACATTTTGTACATTTGTTGTTATAAAAACAATCTAAAATGTCAATATTCCATGGGTATATTGATAAATGAGGTCTAAATTATAAGAAAATGCATTTTCTACGAAAACTTGAAGGTATAGGTAAGAAATGGTATAATACAATTTGATAGACAATTAAATTGTGCATTTGATTCTCATAAAATATACAGGGTGTTCTATTTAAAGTAAATAAGTTATTGCCGTTTAAAGCTAGTAATTATTTGAAATAAATATTTAGACACTCAGTATAAGGTAGTAAAATTTTTATTATTGCAACACAATAACTGATCAATAAATAAACTTCAGTAAATATTTAGTATTAAAAACTTTGATACCCTCGGAGAAATGAAGCCTTAAAATGTATACTGCAATTTCACAAAATTGAAAATATTTCAAAAACGGTAAGGTTTAAGTGTAATAAACCTTAATCAAATTTACCTTTATTTTGATCGTAGAAACTAAAAATGCAATAATATACAGGATGTTCCATTTAAAAAAATACAATTTTGATATTTATTATTTATTTGGGACACTCTGTATCTTGTAAAAATATTTTTAAGTTGTAGCTCTAATAGTCCTTCAACGAACCCAAAACTTACAATTTGTAAAAATCTAATCGTTTAGCTACAATACTCCGTGTCGTATGTGGTGAACAACCCTGTATAGTGGTTTCATTTTATTTTGTCACACTTTTAACTTTTTGAGTTAAAAGGTCCATTAAAAGTTTAAATTGTAGGGTTTTTGCTGTCAAGGACTGTACAATTTTTCATATTTTTTAATAAAACAAGCTACCTATTAAAAAAATATTTCTTTATTTTAATTTCTCACTTTAATTCACTTTTTCTTTGACATTCTTAGCTCTACCAGTCTTACAACATAAAATCTTACAACCTAACTTAACTAAATACACTAAAACGAGTACTATACCAGCTAAAAACCCCATAATATCAAGCAGGTAGTACTCGAACCACGACTGATTCACTCCATTGACCATCAAGTGTCTAGCACCCTTGTTTCTAATAGCGTACTCTACCCAATACACCACACTCTCCATAGGTTTCAGTGGCCTGTCATGGTACAGCTTAGACCTCCTTCTGGCATTTTCCCTGTATTTCTTGTTATTTAACAGCTCCTCTATAAGTTCACTAAGCATTTTTTCGGAGAACTTTTCAGCATTGTACGCAATCTGTAGGCCGTATCCAAACTGGACAGCTTTAAAGGCATTTGCGAACTGGTCAGCAAATACCGGTATAGCCAGGATCGGTACTCCGTGGTATATTGTCTCTGTGGTACTCAGGAGCCCGCCGTGTGTTATGAACAGTTTGATATTCGGATGGGCTGAAAATTATATCGAGGATTAGAATATACAGGGTGCTAAATGAATAAGTGCGTAAAAAAATATGAGGTGATTCATTATCGACTTGATATACAGGGTGCTCCGAACTGTATTCCGGAAACTTCGGCATCATATTCTGCAGATAAAAATAAGTAAAAAAGTTCGTATAAATGTATGTCTTAAAATTCTTAGTTTCGGAGATACAGGGTGTAGAAATTTTATGTTTATTTTGATTTTTTCCAATTAATTTCCGAAGTAACGTTTTTTTGATGTCAATATTACTCGTACTTGCAGAGGGCGCCATCTACATATTTTTTAACTGGTATGAACAGTAATAACTTTTCGTCCGTACCTGTATAAAACTACTGAGTAGAAAAATATATATTTACGTATTAATAAAAAGTAATATATTACTACCATTGGCATCCCGTGAGATTTGAACCACAGACCATCCGCTTACGAAGCGATAGCCTCAGCTAGAGGTGGGAATTCTAGTTCCTTGGGAGGAACTAGTTCCTTAGTTCTAGTTCCTCCAGAGGAATAGTTCCTTGAACTAGATCTTTAGTTCACAATAGTTCCCGACTACCATTGGCATCCCGTGAGATTTGAACCACAGACCATCCGCTTACGAAGCGATAGCCTCAGCTAGAGGTGGGAATTCTAGTTCCTTGGGAGGAACTAGTTCCTTTGTTCTAGTTCCTCCAGAGGAATAGTTCCTTGAACTAGGTCTTTAGTTCACAATAGTTCCCGACTACCATTGGCATCCCGTGAGATTTGAACCACAGACCATCCGCTTACGAAGCGATAGCCTCAGCTAGAGGTGGGAATTCTAGTTCCTTGGGAGGAACTAGTTCCTTAGTTCTAGTTCCTCCAGAGGAATAGTTCCTTGAACTAGGTCTTTAGTTCACAATAGTTCCCGACTACCATTGGCATCCCCCTTGCTTGCTAATGCGTTTAGTTGTCAGTCAGAACTATTCACAGTATGATCTGTATAATTTTTATAATGTACGGAGATATAACGAGACCTGTAATTGTGTATATTAAAAACATATAGGTAAGTTTTATTGCAGATAAAAAAAAATAAAAAAGAAACTCAAATTAGAGTTTAAAAAACTGTCACAAATCAATTGGAGCAAATATTACAAAAATTTTACGAAAAAAAAATTGTCTAAAAATTCAGAATATCTACTTCGTTTTATAAGATATTTCTGAATTTTAGGGACCTAAAGTGAAACATTTTACCACATTACTGTGGTAATTACGCCGGCTGTGGCAATAGACAATGCCGAATCCATCGTCGTCGCCTTCTATTATATCTCGGATCTGCCGACTGAATAGATTCCCGTGAACTAGTCTTTTAATTAGTTCCTCTATGTCCGGATCCGATAACATACGGCTGGCACTCCCCACGCCTGCCTAGCATCAATCGCGCTGGCTCAAAAAACTGCCAGACACCAATTTTCATCCAAATATTAGCGTTTATTCAGAAATTATTTAGAAAAAATCGAAATAAAAATGAAACTTCTACACCCTGTATCTCCGAAACTACCAATTTTAGACATACATTTATACAAACTTTTTTACTTATTTTTTAATACAGTTCGGATCACCCTGTATAAAGTTGTGTATGATTTTGACCTAAAAAAATACCTAATATATCCTGCTGAGGCATCCAACTCCTTATAAGAACATTCTCAGGCCTTTTAGGTAGTTCCTCCTCAAATTTCCACAGTACTTTCTGTTTAAGCTTTCTAAAAACGTCCAAAAACATTTTTTTCTTCTCAACTGACATATCCTTGCTTTTCAAATTCGAACCCATGCTAAAATAAATTACCCCATCCTTAGCATTATCCAGGAAATCTTGTAGATCTTTTGGCAGAGCTTTAGGAGGGTCCACGTGGTACCCACCTACCTCCACCATGTTTGGTACCATTGGTACCGCCTGAGCGTAGCTGGTATGCGAGTTGGCCAACACCAAAGACACTAGTTTTTGAAGTTCTGTGATTGGGGGAGCTTCTGGGAAGGCTTTCTCCAAGATTTCTTGCTGGAGTGGAGTGGAGTAGTATGTTCTTAATGCTGATTCTCCCGCTGAAACTAGGAGGTTTTCTAGACGTTTGAAGAAGCCCATTCCGTGGTCTAGGTCGGCCTGTACGAAGAAATGGGGGGCGTAGGAGAGTTCTGGGGGGTTCCCCACCACAAAATTTACCTGAAAAGTGATCCAATGAGGTTTTTTAATATCATCTTCAAACAGGGTTGGGTAACGACGCGTAAAAAAACAATTTTCTACGTGTATGTAGAAAAGTGCGTAGAAAATGTAGAATATTAGGTAGAAAATGTACAAAATCAATATTACACAGGTACAAAATTAATTTTGTATATTTGAAGCCGTTTTGTCATACTTTAGAAATTTCTTCTTTTGGTGGCGCCCTCTACTAGTAGGAGTCATATTAATCTTCATCCAAATATTTTGGTTACTTCAGAAACTATTTGGAAAAAATCGAAATAAAAATGAAAATTCTACACCCTGTATCTCTAAAACTAAGCATTTTAGGACATTCATTTATCCGAACTTTTTTACTTATTTTTATCTACAGAGTATGCTTCCGAAATTTCCGGAATACAGTTCGGACCACCCTGTATAGGTAAATAAACAGTCCACTCCACCTTTTAAGCATTTTCTTATTGACTTTGATAATTATTTTTCTGATATTACATGTACTTGATATGTGCTATACATCGATACTAGTTTTGTACCTTTTATTAACTTTTTAATACTTTTTTTATAATTAATTAGTATGATTACCACCTAAATAAGCAGCATACACCATAGCCGTAGTAAAAAGATTTATCAAAAATATAATTATCTCTTTAAACAGCTAAGTTAAGAAAAATATCTACCACGGCACTGTTTGGAGACATGGCAATTTGATCTCGGGTGTTATTGATCCTTGTAATCTTTAATTATTGACTGAAATAGAAAAAAAAACAAACTCACCAAGGCACTGGGTCCTATGCTACTAAGCAGTATCAAAGGGCATTTGAAAAAATGGGCAAAAACCTTATGCGCTTCGTTGAAAAATTGCTCCATGATCACGGCATCGAATTTTTCACCGGAATTGATCAGTTTTCTTACGTCTGGGTGGTACAAGGTGTTGTTCACCCAGCTGAGCATCAAATGATTGTAGGAAACGATTTTTTCGAGTGAGTTTCTTTTGCTATCTTCGTACAGATCTTCACCTTTCATTCTGACTGAAATTAATTAATAAATTTTTTTAATATTTTTTTAGGTAAAGTTGCTTTTGCTCAGGGGTCAGGGAAAGCGGGTGTGTGGGCGAAGGAAATATATATATTTCAGAAATTTGCCCAAGGCTTAACCCGATCCTGTCGTGTTAAGCCACCACCAAAATTCCAAACACACGAGCTTTGATTAAGGTTTGCAGAGCTTCAGCATTTGTGATAAAATAGCGAACAATTTGTTACAAAACCAGATAAATTATATATCACTGTAATAAAAAAACTTCAATCTATTTTGTTTAAATTTGAAGGCAGGTTTTGCAGGCAGATTTGAAGTGGCAGATTTGAAGTGGAGACTAAGAATCAGTTTGAGTATTTTCCAAGAGTATGGTTTAGGTATGTGGATGATATTTTTGCTATTTTTGACACATATTCAGACACCATAGATAATTAAACGGTTTTATTTAGCTCGACCCGTACGGTATTTATTTATTTGTTTGTTTATTTGGGTCAAAATTAGAAATTGAAATTTAAGTACCTTCCTGTTGTCAGATTGATCTGAAATTTGGTACACACCTTTAGTTCCGATGGCAATACAATATAGTAATATCAATAACATTGTAAATCTAAGATGGCCGCAGGTACAAAATGGCGGATTTCATATTTTTCCACAACCCCCTCAATATGGGTATCAAATGAAAGGGCTACACTAGTAGAATACTGTGATTATGACAAAATTTAAAATCCAAGATGGACGTCGTTACAAAATGGCGTATTAGGTGAGGGCATGAGTAGTCGTGTCCAGAACAGTTGTGTCCAAGATTGTGTGACGTTAGAAGGACAGATAAAAAAATAGGTGATTAGATGTACCTACGTAGTTAGCGGTAGCTTTACCACCCAAGTTAAGGTAATAGGTTAAAACGTGTTGAGGACTGTATGGCATTAGGGTGGCTAAAAATGCAATGTCGCAAGCGTTTTCCCCTCAAGATTGGGCGCCTCTTGTTGTATATTATAGCCTTGCCCCTCTACTGAACCTCTGGGGGGTCGACCGTTAAAATGTCCATTACTCGTGGGAACAACATGGAAACAATAAATAAAAAAAACAAACAAAAATAAAAACGAAACTGCTACACAACGAAAAAGAAGGCTCGAAAAGGCGAAAGAAAAGTATAGAACGAAACGTGCAAAAGAAAGTGAAAATGAAACCTATAGTCGACTACAGAAACGAAGAGAACGGTTAGCAACAGAAACACCTGAGCAACATGATGCCAAGTTAATAGCACAACGTGAGAGGCAAAGGCAGCTGGTAGAGTCAGAAACACCTGAGCGTCATGAGTCTAGGCTGGCATCACAACGAGAGAGACAAAGAGAGCTAATAACATCAGAAACACACACCCGAAAGCCATACAGTTTCCAGCAAAATTCAATTATGGTACGGCTGAAAGAAGGATGTTACCCTTAATTTTGTCATGGGCATCCACCGTCCATAAAATGCAGGGCAGCACAGTCGACCATGCAGTAGTGTATTTGGGCTCAAAATTGTTTGAGGAAGGGCAAGCATACGTGGCTCTAAGTCGAGTCAAGTCTCTGGAAGGGCTATATATTGAGGAATTAGATTGTAATAAATTATCAGGTAAAAAACCATGCAATAATGATGCACTAAATGAATTAAATAGAATGAGGAATATTCGGTAGGCATTTCCGTTAAATACTAAAAACTAGAAAATAAAAAATCGGTAAAAAAACTTTTAAGTTAAACGGTTTTATCTTACGTGCACTGAAAACTAGAAAATAATAATAACAATTAGGTATTTTGAACTTCTAGTTCAGAAATATTTTAGTACTAGGCAGAATAGCTTTTAGGCATATTAGACTAAAATAAAAACGTGGGGCCCCTCTGAAATCCTACCTATGGCAAAGTATATCTTTATATACTTTGGTAGATCATGAGCTCGGCGTTCGCTGGTGAAGCCGCCACGGCTGGTTATTGATTGTCAAAATCTCCAGTTACGATTATAGTAAGTCGATGCAATCCACACTTAGTATAGAAGAAAGTATATCAGCAATAGTTAATGGGCCCCACGTTTTTATTTTAGTCTAATATGCCTAAAAGCTATTCTGCCTAGTACTAAAATATTTCTGAACTAGAAGTTCAAAATACCTAATTGTTATTATTATTTTGTAGTTTTCAGTGCACATAAGATAAAACCGTTTAACTTAAAAGTTTTTTTATCGATTTTTTATTTTACTTCTAAGTTAAATAATCGTTTTCCTTCCATTAAATTTATGCTCGCATGAAATTGAGAACAACGACAGATTACCATTTCTAGATGTATTAGTTATTAGAAATAATAATAATTGCCTGGAATTTGATATCTATAGGAAAAATACCATTACACGCAGATATATTCCTAATGAATTATATCATAGTGTTGAACATAAAATGGCTAGTTTAAATTTCTTAGTTCATAGATTACTTAGTTTTCCACTTTCCAACGAAAGATATGAAATAGAAAGAGATTACATTAGGAATGTAGCTGAGTGTAATGGATATTCTCCTTCACTAATTGATAAAATAATTAGAAAACGTAAGTATAGGTTAATGATTTCTGAAAATTCGACTTTTCAAGTGGAGAAAGATACGTCTAAATATTTTTCGATACCGTTTGATAGAGAGTTATCCCGTCGTCTAAAAGGAATTTTTAAGAATGTCAATTATAAACTTGTGTATAGTGCTAATAATAAATTACAACAATTATTAGGTAATCCAAAGGATAAAACACCTCCACTGAAAAGGTCAGGTATTTATGAAATTTCTTGTAAAGATTGTAATCAGAAATATGTTGGGCAAACTAGAAGTGTAAAAGTGTGTTTTGGTGTATTGTGGTGATTTAGTGTTTTATTTTGGTGTTATTACTCCTTTTATTTTTTAATCATTGGTTCAAACTTATTGAAATTGGTAAAAAACTTACATTGGAAATCTTCCACGAAACCTTCCATTAGAACTTCTTTCCATGTACCATTTTTAGGTACATCCTTCAGCTTGTAAGGAGTTATTATTGTGATATCGTGACCAGCTTCAGCTAAACCTTTCATCAGTTTCGAAGCCAGGATATAGTGGCTTCCTCCAGGCATGGGAAAAACTCCCAGAATTTTCGCACTTTCCACTGATTTTCCACATAATAACAACACAAAGGAACAACAAATGAATGTTAAACAAGTCTTCATCGTGTAACGAACTATACAGTTCTAACTGTTTTTGTAAATAAACAATAATTTTAATCTCTAGATACGAAGGCGTTGAATGATGTCCGATGTTTTTAATAAACGGACTGAAATGCAGTCAAGGTTTTGAACTCTGGCCATCGCTATGCCTTCCTATGGTATTTGGTTGATTGATAGCACAGGCGGAGGTCAAATATTTTGAGTACTGGGGGCCAGAAGCGGCTTAAAACATAATAATATTGTTGTTTGTCGTTTGGATGCCAAAACTTGATAAATTGTTATTTTTTTAGTGTAATTGACGTAGGTCATCTGTTCCTGTTTATTTATTTCTTACCCAATTAATGGTAAGCATAAATAAGGTCATTACTCCCTTGGTGTCTAAGTCCCTGTTGCATAGATAGTCATTGCATTGTCGTGCTTCTTCAGCTTTTTTAATATTTCCTCCGTTTTAGTAGTGTATATGAAAGAGGGATATTAGAGTATTTCTTTTTTTTTCATTGTGGAATGTCATAGATAATGTTTAAAACCAAAATAATTGTTTAGCGTAAAAAAAGGCTGCTTAAAATTATGATTATTCTTATTTTACTTAATATATGCTACGCCACTGCTAATCATGTTTTAATGGTTTTATTTACCTCGTTAGGATATAATCTAAGTTGTGTAATTTCGGTTTATGATTTTTGTAAAATAGTTTTTAAAGCGTCTTCAGTAGGATTGAGTTAGTATTATTGAATAATTCATTTATTTTTATCGATATTTTTGATAATTATCCTTGATTTTGCAACATTGTCATAATTTTTTAATGGTTTTGAAATCTTATGTTGCGGTATCTCAGGTGGCTACTTAAAACATCTGATAATTATGTATAAACAATTTCACATCATTACAAAGATTTACAATAAAGATTTACATCATTAGATTGACATCTTATTATATATACTCTAAACCAGTATATACAGGGTGGTTCACTTTGAAGTAGCTTGACTCTAAGCCCACGGCCACACAGAGAGCGTTTTTTGCGTTTTTAGCGTGAAGCGTCTTTAGCGACTAAAACAAAATAACAGGATTATATAGGAGTGGCCACACCAAAAGCGTGTAGCGTTCGGCGTGTCTCGCAAAAAACGCAAATGAAAACAAATCAGTTTGTTTTCTGTAGCGTCTTTAACGTTTTCTAAGATGAGACCCCGTCATAGGCGGATGTTATATTTAATAATACAATAAAAATAAATTATATAGTATGCATTTTTTTTTTCATTTTAGGGTATTATCTAAAAATATTTTTATAAAGAACATCTACTGTTTAGGAAGATTCTATTAAATTCAAAAATTTGAAGGAAATGTTTGAAAAAGTGTAGTTTGAAATGTTGAAAAAGTAATAAATTAAAGGGATATTTTCTTACGCGTAAAAAATAATTTTTTATGAGTAACAAATAGTTTTTTACACGTAAAAAATATATTTTTTTGCGTAACAAAAGGTTTTTTACCAGAAACAATAAGTTTTTGACGCGTAAAAATTAGTTTTTTACGTGTAACAAATAGTTTTTTACACGTAAAAATATTTTTTTTGCGTAAGAAAGGTTTTCTACCAGAAACAATAAGTTTCTGACGAGTAAAAAAAGAGTTTTTTATGTGTAACGAATAGATTTTTACACGTTACAAATAGTTTTATACGCGTAAAAAATAGTTTTTTACCAGTAACAAATAGTTTTATACGCGTAAAAAATGTTTTTTTAGAAACGAAAAAAATATCTTTATATAGAAAATATCTAAACGCCTGTCAATTGTTATTACAATTTACTTAATATTACACAATCTTTTCACTGGTTTTTGAGATAATAAGAATTGTTAGTGATAATTATTATTATCGGACTATCAAGTAGATATTACAAATTTATTTATAGTATTCTTTGATTAAAGAAAGTATTGTTTTAAGTATTTTTTTAGAAATTAAAACAAAACACCACGTCTCTATTGAGTTTTTATTTTAGATTGTCTTATAACCTTACTTCTAACAGTCTTAAACACCTTAACTACTACAAACTTAACTATTTTTACAAATATTAATACTGAGAATAATAAAAATAATATCACGTCCACCATATAATACTGGTACCAAGTCTGGTGTATGCTTCCAACCCTCAAATGCCTGGCACCTTTGTTCCTTATCACGTAATCCACCCAGTACACTGCAGTATCCATGGGTTTCATGGGTCTGTCGTGGAACAACCTGGAAACTCTTTGAGCTGTGTCCCGGTACTTTGGGTTGTGAAGGAGTTCTTCAAGGGCGTGGCTGAAATTTTCTTCTGTGAAGTCTTCGTTTGTGTAGGGAACTGTCAGGCCGTAGCCAGCAGCTTGGGCTCGTTCAGCATTCATTGGCTGGTCAGCGAAGATGGGTATGGCAAGAATGGGTACTCCGTGGTACACTGTTTCGGTTGTACTTAAGAGTCCTCCGTGGGTTATGAAGAGTTTGATGTTTGGATGAGCTGAAAAAAATAAAAATAAAAATTAGTAAGGTATTTGGTATTGAAAGCAGTGGTTGTTCCTGAAGGAACTTCAGAAAAGATCATTCAATAAGTAATAATAAGAATACGCTTAATATATTTTTTTTGAACTCACCTAAAATGTCTTGTTGAGGCAACCAACTCTTGATAAGTATATTATCTGGTTTTCCCGGCAACTCCTGTTCAAATTTCCAAATAACCTTCTGCTTCAATTTGCCCAGGACCTTCAAAATAATCTTCTTTCTCTCCTCGGTAATATCTTTACTCTTCAAATTTGATCCCATACTAAAATATATAGCACCATCTTTGGCGTTATCCAAAAACTCTTGTAAATCTTTTGGCAGCTTCTTGGGAGGATCAATGAAGTACCCTCCAATCTCTACCATGTTCGGTACCAAGGCTTGAGGAGGATGCATGCTTGGGTGTGAGTTTAGAAGTACCAAGGAAGCATTTAGATACAGATCTGTTACTTCTGGAACATTAGGGAATTTTTGGTGAAGCACTTCGTTTTGATGTGGAAGTAAAAGGTAGTTTTTTATTTGAACGAAGATGATATGGGAGAGCGCATTCTTGGTTCTTTCAAAGAAAGTCATGGGTTGATTACGGCTAGCCTTGATCATCATGTTAGGGATGTAAGATATAGCTTCCGGGTTACCTACTGTAGGATTGACGAAGCTATTTGGCCCACCTCCATTCAGCAATATCAAAGGACAGTCATATAAATAAGCAAACACTTTCAAGGCATCGTTGAAGAATTGTTCCATGATGACAGCATCGAATTTTTGATCGGATCTCAAGAGTTCGTTCACTTTTTCGTCTTGTAAAGTGTCGTTTATTGAACTTACAAAATTTTTGAGCATGGTGCTCAAGCTTAACAGCAAATTTTGTTTGTTTCGCTCGAACAAGTTTGATTCCTTAAGTAGCTCTGAAAAAAACAAACATATTTTTTTAAAATATATTTTATGTCAATATACAGAGCTAAAACTAAAATAAATAAACGATATCTTACTTTGAAATTCATCTCCTGCACCTTCTAACACTATGTTTTTGATAGATCCGCTCTTGGGCTGAGTTTTAAACTCGTACGGACTGATAAAAGTGATGTTGTGTCCAGCTTCGGCCAGTCCCAGCATCAGCTTCGAAGCTAGGATGTAGTGGCTACCCGCCCCCATGGGGAAAATCCCTAAAATATTGGCACTTTGTCCATTTTGGACCAATAGTATCACAGCCAGAAATAACAGCGATGCTTTCATATTGTTCTCTGTTTTGTGACTGACTAGCATTAGGTACTAATCAGGCGGGAATTTGTAAACGATATTTAACCAATTATTTTTTTAATAGAAGTTGTGAGATAAGATAGCAACTCATAGGGAATTAAATAATTTTTGCGTTCAGCTTTGTAATGTTGATTATTTTTACTATTTTATAATTCGCAAAAATAACGGGATATTTTTAAATATTTTTATTTTTTTTTTATTAATTTTTAGCTGGTATATTGTCATAGTTTTGTGTACTTAAGAACTGTTTACGTAGTATTGTGAAATTTCATATTATATTGGTGATATTTTATTGTAAATGAAATGGTTAAATAATTTAACCCTTGTGTATACGGAGTGATTTTTAGATAAATGCTAGTATCTTAATTTGTAGTTTATTTTAAAAAATATATCTAAGTAAAATATCTACACCTGCCAATTATTATTATAATTTACTTAAATTCGAGATAAGAATTGTTATTGTACTAGTGTCTGTGAAAATAAAAATTTACAATAATTGTAATCGGATTACTAAGTCGATTGATTACAAATTTATTTCTAGTATTCTTTGATTAAAGAAAGTATTGTTTTAAGTATTTTTTAGAAATTAAAACAAAACAATCACGTTATTATCTATTGAGTTTTTATTTTATTTTGTCCTATAACCTTACTTCTAACAGTCTTAAACACCTTAACTACTACAAACTTAACTATTTTTACAAATATTAATACTGAGAATAATAAAAATAATATCACGTCCACCATATAATACTGGTACCAAGTCTGGTGTATGCTTCCTACCCTCAAATGCCTGGCACCTTTGTTCCTTATCACGTAATCCACCCAGTACACTGCGGTATCCATGGGTTTCATGGGTCTGTCGTGGAACAACTTGGAGACTCTTTGAGCTGTTTCCCGGTACTTTGGGTTGTGAAGGAGTTCTTCAAGGGCGTGGCTGAAGTTTTCTTCTGTGAATTCTTCGTCTGTGTAGGGAACTGTCAGGCCGTAGCCAGCAGCTTGGGCTCGTTCAGCGTTCATTGGCTGGTCGGCGAAGATGGGTATGGCAAGAATGGGTACTCCGTGGTACACTGTTTCGGTTGTACTTAAGAGTCCTCCGTGGGTTATGAAGAGTTTGATGTTTGGATGAGCTGAAAAAAATAAAAATAAAAATTAGTAAGATATTTGGTATTGAAAGCAGTGGTTATTCCTGAAGGAACTTCAGAAAAGATCATACAATAAGTAATAATAAGAATACGCTTAATATATTTTTTTTGAACTCACCTAAAATGTCTTGTTGAGGCAACCAACTTTTGATAAGTATATTATCTGGTTTTCCCGGCAACTCCTGTTCAAATTTCCAAATAACCTTCTGCTTCAATTTGCCCAAGACCTTCAAAATAATCTTCTTTCTCTCCTCAGTAATATCTTTACTTTTCAAATTCGATCCCATACTAAAATATATAGCACCATCTTTGGCGTTATCCAAAAACTCTTGCAAATCTTTTGGCAGCTTCTTGGGAGGATCAATGAAGTACCCTCCAATCTCTACCATGTTTGGTACCAAGGCTTGAGCAGGGTACATGCTTGAGTGTGAGTTTAGCAGCACCAAGGAAGCATTTAGGTAGAGATCAGTTACTTCTGGAGCATCAGGGAATCGTTCATGAAGCACTTCGTTTTGTTGTGGAAGGAAAAGGTAGTGTTTCAATTGGACGAAGATGATATGGAAGAGCACATTCTTGGTTCTTTCAAAGAAAGTCATCGGTTTATTACGGCTAGCCTTGACCATCATGTTAGGGATATAAGATATGGCTTCCGGGTTACCTACTGTAGGGTTGACGAAATTATTTGGCCCCACTGAACTCAGTAATATCAAAGGGCATTCGTATAAATAAGCAAATACTTTCAAGGCATCGTTTGAGAATTGTTCCATGATGACGGCATCGAATTTTTGATCGGATTTCAAGAGTTTGTCGACATTTTTGTCATTTAGAGTGTCGTTCACCGTTCTTACGAACTTTTTGAGCATGCTGCTCACGCTTAACAGCAAATTTTGTTTGTTTTGCTCAAACAAGTTTGTTTCTGTACAAGTAGCTCTGAAAAAAATTAAACATGTTTATTATTTTCCGAACTTTCTCGAATTGTATACGGTGTTTATATTAATGTTATAGAGAGTGTCCCATTTCTTGGACATAATACTTTTTTAACATAAATAGTTTAAACCTTTTTAAATCCTAATATTTAAAATTAAAAACAAATATGTGAACCAAAAATATCTTACTTTGAAATTCTTCTCCTGCACCTTCTAGCAATACGTTTTTGATGGATCCACTCTTGGGCTGAGTTTTGAACTCGTACGGACTGACAAAAGTGATGTTATGTCCAGCTTCGGCCAGTCCCAACATCAGTTTGGTAGCTAGGATGTAGTGGCTACCCGCCCCCATGGGAAAAATCCCTAAAATATTGGCACTCTGTCCATTTTGGACCAATAATATCACAGCGAGAAATAACAGCGGTGTTTTCATATTGTTCTCTGTTTTGTGACTGACTAGCCTAAAGTACCAGTCAGACGGGTACTATAATCAATCTTAATGAATGATTTCGTTAAATAGGTTTTGAGATAAGGTAATTATTGTCTGTAATAGTGAATTGAATAATTTTTACGTTCAGTTGTGTAATGTTGTTTATTTTTGTTAATTCATAATATTCGCAAACATTTTTAAATACCTAAGTTTTTTTATTGATTTTTACCGGGAATAATTGTAATGGTTCTGTCAAAAAGTTGTGTAATGTTGATTATGTCTGGTTTATTCATATTAGCAAGAATATTGTCATAGGGTTATGTGTACTTAAGAATTTTTCACACACTATTGTGAAATTTCATATTTATTATATTGGTATCTAATATTCTAATGATACACTGTGAAAAATAAATATATTTTTCACATAATATATATTTTTATATAATATATAATAAAGAGTAATACTTAGTAATTTGTATTTTGTATTACATATTGTTTTCTAGGATATTGAAAATATTTTATCTAAACTTTAATATTAATTGATTGGTTTGGTTGGATTAATTTAAAAAATAAAAAAATGGCGCCGGGAGGCACGTATAGCGGCCCATACTAAAATATGTTAATAAAAACTTGTTCGGCAGTTCTTTTAGTTTCAGTTATCTCAAAAACTGCGACTTTGACTGATTTTGATGTTACTACAAATTTTGTTGCAAATATTATTCCTAATCTTAATTTGAAAACCGCGTTTCGCTAGCTACTGTAATTTTGGAATTACGATTTTTAAAAATTTTTAACCCCCTGCCATACCCCCTTACCAACCCCCCACCCCCACCAAAAACTAATGGCCAGATTCTCGGCTGCCACAGTATTTTTGTGCCAAATTTGGTTAAAATCGGTTTAGCGGTTTTTCAGTGTTATCGTGTTACAGACAGATGGACAGACAGACAGACACCATGAAAATATTTTGTATTTAGGTACCTGTTGGTATGGTCGGGTAATAAATGGAATTGGAATTATCAATTACGTGATTTTATCACAAAATCCGATTATGCTTTCTGCGATATCTAATAATAGATATAGACAATAAGCGACATCATCAAGGACAGATAAAAGAAATAGCAAACAACATGATAATATTTAATTTTTATATCATTTTTGGTCACTTATCATGATATGATTGATCATTGGAGGGCTCTCCTGATTATTATCAGAACCCTTTGACCTTTACAAGGATGCATAGCGAAAAATATTCATAATTTAATGAAATATTATGTATTATAAATATTATACAGTGTGAATCTTAAATAAGTGCAAATATTTTTAAGGGTATATGCTTTATTTTCTAAACAGTCTTATCTATACTAATATATAAAATCCTGACATACTGACATACTGATTAATCACGATCCTGCTCAGACCTCTCAACGTAAGAAGCTCAATTTTGGCTTACATGTTGATTCTAGGGTGTAGAGGTTCGAAAAGAAGGGATTTTTCGAAATTCCAGTTCCAAGAGGGTGAAACCACCCCTCAAATATTACAATATTTTTTATTTAAAAAACGGTCAAGTTTCCGAAAAACGCTTAAACACGTATATTTTATTTTGTCTTTTTACATATTTTAAGATTTTTTAAAAATGTATACAGGTTGTTTCGAAAAATCTGGTCATTGATTAATCACGATCCTGCTTAAAGCGCTTGACGTAAAAAGCTGATTTTTGGAAAGCAGATTGACTTTAGGGTGTAGAGGTTCGATAAGAAGGGATTTTTCCAAACTCGAATTCTAAGGGGGTGAAACTATCCCTCAAATATTAAAATATTTTTTATTTAAAAACCGGTGAGTTTTTCGGAAAAACTCTTAAACACGTATATTTTATTTTGTTGTTTTACATATTTTAAGATTTTTTATAAACTTATACAGGGTGTTTCATAAAATATGACCATTGAGTAATCACGATTCTTCTTAAATTGCTTGACGTTTAAAGCTGATTTTTGGCAAACGGGATGACTGTGGGGTGTAGAGGTTCGATAAGGAGGGGTTTCTCGAATCTCAAATTCCAAGAGGGTGAAAACGCCCCTCAAATATTACAATATTTGTTATTTAAAAAACGGTTAGTCTTTCGGGAAAACGCTTGGACAAGCATCATTTATTTGGTTTTTTTACATATTTTGAAATTTTTTAAAAAATCATACAGGGTGTTTCAAAAAGTTGCGTAATTTCTTAACCACGATTTTGCTTAAACTGCTTGACATAAAAAGCTTATTTTCGGTAAACGGATTTTTCGAAAGTCAAATTCCAACGATATGAAACTACCCCTCAAATATTACCAAGTTATATAATAATATCGCCATATTGTTTTTTCTCATGCTGACATAAATGTGAGAAAATTTTATCCAGTTTGTATGTTAATGGAAATTCTTGCATTGCTTTATCATCACCATTACAAATGATTAATTCGACGCGAACGAAGTCGCTGGTACACGCTAGTGTATAATATAATACTATAATTAAAAATATACATAAATTACACAATTTGACTTTTATTATTTATTTATACCGTATGATCAAATAAATGCGGCATCCAGTTGGCTTGGAAATGAATCTCCATATAATTTTACATATAAAATGACAGCGATCTTTATTTCATAGCCATCGCTGACGCCGGTTTTTTTTTGATCATATTGTACCTTTATTATACTAATGACTATGAGATACAAAACTTTAATATAATATAAAATAAATAAAAATTAACTATAATATATCTTAATTTAACCCTAGTTCATTCACAATAATTGCTTAGGATAATTTTTGTATTCGGCAGCAATTGTTATTAAAAAATTATTTTGAATTCATAAAAAAACAACTTATTTAGTTTTAAGTTTTTTTTTAGGGCTGAGTTTAGACTTTGCAACTAAAAATACTTTTTTAATAACGAATTTTGAGATTTCGAATACTACAACTAAACTGGCTAGTAGAAACAGTGCGACATCTACTAGATGGTACTCGTACCATGCTTGGTCAGCACCAGCGACTCTTAGATGCCTAGCACCATTGTTCCTTATCACATATTCCACCCAATAAACCGCAGTATCCATGGGTTTCATCGGTCTGTCATGGAACAACTTGGATCTTCTTTGGGCGTTTTCACGGTACTTTGGGTTATTCAGGAGCTCCAGTATATACTTCTCGAAGTTTTCTTCCGTGAAATTATCGTCATGGTAGCCTAGTTTGATGGCGTATCCAGCGTATTGGGCTTTTTCTGCATTCGCTGGCTGATCTCCGAAAACTGGGATCGCTAGAATCGGTACTCCGTGGTATACTGTTTCGGTAGTACTTAGCAATCCACCGTGTGTGATGAAAAGTTTGATATTCGGATGAGCTGTAATAAAAAAATTGCTTTATTTAGAAACTATACAGGGTGTCTCTTAAGTAAGTGCAAGTACTTTAACATTTAGTATAATTTGTTTTCGGGAACCCGTCTATGAGTTTTTTTTTGCAAAAAATGTCTTGAAAGTTTTACAAAGAACTTGTATGCCTTTAGAAGGTTAAATATGCTTACCCAAGATGTCCTGCTGAGGCAACCATTTTTTAATCAACACATTATCAGGCTTTCCAGGCAATTCTTCTTCGAACTTCCAAATAACTTTCTGCTTCAACCTTCCCAGGACGTTCAAAATCATCTTTTTCCTTTCTTCAGACATCAGTTTACTTTTCAGGTTTGATCCCATACTAAAATATATCGCTCCATCTTTGGCATTGTCCAAGAACTCCTGTAAGTCTTTCGGTAGCTTTCCAGGAGGATCAACGTGGTATCCTCCGATCTCTACCATGTTCGGAACCAAAGGATGAGCAGGATACAGACTGGTATGTGAGTTTAGAAGTACCAAAGAAGCGTTTGTATAACGTGTTTTGGTATTTGGTGTTGCTCCTGGGTATGCTTTTTGTAAAACTTTGTTGCATAGAGGCAAATAGTAGAACTTGTTAAACAGATAATCGTATACATGGTACAGTAAATTGATTATTCTCCCGAAAAATGTCATGGGTACTTCATTATTCCCTGTATAATACATGTGTCGGGCATAGGAAATCTCCTGTGGGTTGCCTACACTCGGATTTATCCAACTGTTCGGTCCCAAACTAAACAAAAGTATTACAGGGCAGTTAAAAACTATCGGAAATATTTTCATGATATCTGTCATGATAGGTTCCACAATGATTGCGTCGAATTTTTCGTTGGAACTCAGCAGCGCCCTCACTTTTGGATGGTGTAAAGTGTCATTCATGTGTTTTCCGAACATACCGATCATGGCTGACATCATGACGGCCATGTTAAGTTTGCTTAACTTGAACATGTCCGTGTTCTTTTCACGTGCTGCAAAAATTGATGTATTATTAGACAGTACCAACAACTGCGGATAATTTCGACTAAGTATATAGGTTCAGAATTGTATTTATTAATATAATATACTTGCAAAAACTTTTTATACAGGGTTTGTCATGTGACAGAAACCATTTTCATCTTTAGTATAATGAATTTATTGTATGACATGCCTTTAGACTGCTTTACTGTAAGGTAATGAAAAAATAGTAAAAAACACAAAAAAACAGCCTCTTCTCTAACTTTTTTATAATTTAGTTTTGTTTACATCCTAATGAATGCTACAGAAAATAATAAAATAATATTATTACCACTCATACTCTCTTCGAATCCATCCAAAATAATTTCAGTATAGTTTCCTTTAGTTTTTGGCAGATTTTTTTGCTTAAAAGGAGTTATCATGGTGACATCGTGTCCAGCATCGGCCAGTCCTTTCATCAGCTTGTAATCCAGGATGTAGTGACTTCCGGAAGATATGGGGAACACTCCCAGAATCCTGGCGGACTCACCATAACTCACTAAATAACAAAGAACAGAAAATTTCACAAAAAAACCGAACATTTTTGATCGTTACTTTAACTACAACTAAATTTTGTACAATGATTGCTAGCTATTTATGTGTTCCTTGATAAAAACAATGGTTAATCTTTTGGAATCCAGGCAATTTCATTGAGTTACAGGAGATTCAGTGATAGATATAGGAAAGCGTTGTCATCTCAGCACGTAATAATCATTGTGAATTAACAGTTTTAGGATTTCCGGAATGAATTTTTGTTTATTTTTATCAGTTAGCGATGTAATAATAAGTTAAGTAATAATGAAAATTGAAATTCGAATTTTATTCTTTATATTTTTTTAGTTGCATGCAGCACAATCATCTTGCACATTCTCAAAATATAACAGTATACAAATGTTTGATTACTTATATAGAGATAAAAATTATCAAAATAGTACAGTTTGAAGAGAATCACCCTTATAGAAAAATAAAACGCAACAGAAATAAATTATTAGAAACAATATAGTTTATTATTTAAACAGTCTTATAATATTAAAATACAATACTATAATTATTATAAATACACACAAATGACAATGAAACTCTTAATCTAGACGTTCTAGTTATTTATTGATATCTTTTGTGAATGGTCCGTTAAAAAGCTACAAGATAACTTAATCTCACATTAATTAAAGGCGGATTTAATTTTTTTATACAGTAACATTTTTTAATTGTTTCTATGATGAGTATCATTTTATTTATTATTTACAATAATTTTGATTATTTATCTCTATTTATTTATCTTAGACACAGCCTCATACTATATTTAAATATTACTCAAAAAAAGGATGGGTAAAATCAACCACCAAAAGTAAATACAATTGCTACAACCCTTTTATATAGGGTAAAATTTAGCTAAGAAGCAATAGATAAAGGTGTTTAGGTTATTTTACAATTTCAGGTGATTTTATTTAAAGGTTTTTTGGTTTAAATTATTAGGTATATATTTTTGTGGTTGAAATATACCCTATCATTATTTTGACTTCACAAAAACAAAAATTTATTTAGTTTTCAGTTTTTGTTTGGGACTGAGTTTGGACTTTACAACTAGAAATACTTTTTTAAGAAGGAATTTTGAGATTTCGAATACCACAACTAAACAGGCTAGAAGAAACAATGATACATCTACCAGGTAGTACTCATACCATGCCTGGTCAGCACCAGCGACTCTTAGATGCTTAGCACCATTGTTCCTTATCACATATTCCACCCAGTAAACCGCAGTGTCCATGGGTTTCATCGGTCTGTCATGGAACAACTTGGATCTTCTTTGGGCGTTTTCACGGTACTTTGGGTTATTTAGTAGTTCCAGTATACACTTCTCGAAGTTTTCTTCCGTGAAATTATCGTCGTGGTAGCCTAGTTTTAAGGCGTAGCCAGCGTATTGGGCTTTTTCTGCATTCGCTGGCTGATCTCCGAAGACTGGAATCGCTAGAATCGGTACTCCATGGTATACTGTTTCGGTAGTACTTAGCAATCCACCGTGTGTGATAAAAAGTTTGATATTCGGATGAGCTGTAATAAAAAAATTGCTTTATTTAGAAACTATACAGGGTGTCTCTTAAGTAAGTGCAAGTACTTTAACATTTAGTATAATTTGTTTTCGGGAACCCGTCTATGAGTTTTTTTTGCAAAAAATGTCTTGAAAGTTTTACAAAGAACTTGTATGCCTTTAGAAGGTTAAATATGCTTACCCAAGATGTCCTGCTGAGGCAACCATTTTTTAATCAGCACATTATCGGGCTTTTCAGGCAATTCCTCTTCGAATTTCCAAACAACTTTCTGCTTCAACCTTCCCAGGACGTTCAAAATCATCTTTTTCCTTTCTGCCGGCATGAGTTTGCTTTTCAAGTTCGATCCCATACTAAAATATATCGCTCCATCCTTGGCATTGTCCAAGAACTCCTGTAAGTCTTTTGGTAGCTTTCCAGGAGGATCAACGTGGTATCCTCCGATCTCCACCATATTTGGGACCAGTGGATGAGCCGGATAAAGACTGGTATGTGAGTTTAACAGTACCAAGGAAACATTTGAGGCTAGATTTTTGGTATCTGGTGCTCCGGGATATGCCTTCTGTAATATTTCGTCGCATAGAGGGAAATAATAGAAGTTGTTGAATAAATATTCGAATACATGGTAAAATAAGTTGATTGTCCTCTCGAAAAACGTCATGGGTACAGCATTATTGCCTCTAGAATACAAATGTCTGGCATAGGAAATCTCTTGCGGGTTGCCTACGCTCGGATTTATCCAACTGTTTGGTCCCACACTAAACAGAAGTATCATAGGGCAGTTGAAAGCTTCAGGAAATATCTTCATGATATCTGCCATGAAGAATTCCACAATCACTGCGTCAAATTTTTCGTTGGAACTCAGCAAAGCCCTCACTTTTGGATGAGACAAGGTGTTGTTTATGTTCGCTGCAAACATGTTGATGAATGCTGACATCATGAACGCCATATTTTGTTTGCCCATGTTGAACATGTCCAGGTTTTTATGTTGTGCTGGAAAAAATGTTGCGCTTTGATGTATTGTTCTAATTGTATTTATTGTATGCACAGTATTTTTTCTCAGCTAAGATTTTTATACAGGGTGTGTCATGTACAGTGGCCAATAAAAATTCTTTCAAAATTCATTAAAGCAAATTTATCGTAAAGCGATGCTAAATAGAAAAAAGTACATTATTTTAAAAAATCAGATTTTTCTTTAAAATTCTTTATACTCTGAAGCCATGGTACAGAAAATAATAAAATATTATTATTACCACTAATACTCTCTCTGAATCCATCCAAAATGATTTCAGTATAGTTTCCTTTAGTTTTTGGAGGGTTTTCTTGTTTGTAAGGTGTTAACATAATCACATCGTGTCCTGCATCGGCAAGTCCTTTCATCAGTTTGTAATCCAGGATGTAGTGACTTCCAGCAGACATGGGAAACACTCCCAGAATCCTGGCAGACTCGCCATAACTCACCAAACAACAAAGAATAGAAAATTTAACAAATAAATCGTGCATTTTGGATCATAGTGTAACTACAACTGAATTCTGTACAATGACGTCTGGTTATTTATGAATTCGCTGATAAAAATTATGCTTAATCTTGTTTCATACATGCGTCTTCATTCAATTAAGGAGGTTTTGCGGTAAATTTAGTGATGCAAACGATGTATCGATATATTTGAAATATCGATGTTTCAGTAGCAAAACATCGAAGTGTACCATCGATTTTCTACCATTGTATGTGTGTTCTCCTTTCAGTGGTTGATGGATGACATCAAAAGATACTATTAATATGATCAGCCAAATCAAAAGTATCATACATTCACATTTTTGTCTCTTCGATTTACAAGATTGTCATAGCCAGTCACTATTAAACATGTAAATAAATACAGACCAAAGAATTTCTGTTGCCAACAGGGTATACTATTTTATTATTATTTTTATTCTCCTTTGCCGAATACTGCCGATGCACTAAGAAACTAATTGGTAAAATATTTGATTACAGAGTTAAAATTACCAGGAAAGTAACCATTATAAATATAGTTTATTTTCTAAACAGTCTTATAATATTAAAATACAATACTATAATTATAAATACACTCAAATGACACAATGTATTGTTGTATTTTTTTAATCTGGACGTACTTATTATATTTATTTATACGGGGTCGTTTACCACATACAACACGGAGTATTGTAGCTAAACGATTATATTTTTACAAATTGTAAGTTTTGGATTCGATGAAGGACTATTAGATGTACAATTTAAAAATAATTTTACAAGACACAGAGTGTCCCAAATAAGTAAAAAATATCAAAGTTGTATTTTTTTAAACGGAACTCCCTGTATATTATTATATTTTTAGTTTCTACGATTAAATTAAAGGTAAGTTTGATTAAGGTTTATTATACTTAAACCTTACCGTTTTTGAAATATTTTCAATTTTGTGAAATTGCAGAAAAAATTTTAAGGCTTCATTTCTCCAAGGGTATCAAAGTTTTTAATACTAAATATTTACTGAAGTTTATTTATTGATCAGTTATTCTGTTACAATAATAAAAATAATACTACCTTATACAGAGTGTCTAAAAATTTATTTTAAATAATTTCTAGCTATAAACGCCAATAACTTCTTTAATTTAAATGGAACGCCCTGTATATTTTAGGAGAATCAGATGCACAATTTAATTGTCTATCAAATTGTATTATACCATTTTTTACCTATCCCTTCAAGTTTTCGTAGAAAATGCATTTTCTTATTATTTAGACCTCATTTATCAATATACTCATGGAATATTGACATTTTAGATTGTTTTTAAAGCAACAAATGTACAAAATGTACAGGCTAGTAATATTATCGATTTTAACAAAACGATAATATTACTAGCCCATTTGTATGCAAAAAGAACACTATTTAAATCTTTATAAAAGTGTATACCATTAATTAAATATAGCACCATTATTTCCGCCCATATAATAATTAATTTCAAACTTAATTGTGTTCGTTAATAAATTATTCTAAATAAATGCGGATTTGAGTCAGAAATCAATATAATAATAAGTTATCAAAATGAACGTCTCTGTTGTTATAAATAAGCATTTATTAAAAAATGAAATATCATTTTTAAGGTGTTACTTTTTACCACACTGTCTAATACACATACAAAATTCAGTTTTTTAGTATTTGGGGCAATTATTATTAATCAACGCAGACAGTCAGTTAACGTAGTTTGAATACTGGAATCATATTAATTGGTCCTCTTTAACAAATATTTAAACAGTTTTTTTTATTTTTTAATGAAATATTACATTTGACGGTTGGAACCTTTGGTGTTACACAGCAAAATCAAAACACTAAATCACCACAATACACCAAAACACTTTTACTTTTACACTGGACGCGCGTTTCGCTAACCATGTTAGCATCATCAGCAGATGATTATAAACTAGAGTTTATGGTGTATTGTGGTGATTTAGTGTTTTTATTTGTTTTATTTTAATGAAATAAACGAATTATATCGACAATATTAGTATCTGTACTCTTTAAAAATTTGGTACATCTTTAAGAATAATCTAAAATGTCAATATTCCATGGGTATATTGATAAATAAGTTCTAAATTACAAGAAAATACATTTTCTACGGAAACTTAAAGAGATAGGTAAAAAATGGTTGTGAAATAGTGCATGGTTGTGAAATACAATTTGATAGACAATTAAATTGTGCATCTGATTCTCATAAAATATACAGGGTGTTCCATTTAAATTAAACAAGTTATTGCCGTTTTAAGCTAATAATTATTTAAAATAAATTTTTAGACACTCTGTATAAGGTACTATTATTTTTATTATTGCAACACAATAACTGATCAATAAATAAACTTCAGTAAATATTTAGTATTAAAAACTTTGATACCCTTGGAGAAATGAAGCCTTAAAATTTTTGCTGCAATTTCACAAAATTGAAAATATTTCAAAAACGGTAAGGTTTAACTGTAATAAACCTTAATCAAATTTACCTTTATTTTAATCGTAGAAACTAAAAATGTAATAATATACAGGGTGTTCTATTTAAAAAAATACAACTTTGATATTTTTTACTTATTTGGGACACTCTGTATCTTGTAAAATTATTTTTAAATTGTACCTCTAATAGTCCTTCATCGAACCCAAAACTTACAATTTGTAAAAATCTCATTGTTTAGCTACAATACTCCGTGTCGTATGTGGTGAACAACCCTGTATACTATACTAATGACCAGTTGCAAAACTACAATATAACTTAAGTAAAAATTAACTATAATAATATATCTTATCTTAAGCCTAATAGCACACACATTCAGAATTCCTTAAAGTACTTTGGCAGCGATTGTTATTAACAAATGTTCTTTAAGTTATTTGCTTTTTTTATACAGTAATATTTTTTAATTATTTTAGAGAGTATGATTTTTTTTATTATGTACAATAATCTTTAGTAATTATCTATATTTTTTTATCTGACACAGCCTCATACTATATTTAAATATTACACAAAAAAGGATGGGTAAAATCAACCACTAAAAGTAAATACAACTGCTCCAACCCTGCTATATAGGTTAATTTAGCCAAGAAGCAATAGATAAACGCGTTTAGGTTATTTTACAATTATTTCAGTTATTTTTTTGACTTAGAGTTATAGTTAATTATACTATACTAGTCTCCTAAGCTCTGTACTAGATAAATAGTAATACGAGTAATACATTTTACAAATTCCTTGTTAGGTATATTCTAATTTATTAGACGGAATTTACCTACTTTTGACGAGTAATATTTATTTTGTTAGGTTAAAATGTAAAGTACTATATTAAAATGACTATTTCATTAAGTTTAAATTAAAGTTTTTTAGTTTAACTTGTTATATACATGTATTTTGTGGTTGAAATATACCCTATCATTATTTTGACTTCACAAAAACAAAAATTTATTTAGTTTTCAGTTTTTGTTTGGGACTGAGTTTGGACTTTACAACTAGAAATACTTTTTTAAGAACGAATTTTGAGATTTCGAATACCACAACTAAACAGGCTAGAAGAAACAATGATACATCTACAAGATAGTACTCATACCATGCTTGGTCAGCACCAGCCACTCTTAGATGCTTAGCACCATTGTTCCTTATCACATATTCCACCCAATAAACCGCAGTGTCCATGGGTTTCATCGGTCTGTCATGGAACAACCTGGATCTTCTTTGGGCGTTTTCACGGTACTTTGGGTTATTCAGGAGTTCCAGTATATACTGCTCGAAGTTTTCTTCTGTGAAATTATCGTCATGGTAGCCTAGTTTGAGGGCGTATCCAGCGTATTGGGCTTTTTCTGCATTCCCTGGCTGATCTCCAAAGACTGGAATCGCTAGAATCGGTACTCCGTGGTATACTGTTTCGGTAGTACTTAGCAATCCACCGTGTGTGATGAAAAGTTTGATATTCGGATGGGCTGTAATAAAAAAATGTTTTATATAGAAACTATACAGGGTGTCTCCTAAATAGGTGCATGTATTTTAACAGTTAATAGCGTAGATGCACTCCAAAAACACATCTGTGAATGTGTATGCCTTTAGAAGGTTAAATATGCTTACCCAAGATGTCCTGCTGAGGCAACCAGTTTTTAATCAGCACATTGTCGGGCTTTCCAGGCAATTCCTCTTCGAATTTCCAAATAACTTTCTGCTTCAACCTTCCCAGGACGTTCAAAATCATCTTTTTCCTTTCTGCCGGCATGAGCTTGCTTTTCAAGTTCGATCCCATACTAAAATATATCGCTCCATCTTTGGCATTGTCCAAGAACTCCTGTAAGTCTTTTGGCAGCTTTTTAGGAGGATCAACGTGGTATCCTCCGATCTCTACCATGTTCGGAACCAAAGGATGAGCCGGATATAGGCTGGTATGTGAGTTTAGCAGTACCAAGGAAGCATTTTTAAATAATACTTTGGCGTCTGGTGCTCCTGGGAATGCTTTTTGTAAAACTTCGTTGCACATAGGGAAATAAAGGAACTGGTTGTATAAATATTCGAATAAGTGGTAGAATAAGTTGATAATTCTCTCGAAAAACGTCATGGGTACTGCATTGTTGCCTCTATCGAACAAATGTCTGGAATAAGAAATTTCTTGTGGGTTGCCTACGGTCGGATTAATCCAACTGTTTGGACCCAAACTAAACAAAAGTATTAAAGGACAATTGAGCACCACCGGGAATATCTTCATGGCATCTGCCATGAAGTGTTCTATAATGACTGCGTCGAATTTCTCGTTGGAATTCAGTAATGCCCTGACTTTTGGGTCATGTAAAGCTACATTCGAAATCAATTCGCTGGCCGAGTGGTACTTAGACGTTAAAGTCGGCACGAAATTAACCATTCACAACAAATTTCAATTCGAATTTTGCGCATGCGTGTTTAAACGTTCTCCTGACATTTTTTAGGTTAGTTGTTGGTTTTGATTTTGGAAGAGTCAAAATCCGGGACAGTTGTTAATTAAGTTTTCCAAGTTTTAATGTTTAGAAAAATGGAAACAAAAACGTCATTTATTGATGATTTTGTTCTAAAATGTGTTTGAAGCACCCAAAACTTTTTCTCGCCATTAATATGGGTCGGACACCCCATTTTTGGGTTTTGGTAAACCCATTGGTTTTCGGTCAAGCTAATTATTGAGCTGCAACAATAATTGCCGTTTTTTTTAACAGCAAAGCAACAAGTCCTAATAAAATAAGTATAGCGTCCTTCACTCATTTTTCTTTTAATAATTATTTACTTTTCACAGGAAAATGGCCTTGTAACAACGACACAAACAAAATAATTATTAAAATTTAAATGTCAAATTTGTCATAATTGTCAAACGAAAATTCCGTGCTGAAGTGGAAGTTTGCAGCTTGCAAGCTTTCAATCCAACTTCAACTTGCACTCTGGCGTCGAATTTTGTTGTGAATGAGTACACTGAAGTACATAAGATAAGCTTGCGTGCCAAAGTACGACTCGGCCAGCGAATTGATTTAGAATGTAGCTTAAGGTGTTGTTCATATTCGTTCCGAACATGCTGATCATTGTTGACATCACGCGTAACATGTTTTGTTTGCCCATGTCGAACAAGTCCATACTTTTGTGTTGTTCTGAAAAAAAAATACGCGTATTAAAAATTATCTACAATTTTGTGGATATTCTG